ACGTAAAAACTTCCTGGGTTTCTACACACAGACTCTTCCGAATTTTTGCTAGTTCTGCGCGCTCTCTCTCCACTTGATTTCTCTGTTCTCTCTCTTCCCCACCGCGTTTCGAGTTAGGAAGTTTGCGAGAGTTCCCAGCTGGCTCCGGCTCTCTACCTTCCACGGAACTTAAAAGGCCGAGGTCCGTGGCAGGAAATGAATGAGCCGATAACATCTGACACCAGTGACCAGTCCGCTGACCCCCAGCCTTAATTCCGCTAAGACTGGAGGCCTTCAAATTTGGGCAAGCGCGCCTTTCGTCGAATAGCGCCGCCTCTGCTTTTCAGATACTGCTGCTTATGGTTTCCTACGTCTTACTGTTGCACACTTTGTAATTATTTCCCGAGTTAAAAGGGAAAGCTACTCTTCAGAAATTAGTCATCGTTGCTGAATCAGACGCTAAATGTCCACAGTTCAAACTTCTCTCCCTCTTTTTTATATGTCTTGGAGTTGCCTTTTGATAGAATTCCTAGAGTTCCTGCATGTTTACTCTTAAGTAAGTTGCACTGTATTCAGTGGGGCTTACTGTCCTGAAAGTGTGGTTAGGATTGCAGTTAAAGGCGCCACTCCTTGCACAGGTTGTCATTTCACACACACACACACACACACACACACACACACAGAGAGAGAGAGAGAGAGAGAGAGAGAGAGAGGATGCTGAGGAATATTTTGAACTGAGTTTGCAAAATATTACCCGACAATTACGTTTTTTCCTTACCATCCCTAGCCAAAGGAAGCACACATTGCATTGGCTTCTGAGACAATGGAAGCCGGGCTGTTGCCGTTGTAGGCAAGAGAACTGCATAAAGTGAGAAAGCAAGAGTGTTGCTACATAACTTTATGGAAATCGTTTGACCTGTCAAAAGGTATTCTGAAACATATTCATCACTTTCCTAAAGGCAAAAACCAGTCTTGTTTATAATGAGACATTCGTTCGTGGGCTTGATGTCTCTAGGAAACCTCATGCTATAAATGTGCAGGTCTTTGGTGACGAAGGTTCAGTGACACCAGACTTTGAGAGACGTGAAAGCCTGTCGTTCGAATTTCGCAAAACAGCACCCGGAAGAGAAGGCACACAGATCCATTTGTCTTATCCCGCTGTTGCTAGAAGCGTGTAGAAAATAACTACAGTATTTGCTCCCCTCTGCCCCCCAAACAAACCATCCTCCAGCAACGCGCATCTCCGCTCCGCCCATATCAAGCATATAGCACTTTAAATAAAACAAAGCTCTGACTGTCCCCCTTCCTGAAAATGGAGAATGCACCTATCTGTCCAATTACACGCGCAATGCCATGGATTTCAATGAAGCGCGCGGACCGATTCTGTACCTGGAAAGGGCAAGCTCCGTGGATTCAGCGCAGGGCACCACTCCGGCGACGCAGGGCGAGGAGGAGGGGCCGGGGGAGGGGCGGCAGGCGAAGCCGACGCCGCTGGGCGGAGGGAGGCCGGTCGAGCGCCACTCTTGAAATAACCAAGAGGAAATTTACAGCTGAAGACGGGGAAGGAATGTCCTGATCTCGGGCGCCTGCTCCACTGAAGCCCGCGACGCGTGCATTTCTTTCATTCAAGCAGAAAACCGCCCTCGTGGCACGAATGTTAAGCGGGGATCACCTCGGTGCCAAAAAATAAAATCGCGGAAAGAATGCCCCTGCCCCGCAAAACAACCAAAAACGGGAGAGGGAAGAGTAAATAGGCTCTTTTAGCCAGTCCAGAGGCCTTCTGTGTTTGTTCAGACTGCCTGTCGCCAGTTCTAAAACAACGGCGGGCAACCTTGCAAACGCATAAAAGCATATTCAGGGCAGATCAGCAAACTGGGCGGAGGGAGAGAGAGTGGGCAGAAGAGGAAGGAGAAAATCTATCTTGCAACCTGTCAAGCCGCAACCGTCCAAACTTTAGGCTGGTAGAGCACGAGAAAAATTTTGTTTTCTTACTTGGCTTGAGTGGTGAGACCGGGGGCCTGAGAGCACTTTATTCGGGTAGAAACGCCGAGGAAATAAATTGCGGGTGGGGTGGGGGGAAGGCTCTAGATCCATGTGCTTAAAAATTAGGGGGGGGACTCGCAATGGAGCGGGAGGGGGAAAACTCTGGAACAACACTTCCATTATTTTTTCTGAAATATATCGATCAAGATATCAATTTTTACCACGTACTTGTTCCAAGTGGTGAAATGAATATTATAATGGAGACTGAGCGCGCGTGTAATTCCTGTTAATGGTGGTTCGGTCTTTTATTTTGGAAAAGGAATAAATTTGGGACCGCACAGGGAAAGTGTTACGAGCAGTGTCATATGGCTGGCGGACTCCTAAACGCCAAGAAACGGGGTGTGCGTCCAAGCGCCGCTCGCAGGCCCAGCTTATTCCTCTTCCCTTTGTTTTCTCACTCCTCGCTCGCTCGTTTCCTCGGGATTCCCCCACCCACCTCCGCGCTTTGCTTCCGTATTTCTGGCAAATTCTATCCCCCCCCCCCCCCCGTCTGCGCTTTTCTAGGGTCTCTCCCTCCGCCCCCAACCTCCTGGAGAACAATCGTTGCTGATGGAGGCTCCGCTCCCTGCACCGCTCGGCTTGCAAGCTGGCCTCTTATTTAGGAAGTCATTAATCACATCCCCTTCCCCCGGAACGCGATGGCCGAGGAACCTGCGCAGCGCAGCGCAACCCCCGGGCGCCTCCCCGCCCCCTGATGGCCGCCGTTAAAGGCTTCGGAACGCGAAAGGCGAACGGAGGTGCTATCGCGTTTCCGGTGGGCGTTTCAGAATTGAATAGGTAATGAGCTGGGGGGGGGGAGGAAGCGGCTTTCACCGTGGATCATGCCTATACACTATGCCTACGTGCCATAGGAATATGCTTCACATACCATTTATGTTTAGCGCCTATAATTTGTATGTCAGTTCAAAGCTGCTTAAAAGCGGGCGCTCCCCCCCTTTTAGTTCATGTGGTATGTGTCTTTTCAGCAGTATGTGTGATCTTAATGGGGCGGATATGGACCGTAGAATTGGAAGGGGACCCGAGGGTCATCTAGTCCAACCCCCATTGCAATGTAGGAATCTCGACTAAAGCAGATATCAAACCTCTGCTTAGAAACCTCCAAGGAAAGAGAGCCTACCGCCTACCCTATCCGATGCTGTTTCAGTTTGACGTGGTTTTTTCTTCTATGTATGATATATGCCCTCAACCCATTAGCGGATTTTGTGTACCTATATCGACAGTGGTGGGGGGTGGAATATCTTTGCTTTCCCACCAACAGGCACCTTTTAATTTGTAATGCTCCCGCGCACCCATATGGGGCGGGACGCTCCATTAAACTCGGTGGGGCTTACTTTTGAGGAAACATAAAGGATTACGCTGTCAACCTATTAAGATACCGACCCTATGCTTGGAAATAAATAAATAAAATTATTACGCATGGCCCTGCTAAAGTAAGTCCCACTGTGTTCAGTGAGGTTTCTATTTTATTAGCATTCGTCAGGTAAATATGCATAGGATTAAATCGCGGCCTCATACATCCCATAATCCCCCGAGTTCCTTTCAACGGGATATAGCTTGCATCCTTACGCCTAAGGCTGCAGTCCTCAACCCACTTACCTGGGAGTAAGCCCCAGTGAATTGAGTAGGACTTACTTCCGAGCAGAGATAATGGCTAGGATTGCGCTGTAAATGGATGAAACAAATAGCGCGTTTAGGATTGCCCCTTTCCCCGGTTTCAGGCTAGGTAATTCTATCGACTACTTTGTGGATCAGCCTTCAAATATGAGATTTTCAGGCGCGCTTGTCGGCCAACGATGCGCGCGCCCGCCGCGCAAGTGCCCCAAGCCGAGGGCCATTATTGGCATTTGCACGTGGGCAGCGAAAGATCCGCCGCTATATTGGCAGCTCCGCAGCTGTAGTGCCCGCGAATCTCTCTCTCGAAGAGACACGCCCCGCTCCTCCAACCGGCGCCCGGATCTACGTAGCGAAACGTGCCCAGCCGCGGCCCGGCGAGGGTGTTTTGAAATTCCGCCGTTCATTCATAAATTATTGCGGTGTGTCAAGCCCGCTCGAAGTGCCGATTGGCTGCTGCTCCTCCTCCTCGCCGAACCCCCTCCGAGCAGCCGAGGTGAAATTAGTAGCAAGCAGGCATGTAATTGACGGAGTCACGTGCGCGCAGGGGCCCAGAAACTGAGCGAGAGCGCGGCCGGGGGCGGGGGATCACGAGAGGGCAAAGCGCAGGAGAGCGGAGCGGGCGAGCGCTCGAAATCAAGATGTTAAGCTGAGTCAAAAGACTCCCGCGAGCCGGCCAGGGGGAGCAGAGGGCCGGTGGGGCAACATGGCCGAAGGTTATTCCCCCCCCCCCCGTCCCCGGCCAGCCCAGCTCTTGTTTTGCCTAGGCTTTTTGTTGTGCTAGCTTATACTTTCCACCGTTTTCTTAAACATACATACAAGAAAAGGAATGTACTACTGAATAAAAATTAAAATAAATGATCGCTGATTTAAAAAAATAAATAAAATCAAGGACGTGGGGGGGCACTTCTGTGGTTGTGGGTGGGAGAACCTATTGTGGGCGAGCTTTCCCCAGTGCCCTGCCCCGCCCCCTTCGATTCACCCAACTTGAAAAGCTTTCCGAGGGGGCTTCTGTTCGAATTGTTCCTGTGCGATTGAGCAAGCAGTGGCCAGGAGGGGGAAAAGAAAGGGGGGGGGACGAGGAAACTTTTGTACACCTGCCCCCCTCCTTTCTCTCCTCGAGTCCAGATTAAAGTGATTCCGGAGCGGGAGGGGGGATTCGGCGCAGGAAGGCGCGGAGCGCGCTCGGAGAAGGAGGAGAAACACGCCGCTCGCTGCTGGATGGGCCGCTCCAAGTGCTTGCGCAATCGCCTCCTCTCTCTCTCTCTCGGCTCGGCCCCCTCCCCTCCCTTCCCCTCCTCCTCCTCCTCCTCCCACCTCGCCTGGCCAGGCAGGGCTCATTCGCCTGCGAATTCCTCTGGGGAGGGATGGGATCGGTGCTCAACCAGCAGTACCCAAGTAAAGTATCGCTTTCTGGGGTGGTTTATGTGGCTGAAAGATGGAGTTAAAGGGCAGGATCGCACGTATGTACAGAGCAAACGTGGGCTGGGCTGCTGCGTGTGGGGGGAGTGTGAGAAATAGAAGCGGAGTGAGTCACAGCAGATGCTGCCTTTCCTTCGACAGTGCCCTGAAGCTTTGGAGGTTATTGATGTGTGTGTGTGTGTGTGTGTGTGTGTGTTTAATTTTTTTTTTTTACTACTTCCTCTGTGACTTTGGTGTACTTAATGTTTTCGTGGGTAGGGGAAAAACAAAGGTTGGTTTCGTAATGTTTCTTCGTGCGTGCATGTGTTTTTGTGTGTCATCTGTAGCAATCGTTCTTGTACAAGCGCCAAGGAGATGTTACTAGAATTTAATTCTTTCCCTTTTTGTGTGTGTGTGTGTGTGTGTGTGTGTGTACGTACGTCCTTGTTCTCCCGCAATCTCCTCTTCAAATCAGCGGGGGCGCGTAAAGGTGGAGATGAGCCCGGGAAATTGCCGGAACAAGAAGAAGAAGAGGAGGAGGAGGAGGAAGAAGAAGAATCCCAGGTTTTGCACGGAACAGGCCATTGCAAGTGGTTTAATGTGCGAATGGGGTTCGGATTTATTTCCATGCTCAACCGCGAGGGAAGCCCCTTGGAGACTCCGGTTGATGTCTTTGTACACCAAGTAAGCCCGTTTTGTTGTTTTAGTCGAATCTCAGCCCCCCACCCTACCCCACCCATTTCCCTCTAACCCATGCCTTCGTTTTATGTGGTCTAAAAACCCCTTTAAATGCTTCCGTAGATGTTTGTGAGCTCTGTTTAAAGCCAGCTTCAGATAGCAGTTTCTGTTTGCCATCCAACCGCCCTCCCCCCACAAATGAGATCAGTATCCATGACTTGTTGGTCCTGTAGAAAGAAAAGTGTACCATCTCAACAGGTTTGTTTGTTTTTTAGTACAAAGTCTTGCTTTTGTTTAGCGTTCTCTTGCTTTGTTTGTGGGTGGATTGAGTTTTAGTTGTTTTTCGTGATGGAAGAGATTCTTCTCTGCTAAAATGATAGTAGAAAAAAAAGCAAGTCACCTAAATGACTCCCAGGCTGCAGCTCTGTGCATACTTATCAGAGTTAACAGTGGGACTTAATGTTTCAGTAAACATGCGCAGGATGTGCTGATAACTTTCCCCATGGTGAAAATTAAGATCCTTTTAAGTGTTGTGGGCTCTTTCTTTCTCCTAAAAAAGCTAGATAGTGTTGCAGTTTGTTTTTATGATGCTTATGTTCAGATCAAACCAAACAGTAGTGCACAACTTGTATTTGTTTTGCTGCAGTGTAGTGTGGATATTGAAAGAGTTCGTATAGTGGACTATGATACATCAAAGGATCACTGGTGTTTTGTGTTTTTGGGTGTGTGAAGGTCTTCTGACTGGAAAACATTTTCCTGACATGTATAAGACCCTTGTCTCCTTAAGGTCAGAGGGCTCAAAAGCCAAAGTACAGGAGGTGGCTATTGTCCTCATATATGTGTATATAAAAGCAAGACCAAGCTAATGTTGATATTTACTATAAAATCATTACAGTAATAGTGGGAATGTAACAAAACAAAACAAAAAACCTGTGGCATGTGTGTGTTCTTAGAACTGTCTTCTTTACCCCTTGATTTTCTGAGCCCTGAAAAGCAGTAGTAGTTCAAATCTGAATTGGAGTGTTCTTTTTATTGCAGTAATCTCAAAAGGGTAAATTATTGGGTTACTCATAGAATGAAATACCCTTAAGCCTAAATATAGTTTGCTAAACTTCAAATTGATTTAAATAGAAGTCCTTAGCCCCATATGTGCTTACTATTGCTTATAGTTTGTTTTCAGAACATGGATAATGTTTGACTTGTGACCACATGAGAACTGCTAAAAACAGCCTTAAGTTTTGTAATGGTGGTAGTCATTTTCTAGCAAACTGACACATTCTTGTGCTTGCCTTTAATCTGTGTGTACATATATCATTCCTGAAACCCTAGTTTGGTCCAAGCACTGCACAGTTTGGGAGTCCCCCTCGTCTATTTTGTGGGTCCTATTTATAATAATAGAGCAGACTTTAAGGTAACTGAAAAATAAGGACATGTGACCTCAGTTTTAAAACCACTTACAGTTGCAATATTCAGTGAAACTGCTCTGGAATTAGTGACTTTATAATTTCTATTTCTAACAATAAAATTGGATAATGATCTCCTGAGATTGGGTATCTGTTTTCTAATCTAGAAGTGTTACTTCCGTATAATTTTAAACTTTCAGTTTGACATTAGCACATGAAAGCTGCTCCTTTTCTTATGTGTCTTTCTGAAATATAAGTACTGAAGCTGTTGTCAGTGTTGATTGCTAGCAGCTTCTGGGCTTTGCTCCTGTTCTCCCCCCCCTCCCCGCCACCTTGACCTTTCTTTAGGTCACTGTATTGAGGTTTACAATCCTACATGCTTATCATGGTATATATGAAGGAGTGTTTTTCTGATCATATGCAGTATTATTTTCTTTGCTCTTCAGTATGAGAATCAGAAATCTTTACAGCATAAATGCATTTGATAAGATCACTCATTGAGCTGATCATGCAGCTGGATCAGTGCTTTCTGACTTCAGTGCTACTATTCTACTGCTGGAATAATATCTGCTTGTGGTGGACCATTCATTTGGCTTTGAGAACTGCAGCGGCAAGACTGGTATCACACACAGCCCTCTTCCAGGGTTTTTTTTGGATTCTGAACAATGCATTATGTTTGGAGGTAGAATATACTACTGGCATTTTAAAACAGACTTTGGTAAAAAGGAATATTTTTTTAGAAGAGTGCATTTGATATCCCACCTTATCACTAACACTGAAGGCAAATATTTTTTTATCTCATATGTTCTCTTGCAGATACAGTGATGCAAGTCGTAGTTAAACCCACTATATAAAAATGGAACTGAGATAAATACCCTGTGTTTACTCTCTCTGTGTCTCACTCACTCACTTAGTCATCACATGATAGCTGCAACAATCACAGTTGTATGTGAAAGAGCAATCATGGAATCAAATGCCACAGTTTGAGGATTTTCTATCATTTTAACTACAATCTCCACTGAAATGCACACACTACTGCTTGTCAGGTGATACATTTTCAAGTGGTGTAGGTGCATATGTGACCTGGCACCCAATAATTTTTTAGTAAGTGGAGTATATGAATCCATATATGGAGCCAGTGTGGTATAGTGGTTAAGAGCGGTGGACTCGTAATCTGGTGAACCTGGTTCGCATCCCCGCTCCTCCACATGCAGCTGCTGGGTGACCTTGGGCCAGTCACACTTCTTTGAAGTCTCTCAGCCTCACTCACCTCACAGAGTGTTTGTTGTGGGGGAAGATGGGAAAGGAGCTTGTTAGCCTCTTTGAGACTCCTTAAGGGGATATCAAGTCCAAACTCCCTCTTCTTCTTCAATGATCCCTTCTCCATGTACTGAACCATGGTGGCTATAAGGAAGAAGGTAATTAAATCAACCTGCTAGAAAAGATATTTATTTATCTGTTTGTTGCAAACATTTATAGTATGCAGTAAGCAAAGCAAAGCCAAAACCAAGAGATAAATATAAATGTGAAGGAATATGTTAACTCTCTATAATATGTGTTACTAGTATTGTCATCTAAGTCAACAATAGCATCTCTTGAATACTGTACAGTGGTACCTCGGGCTACAGACGCTTCAGGTTACAGACTCCGCTAACCCAGAAATAGTACCTCAGGTTAAGAACTTTGCTTCAGGATAAGAACAGAAATTGTGAGGCGGCGGCAGCAGGAGGCCCTTTTAGCTAAAGTGGTGCTTCAGGTTAAGAACAGTTTCAGGTTAAGAACGAACCTCCAGAACGAATTAAGTTCTTAACCCAAGGTACCACTGTATGTGTATTGTGAATGTTCATAATGACTGTCTTCATGATACATGCAGCATTTTGATGTAGCAGTTCTGTGCTACCAAGGGGTTGTTTTGAGAAAATATTGAACAGATAGAAAAGTTGTTTTCAGTTGTGTTAGCAGCATGTCTGGAAGTATTTAAGAAATTAACTGCTTATAATTGTGTAGGTTTTAGTTGGCATTTGGAGATATTTTTGCTTGTGGAAAAATGTTCAGAAATAATGGCAATAGTTGGAAATAATGTTCCTGCATTGCCATGGTTTAATAGAAAGTATGTTTTGCCAGCATAACTGGGACAAAAACAGTACTGAGGTATTGAAGTGAACATGCTGAATTGGTCAAAAGGAGGATAATTTTGGAGGAGGGAATGAGACAATTTGTACACATAAACTCTATTCATATGTTTTGGAGCAAACACAAGTGAGTTTAAAGTGGTGGGGGAGTGAGGCATGTATGCAGCCCATACCCCCATTTATCCATGCCTACATCATCTCCACTTCAGACCTTCCTACATTCAATGTCATGGTCTGAAAGAGGATTCTAAGTATGTCTGGGTGAACATGCTAATTCAGATATTCATGATGAATGCCTGCAACATCGTTTGCATGTGTGGACATTGTGGAACCTCCACACCTTAATCCCACATTTCTTTGACCTGAATTCATAAAGAGGGCTATATTATTTAAGATATAATCTTAATTTCAGCAAAATTGGAACGAATTATATGATGTTTCTTTCTAAATGGGATGCTAGGAATGATATAATTTATCCACTATAGTTCCAAATAACCCATACTTGAACTAAACATTGTGCATGTGTTCATTTATTGTAGCACCAAGTGGTTAATCTCGAAAGATGGGAGCAATGAGATTGTTGGGGTTTTTTCCCTGCTTATCCTACTTATTCCAGATTTATTACTTGGTGGTAAATCCTATTGATGCCAGCTGAATTTAATTCTGTGCAGTGGATTAAAAAAATTAATGGATAGACATTGTGATTTCTTTTTTAAAAATTGAAAAGGCTTCTATGCTTGCTTTTCACATGCACCTGAAGTTATTCTACAGATTGACACAATCATATTTCCTATATATACTTGCACTAATGTAGGTCCCATTCAATACAATATGATTTGAGTTTTGAGTAGACCTGCATAAGATGATACTGTTAAAACTGCACTTCCTTCTAGCAGTATTTTTACTATCTTCAGTATTCCTAAATTTTAGGAATGTGGCATGTTTCATTTTTAAAAAAATCATTTGAGGCCCAAAAATATTATGACCAATCCAGATTTTTTAAAGTATTGATTCTTGAGGAAGACATCCATCTTTAGAATACAATCCTAAGTGTGCTTATTGAGAATCAAGTTGGATCCCAAGAGCCTGTGCCATTGACGAAATGAGTCCTTCTACTGGGCTTTTAAGGTTGGTAGAAGTTCCAATCAATGGATGAGTGGAAGTGACCCTCTCATTCCCTCTCCCCCTGCAATCTTTTCCACCACCTTCCCACACTCTTCCCTCCAATTATTCAGAGCAAATTGTTTAGGGCTGCTGTGGGGGTGGGAGGGTACAAAATCTGTTAGCAGAAGCAGGAATGGAATTCTTTGAATGCAAGCTTAGCTGCATCAAGGTGTGTTGGTTACATCTAGTATGTATACTTGTGACTGCAGATTGCAGCTTAGCTTATTTGTAGCTCCTATTGTGAGAAGCACAATATGAGAACAATATGCTCTCTTTGATAAATGGATGGAAGAGCAATGTATCTTTTGCCATTGATGAATCCTGAGACAGAGAAGAGGAAGTCTTAAATGTCCTAGAGCTGCTTCTTCTTTGCTTGTTAATAGTTATGTTGAATTGGGCTTTATCTGCAATTAAAGATTTATGGTTGCAGCCTATTGTGTCATTCTGTTCACTGAAAGCTCTTTGATCCAGCAGTGGCTTCCATGAATGGAAAGGAAAGGGAGATGATTTTAATGTTTAATGTTTAACAGACTATTGTATTTTAATATTTTGTTGGAAGCCGCCCAGAGTGGCTGAGGAAACCCAGCCAGATGGGTGGGGTATAAATAATAAATTATTATTATTATTATTATTATCATCATCATCATTATCATTATCATTATCATTTATTCTTCCTTCACTTTGCACCTCTCCCAATTTGCTCTAGAAGGTTGGGTGATCCACTGGAACAGCATGGAAGGTGCTTTAAGGAAGAGAGAGAGAGAGAGAGAGAGAGAGAGAGAGAGAGAGGTGAATTTGTACAAATCATCTTTCTCCTATCTCTGGAAGCCATTCCTGCATCAAACAGCTTTCCATGTAAAAGTAAAACAGATTTAATTCTTGTATGTGCACTGCAATTAACATTAACATCTGAGCCAACTGACAATGCAAAATAAAACTATTGAAACTATTAAAAATAAAATAAAAACAAAAACAGACAGTGGAGCTCAAGGACAAACAACCTTACTCGTTGCCACCTTCATCCAGAAGCTTTTGATGAACAAAACAATGCTACTGAACGCAACCCTTAATAATTGCACCAATTTAGACTGCAGATCTAAATTCCATTTACCTGGAATTGCACCTCATTGAACTCAATTACACTGCGTCTTAATGGACATGTATAGTTTTGCACAATAGGTTGATTAAACCTTGTAGGTTTGGCTTTTTTCATATTATAAGCTGCACAAATGTTGGTCTGAAGTATTCTGAAATATTGGAATATTTGCTAACATTGCAGTTGAGACATGGCTGTAAATTTTTTTTGCCTACATAATTTATACCCAGATTTGGAACATGTTTTGTCTGTAATTTAGAATGACCAGATAGTCTAAAGAGGTGACAAGAAACATTAGACTAATTTCTTAACATATTTTTTGAGGTAACTATTGAAGAGAAGTTTTCACGGGGGGAAATGTGCAAACCGTTTCAACACTCACAACTCGTGAGCTTTACCACAAAGTTCCTTTTTAAATATGCTAGAAGTGAGAGGCGTCAACTTCTTTTATCTTTCTCTCTCCTTTATAATGGGACTAAATCACACCCATGGCCAGATAAATGTACTCAGAAGCACTTCACTTGGAAGATACACATTGGGATAAGGGCTTTAAAAAATATATATCACTTATTGCCCATTAAAAGGAAAAGTTTCACTTATTTCACATTGATTGGCCAGCTTCACTTTGCCAGTGTTGGTTTGCTCAAGTCAAGAGAATAACTATTCAAGTCTCCTACATGTCAAGCAGATAATTCCATGTACTAAATTCATTTCATCCAAACATAACCACAAATTATAATTTGGGTTTATTATGTGCTGCCTTTCCCTCTCTCCCTCTTTTTGCAGAAGAGGAGACTCAGCCACAGTTTTCACTTCATTTGAAAATATTTTATAGTTCAGCCACAATATTGGATCTGGTCCACTAGAACCCAGGCCCTCCTGCTCTACAGATTAACATCCTAAGCAGCCTTGGTATTCTTCCAGGACCACCTTCATACCTGATAATCTCACGCAGACCCCAAGCATATAGCTCTGTATTGAAGATTCCTTCTGAGGAGCTGTTGTAGTGCATGACAGCTGGTTCCAGGATTGACCTTGGTTTGGATAACTGGGAGAATAAGGGCTGAAAAGAGCCCCCACCCCTAAATTATTGACTAAAATAGTCAATAATGATAAATTAGTGCATGTAACAATGGTGTTTCTCTGATAATTGTGCACTTTCTTCCCATCCAGCTATGCCGCCTCCATTTTCATGTTGGTAAATTACAAGTATCTGCTGGTTATTTACTTAAGCAAATACCATATTATCTCTCCTCCTCCTCCTCCTCTGCCACCACCATTAAACCATGACTTCTCAATACATATTAACCTGTGTTTACATTCAGGAATTGGGAATCTGAGCTTGGTTTTCAATAAGAATCTTGGAAAATGCCTAGGACATCCAAAGAAGGAAGCACTTGTGCATATTGCCCATTCTCACCCCTATCTTCCTTCCCAAGGTGGAAAATAATACAGGATTTTTTCAAGGCCCTATTACTGGAAAGAGCAAACATTACACTGTTTAGCAAGGATTCATTGGAGATTTGCTATCAACTCTGGTGCTAGTAGCCATGGTGATTCCAGCTTCAATAGCATATTATAACAGCTGAAGTTTGAAAACTCATAGCCAGCTCTTTGAATAGAGTTGTTGGTCCACCATGAATCCAGTTGGTAGTAAGTGAGCATCCCTGGGACCTGAAATATTTATTTGAAAAAATAAAGCAAGCTTTGGGTGGAATGCTCCTGACTATTAAGGATAAATAGCTACTGCTGATTTTGTTAGAATTTTCTTAATTAGCATGTGTGACATTATGGGGCTCACCATACCATCAGAATGTATGGTTGAAGTCAGAGAAGAATTATGGTAGCTGTTGGGACCTCCTATATGCAATCTTTTTGTCTGTCTCTTTCTTCCTGGAGGTGCAGAAGCAATGCTGGGTGCAAAACTACTTTCTGAAAACCCTGCATCTGAAAACAAGTGATCTTAAAACAGAGGATTATTTGAACTATGTATTTTAAGAACTATGCAAGTTGACATAATTGAATATGGAAATTTAAGTATGGATATCTTCCATGTTGTGGGCCCTCTGTTGAGCTTCTGGTGACTTTTATATATATATAGAAGTTTGGCATCATTGCTTCTGTACCACTAAGAGATCCACTTTATGTGCATTGATATATGAACAAGTAATGGTCAGCGCCATCGGTGAATGGCGGAGTTCCTCCGTCCGGAGGAACGGGCTCCGTGGAAACTGGGTCTTCCCGCCGTGGCGAAGGTGGGGACCCGCTAGAAATCCAAGGTGGAGGAAGCCTGGGAACGTGGGGTTCGGCAGGGCACCAGGAGCGCCCCCCTACTCGCAGGGAATCCCATTTAGGGGCTCCGGAGCGAAGTGGGGTGAGAAGCGCGGTGCTGCGAACTGACTGCTACTTTCACGGAGTGAAGCCGCACAGCCATTGCCGGAGAGCGCTGACTTTTTCCTGTGGACAATTGGATTTAAAACAAGTACCCATGAGTAGAAACGGAAAATTGGATCAAGAAATTTCTTAATTTGGTAACGAAGCGGGAAGGTTCAAAACAGGAAGTCTGCCTTCCGCTTTTTGTATATAGACTAAAGCAAAAACTTTGTAAGCTAAAGCCTGGAAAGCTGTCAAAAAAGTCTAAATTTCCTTCATTCAGAATTACTGAAACCCCCTTGGAAGCAGGAGAAAAGGGGGGGAACTTTGTTCAACCCTAGCAGGAGAGGGAGTGAAGAAGGATAAGTTTCCACCGTCTCTAACCTGGGAACGGGGTGTCAGAGACAGAAATTGTTGGAGAGGTTCATTGACTGTGAATGGAATATTTTGACAGATAGCTAAAGAAGAGAATCAAGCTGATTCCAATGTTGCCTTTTGCATTCTAAAGAAACAAAATATCTGAAAAATATCTGTAAAATGAAAGTAATTTTCCTTTGTTGGACTTGCCTAAAAAAAATGGATACAAATAGAAATTGCCTCCTCTAGAGGGAGCTTGTCAAATTGTTGCTGCAGTACATTTGAGGGCTCAACAGATGTGAGATTAAGACTGTGGGAACAGGCTTTTCTGACCTTGGCTAAAGATGAGCTGGAAAGAAGACTGGGTGCTTGCCTTATGCAAGACAAGTGCCTTGCTGGAACAGATGCATGAGAAGATGGACTTGATGAATGAGAAAATGGATTTGACTGTTGCAGTTAATAACTGTGGGCAAACAGGGAATATTGATACAGAAATTATCCAGGGACCAACTCATGAATCTGTACTGACTAGGCAAGTGCAGAAGATAATGGAGGAGGATGCGGTTGCACCCCAAATAATACAAATGGAGAGTCCCGAGGCCCTACAGGAGTATGAGCCACTGTTATTGAAGATTGAAGTTGGAGTGGGCCAGGGGGAGTCTGGAGTTGAGGAGGTTCCCAACGTTGGAGAGACCTTGGAATATGCTTTTAAATACTTTTTGGACTATATTGAGGATTGTGGGGAGTGGGGCTGTGGGGAATGGGTGGGTTTGATGAAGGGAGATGGAGACAATTTTGGCTTTGAATCCCCCAGAGGCCTACCCCTCAATGAGAAAGGAAAGAAACTAAGAAAGAGACCAACAAAAGACAAGGAAAAGGGCAAGTATAAACAGCAAGAAGAAGAATTGCAGAAGGGACATGGAAGAGACTTAAGGGCCTCGGACATAAGGCTTCCAGGTTGATGGACTAGATGGAATGGACAGTAAGGACTGACACGATCCGGGACCAGGAAGAAGGGACGTTGGATGAAGATTGGAATAAAATTTATAAAGAAAATTTTCTATTTAGGGAATTGGCTAAAAATTAATGAATATTAGGGGAAATGTTGGAATGAAACTATATGACTTTAGCAGAAATGATATCAGGAGTAATGTATATTTGATAACTAAGATTTAAGCTCTAAGGTATTTTTTATGTATTATAGTGTTGTTTTTTAAGGGTTTTTTTTTCCTTCTTATAATTCTGAAACTACTAATAAATATTATTTTTTTTAAAAAAAAGATATATGAACAAGTAATTTCCAAATCAGGCGTGCATGACCATCTCTTTTTACTTAATTTAGCACTGGTCTGTGTTCTTGATCTGCTTAAAAGTTGCTAAACTGCAAATAGAAAATACAGTTTGCAAATGTATTTAAATGATTTGAACATAAAAAGTAAAAAGAAAATCTATTGAAAAGGACAGCAAAGTGGAAATGTACATATGTAAATTGGTGGTCCAAAAGCATGAAGCAAAGATCAGTGAAACAAAACAATTTTATGTCTCATCTACTTTTCAAAAATTCTGGCACTGGATGACCCAGTCCACAGCTCACTTAGGTGGAGATCTCTGATTTGAGCAAGAGAAGCTCATTAACTCACAATGCAGTAAAGGCTACTTGTACATCTGATTGTTAACTGTCTCCTTGACACATGAGAGCAGATTCCTCAACCAAATTTGCTAGTGCCTTTAGACACACGGCTGCATAATAACAGCAGATATTTAGTATCATCTCTATGTAACTTAATATCTCAAGTTATATAGTTAGAAACTTGCAGCTTGTTCTACTAAGTCACAATATAAATTGAAATTTAGCTTTTGATACTGACTTTGTTTTTTCATATTTCAGTTTGCTGTTGGCTATGCATTAACCATGCGTGCACTGCAGTAATCTGCTCCGGGTTATCAAAGCTTGGGTTGAAGCTGGTAATAGACACTTATTTCTATGGAAGTTGTTTGGGATTTTCGTAACAAAACTGAATTCAGGAGTCCCCTCACACTATAGACCTGTTCTTTCAAGAGCACTGCATCATCATCCAGAACAGGCCATCTGCCTGATTCCCAGATCTGAGAACTGTCAGCCCACACCATCGCTTGTCCTGGGTTCAGTTTAAACAATGATCTCAATGGCATTCAGCCTGATTAGAAGTAGTTGTCCCTGTGGCAACTTTTCTTTATTAAGACATTTGCGTTGTGAAATTACGGTTTTCTATCTTCCATGTTGCTAGCTAGTATGTGCTAGTATCTTTTTAGGTACTTTATACTAGTTGTTAGATTATGCTCAATAGGGGTAATAAAGCTTAGGCCATGTCTGGCCCAATCGCCTTCTAAATCTGGCCTGCGGACGGTCCGGGTATCAGAGTGTTTTTACATGGGTAGAATGTGTCCTTTTATTTAAAATGCATCTCTGGGTTATTTGTGGGGCCTGCCTGGTGTTTTTTACATGAGTAGAATGTGTGCTTTTATTTTAAATGCATCTCTGGGTTATTTGTGGGGCATAGGAATTTGTTCATTATTTTTTTTCAAAATATAGTACGCCCCCCCCACAAGGTCTGAGGGACAGTGGGCCGGCCCCATGCTGAAAAAGTTTGCTGACCCCTGGCTTAGGCAATCAAGAGATGAAATAGTGGGCTGAAATTTTCTTTTGTAAGTGCCTTGCACTGAAAGTAGTAGGATTGCCAATGGATTAATCTGTTTCTGCATTATCAATCCACCTGCAGAAAGATATTACACGTGGTGTTATTTTTATTTTGGGAAGTAGGGTTATTTACAAGCTGTTGCGTATGGTGGGGAGGACTGTATCCTGTGCTAGGGCAATGCATCTGCAATGCTTTATTTTCTGCAGTAAAAGGTAAAGGGACCCCTGACCGTTGGGTCCAGTCGTGGACGACTCTGGGGTTGCAGCGCTCATCTCACTTTACTGGCCGAGGGAGCCGGTGTACAGCTTCCGGGGTCATGTGGCCAGCATGACTAAGCTGCTTCTGGTGAACCAGAGCAGCGCATGGAAACGCCATTTACCTTCCCGCCAGAGTGGTACCTATTTATCTACTTGCACTTTGACGTGCTTTCGAACTGCTAGGTTGGCAGGAGCAGGGACCGAGCAACGGGAGCTCACCCCATCGTGGGGATTTGAACCACTGACCTTCTGATTGGCAAGCCCTAGGCTCTGTGGTTTAGACCACAGCGCCATCCGCGTCCCATTGCAGTAGGTGTAGTCATTAAAATCTATTTAATCATGCTTGCGGTGAAGCAATATGATCAGATATTAGAGTTTTGAAAATTTTATCTTGGATCCATCCATTGCTGTTTGCAACCAACTATATTTAGATTTATCCCAAAACTTCCTATATTTTAATTCACGTATCATTTAAAAGAGAGGGAGCAGAATCCAATGGGCCAACTTTCAGTTATGCACCTTCATCTCTCTCCACCCCCACCCACCACTGCAGCCCTCCATGTGTGCTCAAAAGCTGCTCTAGAAGGTTTCCCTCTGGAGTATATTTTGGGTAGACATGTTGGAGTGCAAAAATTGCCTTGCATGTATTGAAGTCTGTTCCACTTGCACACAGACAGCATTGCACAGAACCCACGTTTTCTATTTTACTAACAATCAGGTGCATTTTCCTTTTAAAAATACATTTGCTTATTAAGTGGCTTTTTAAAAAAAAATGTTTCTGTTTACCCTGCACTATTTGTTTTAATAGAGTTTCCTAATTTTAATGCAGTTTAAAATTGTATGCATTGCCGTTTATGCTGCCTGGAGTACATTAGATGCTTACACATCAGTTGCTATAATGGTTGATAGGTTGCTGAAGATGCAGAGAAAAACGAGTTAACTAAGGAATGAAACAGGAACCCTGTCAATTTCCAGGAATTTGTAAAGCTTTAATTTGACAGCACTTGGTACTGCAGCAGGAATGTTGCTGATCAATGTGTACTTTATCATTAATGTTTCAGATAGGAAGGGCAAAGGGTTTCTCTTAAAGCCTCTTATTTCATCCCAATAAGAGAACTGTGGATTTCTTAATTATTCCCAGATATCCAGCTAGACAGTTCTTTGGTGTTGTACTGTACTCTGATTTTCTATGAACTAAAATAACTTGGTTGAGTATAGTAGAGGAGTCCCTCTTGAAAACCAACAAAATCAAACTACCCTGAATTGCATTGGCTTTGCACACCCAAGCAGCAACTGTTATTTCATTTTTACGACATCATTTGGCAAGTTCTTAACTCAAAGGTCTCTTGAGATTTTATTGGCTAATTTCATCAATATTAACCTATTGGCTGATATGCTGCCCTTGTAAAGTATTTACTGCACAGCAATTTATCAAGAATGCTTACTTGTACACTTAAAAGTGTGACTACACAAATGCTTAAAGATTTACAGTGGAGGAGTCTGTTTATTGATTTTTAATAGGCTACTTATCAAGACCATAATGAAGTCCTAACATTTTTCATTCCTGTGCTGTCTGCTTTGCAATGTAATACTATGTGTATAAACTGGTACAAAATTATTTTTTTAGTTCCCCACTCCACCCCCGAAATAGATAGGGAGAAAGTTTACATAGGCTTAAGAGTGAGTACTACTTTGGTGGCTTAGAGCAACCACTAAGCTTAGGACCAAGACGGGAGAGAGATTCCAGAACTTGACCCTTGCTTTGCCCTTTCATACCTGCATTAACCACAAAGATGGATGGGAAAGAGAGCATGCAGGACACACTCCCTCCTATCAGTCATTAGACCATTGACCTCTATGGCTCTTTTTGAGGGGCAGGCTCTAGATCAGAGATGGGAAATCTTGGGTCAGCCCTCCAGTCTTCTCTGTCTGGTCCTCAGAATTCTCCCCACATCACATCCCTTACTTGCACCCTCCTTGGATGAAATGTGTCCTTGCACTTTGATAATGTAGGATAGAGAGGTGCATTTGTTGCCTTGTGCGCTTTTGCCTCTGGCTCTGCTCACACAGTGCTCCTGGAAGGGAAGGTCTTTTGGCTGAAAAAGCCTCACTACCCCTGTCACACTTGTGACACACTTGTGGTTGGTTTGAGCAAAGCCTTCCAGGAACAAAAATGAAGGTTAAGCAGAATAGCTGGGGAGGTGGTGGTAGACAGGAAGAAGTCAGAGCTGAAATTGAAGCTGGAGGTAGCTACATCCTGTTTTGGTAACCAGAGGAATACTACATCTCTTAATATAAATAAATATTCTGTTTTAAGCCATCATGACTAATGAGCACCATGTTCTGTACTGAGAAAAAAATTTAAACCAAGAAAAATAGGTTTTTGTATCCTGCATGAATTCTGTACTCTATTTGTAACTTTCCATGGTTTATTTTGGTTTTGACAAGCATGAGGAGAGAGCATTGTTATGTTCAGTCACGTTTCCCTTCTTTGATTTAAAATGACATTGGCTGCACTTTCAAGGTGCACCACTATTTTCTCTAGAACTGTGTTTCTCAGAAAGCTAAATTCTGCACTAAATTCTGCACTCAATATCAGATTCTGCACTCAGGGATTTTGTATTCTGTGAAATTACTTTCAGTTACAAACCTTACAGCCAATCAATATTGATGACTTCTGGTGAATAAAATTACTTCCTGTGGATCACAGTTCTTGCCTACCCCTTCCTAATTGCCTAGCAACCTTCTAGCCTTTTTAAAGTTCAAAAAGTGGTGGGAATCAGCCCTGGCAGCACAGATCTGTACAATATGGAGGCTGCATAGGCACAGGGTCCTTTTTCTGTAACCTGGGATCAGAAAGGGGAAACCAGCCCTGTGCTCAGTTTTCACATAGCACAGAAGGCCAATCTAAGGGCTGGCTTTATCTCTCCTGCATAGGGTAAATGGCATGAGCCACAAAACAGATAAGCACAAAGTGTGAGATCTTTTCTCTTTGAATAATTATTTGCAATACATACTGGCAGTTAAGTAGCTTCATAGTTGGGTGAGGGAGAGGAACCAGTCAGCTGAAATCCGCAAGATGCATTGAGTAAGAGTGGTTGCTAACTGGGCTCTTCCAGTACTGGTTAGTATGCTTTTAGCACTTCCTTAGCACTACACATGTGTGAACAGTTCAGAACTTGCTGCCCTTTCAACACTAAACACTGCATCAGGCTAAAAGCTCAGTGCAAAACACATCCTCAGTTTCCTCTCTCTCTCCCTCCCTCTCTCTCTCTCTCTAATGCAACACAGATTTCACATTAGAGAGGCCTCTCCAAGATGGTGTGGGGGGAAGGGAATATGGCTTTCTTTCAGAGCTGGAAAAATACTCACATTTTCGTAGTGTTTCTATACAAAGTACCCGATTAAAGTATTTTTCAAATATTCAAAGCATGAAAAGAGAAGGATTGCAAAAACTACAATATTGGCATAGCTCTTCAATACATTTCCAAAACAAAATCCTAAATAGATTCATTCACTAATGAATATTTTACTTAGTTTTACAAGAGTAACAAATAAGGTGGATGTATGTTTAAATACTCCTGTTGATGAGAAAAGTAGCTATGCAGACAAATTAAAGTGTGTGAGCTTGAATTCAGTGTTGAGCTTGGATTTGGTTTTCAGTGGGTGAGATTCAGCTAATGAGGTCCACTAATGGAAACCTGTGCAAGAACTTCCACTAATGCAATGGGGCTTTCACCCCTTTCTTCATTCACCAAATTGGCTTGGGGGTGGGCAGAGAACTACTAGAGCAAGCATGTGGGGTGAGAGCAAGGAAACCTTCCAGCTGGCGAGCTGAAATGATTCTGCTGATGGAATGATTGCCCAAATGTTTCCCCAAATGACAGTCAAATGGTTGTGGGCTGGATCCACAGTAGCATTCAGTGAAGTGTTCCACTCACAATGGAGGCAGGAGGCAGGGGTGCAGTCTTTGCCAATACCTCCTGCAGCTCCTTGCCCCTCCTAAAATTTTGTTTCAAAACACTGCAGGGTCTTCCAGAGCATCACGAGAGGAGGCACAGGGGAGGAAGGATTGGCAAATATGACTTCTCGCCCTACTCAAGCAAAAAGCTTTTGCTGTATCTTGTGCCTTGGTCACTGGATGGCCAATCTGGATTTGGTCCGTTGCATTTTTGGTTGACCAACAAGAGTGATATTTGAAAATAGATTTTTCACAGGTGCAAACAAGCATAAGCCTACATTATACCGGTTGAATAGCATAGCATTCCAAGGTTTTGCCATTTGTAATGTAATAAGGTTGTATATGATGACTATTGTCTGATTCAGAATATGTATGTGCTAACATTTGTAAAGGAGCCCATTAAATTTTTTTTTAATTAAGAAAAAATACCGGCTTGGGGGGGTGAGTAAGAAAAGTGATGGTGTCGTTAAGCTATTTTTGTTCATTTTTCCATGTTTATAAGCTGTTTCCCCCCCCTTTTAAGTATAGGGACAGCATCACACAACTGTATGCATAATATCATAATAAGTGTGATCATTCTCAAGCATTATCAGAAAATCATAAGTATTTTTTGCTTTTAGGGGTTAAATAACAACTGCTTAAAAGATGCAATTTAATTTTTATTTGTTTTACAAATGAGAATTAACAAAACTCTTAAGGTGCTTTCTATTGACTGGACCCTCTTGTATGCTGGGCCCTCCAAACTCTGATCTATTCATTGTTAAAAGAAATAAAAATTGTCCAGTAGCACCTTAGAGACCAACTAAGTTTATTCTGGGTATAAGCTTTCGTGTGCATGCACACTTCTTCAGATACGAAAAAAGAAGGTGCATGCACGCAAAAGCTTATACCCAGAACAAACTTAGTTGGTCTTTAAGGTGCTACTGGACAATTTTTTAAAATTTATTTCGCCTGTGTCAAACCAACGCAGCTGCCTACCTGAATCTTTATTCATTGTTAATTTGTGTTGCACACAGCAATGGGAACGCAGACATTTTGAGACTAGGCAATGGTCAAGGATGATGGTAGATCAACAATGTCTGGGGGGCACCAGAGCTTTGTGCACCAACATGCAGCATGCACACCTTAAGGGTGACTAAACTGTATGACTTAGTGTTACATGCAAGCACAGCCATTCTGTATGTAAATTTTAAATTATTTGTGAATGCTTAATGAAATCCGCATTCAGCCTTTATGCAAAGGTCTGTGGGGATTTAATCTTGTGAAGTAGGACTTTTAATGTAATTGCCCCATTCTCTTTTTGAATCTTGGTCTGCATTCCTGTTGGATGTAAATGTACATGCTGTTAAGTTTAAAATTCAACAATGCAATGTGTATATTGTATGTGATTCTGATTTAGAAGGTAGAAGTTCAGAAACGGAGACTGCTATGACTTTTGATCTAACATGATGTGCTTTAATATTCTGATTGTTCTACAACGCATGGTGAGTTTACTTGATTTCATTCATTCATATTTCTAAATTTCTAAATTCATTGGCTCATAATTTCTCATTGGCGGAGCCCCAGTTACATGATGTATTATTCCATTAAGTCATTATATGTTGGGATAAAATATGATGCAGGTTGAGAAAAGAGGTAGATAAGCCTTAAGAAATGTATCCTACTAAGTCATGTCTAGAAATGCGAACTTATCTGTGTTGGGAGCTACTGAGTTACCTGCTCTAGAAAGGGATGTGCACGCCTGTAATATGCATCAAACTGGTTTTCCATATGTGTGGGTCTGAGCTGTGCATAGGTTGCCTATGCTGGGTCAAATGAAAAGGTGCAAAAACATGTTGGTATAGGAATTTCATACATATCAACACTAATATGCTTCCCCGCCCACTGAAGGGACCAATGGGAGGGGGTGGGGAATGTGGATGAAACAGAAGGGGCGGAGACAGAAAGATGCAGCCACTCCCAGCTTATACCTTCTTGGCATGATGTGGTAAGACTTTTTGGATTTCTTGTTCCTTCACCTCAACTCCATTTTAAAAATAGCATGAATTAAAAAATGCATCCTTTTCTTGTTTTGTGGATATGAAACAAAATATTTGTAGCATTTAAACTTAAGACTAAAAAGTATAAAGTTGTCATTTGTCTACTGTTCAGAAGCATAGGATATATTCCAGCCAACACTAAAGCTCTTCATTTCATCAATTTCAGAGGGAGGGATGAACATTTGCTTAAAGCTATCCCATGAAGTCAACATAGCACGCATCAAGATCATGTGGGGGGCAGACATGGGTATAGAAATAAGTAATGGGAAAAGGGAAGGAAAATGGAGAAAGCAACCCATTTAAATCAATTTCACCTTCTATCAAGGAGTCTCTGAACACCTGTGAAACTGCAGTTCATACATAGGAATTTATTGTCCAATTGTTGCAGGGGAATGTTGCCAGGACAGCATTGATGCACCTCTTTGGGTAATGCCTTTGTGTTGTCATTTGCTTCCAAAATGCACATTTTCAGTTTTGTTGTCAATATTGGGTAACCACTTTCACATAGAAAGTTGGTGGCACTCTTCTTACCTGCAATGAAGATGCAGATCTCTTGAGGGTTGGAAGACTTCTGATGGGTATTCACCATGGGGGGCTCATTCCGGTTGCCATTTTGTTTCAGCATCTACATGCAACCACCCAGTGGGGTTGTGTGGAATTTTGGACTGCTTTGTCATCAGTATGCTGATGATACACCACTCTGTTTCTCTTTTACATCTTCTGCAGGTGAGGCAGTGGATGAGCTGAATTGATGCTTGATGGCAATAATAGACATCATGAGGGCAACTAATCTGACTCTCAATCCAAACAAGACTGAGATGCTGTTAGTGAGTGGTTCTTCTGTCTGACTTGAGTGGTGTGAAGCTCTAGATGGGATCACGTTGCTTCTAAACAGGTTCATAATTTGGGAATTTTCCTGGATTCCTTGCTTTCATTTGAGGCACAGGTGACTGATGGTGGTGCAGAGTGCCTTCCACAAGTTTAGGCTGATGGCTGTGTTACAATCCTATCAGGACAGATAATATAATACAAACTCTGTCACATCTGCACTGGTTGCTTGTATACTTCTGAACCCAATTCAGAGAGCTGGTTTTGACCTATAAAGCTATTTATGGCTCAGGACCAAAATATCCTTCAATCTAAGGGTCTGTCCTCTGAGAGAGGTTTGTTGGATTATAAGGGAGAGGCTATTCTCAGTTTTTGGAACGTTCTCCCCAGTGAGATTTGCCTGGTGCCTTCACTGAGATGTTTTTGGGCTGCAGGTAAAATTTTACATCCTTTCCCAGGCTTTTGGTGGAAAACAATGATATTGTTTGCTATTAGCTGTGCTGCTAAAGCATTCTGTTGCTGTTCCTGGGCATTGCTTGGGGATTTCTATGAATTGTGTGTGTTTATATTTGTGTGTGCTCTTTAAAATGTTGTATGTCAATTGGATGGATATCTTTTGTTCGTCGGGAGGGGGGAAGTGTAACAAGCGACTATCAAGTTCCAGTAATAATTATCACAGATTTCATTTTAAACCAGGTTGATTTTAGAGACATTTAATAAGATCAACAATTCTCAACAATGAAAAACAATTATTAAACAATTGTCTATTCTTACCTACCTGACTGTAACAGAAGCCTGAAAAAAACCCATTACTGCTTTTTCTCTGTTTGCTTCCATCTTGGATTATAGATCGATAAAACTTTAGTTGAGATCATCTTTATTCATATTGGCATCAAGTAGAGGCATCATTACTTTAATACTGCAGCCCTCAAAGCATTCAGGGAGGAATCCTCAAACTTTTCACTGCAAATATAGGCCTGCCTCAAAAGTAAGTTGTTAGAGGTTGATATAGTCGCCTTTTAGGAGTATAGCATATATCTCTGTACGCCTTGCTATTGTCTAGATTCCTGTCCTTAATCCCCCCCACATTCTTCCCGAAGTAGGACTTAGATTCTAAGTAGTATGTGCCTACAGCTTTAGGTGATAGGTACTTTATCTTCCTTAAAAGCAAATATGCTTAGGGTTGCAACCTTACTAGGCAGTTAGTTACATTAAAGTTGGTCAACTTTGTCTGGAAGCAAATTGTGTGCTGCATCAGGGGTGTGCTGTGCATTAAAGACTCTTCCATGTATGCTCAATCTTTTATTTCTTCAGGCTCCCTGGACTTCTCTAATAGAAATTATCTGACCTATATAAAGAACTGAATACTCTCAAACAGCACGAACAGCTAGGATATTATTTTCAGCCCTGCAGTATTTCTGATTACCAGAACAAATAGCTGGTGGTTCTGTAATCCTAATATTTTACTTGAGAGTTGGGCCCAATAATTTTAGTAGAGTTTTTTGCGCTCCCATATTGCTTGGACAATCCTTGTAGAGCATTACAATTGCTGGGATCTACTTCCAGGTGAAAGCATTTAGGATCAAAATGCTGAGTTGCTCTCTTATCCACAGTGAATTCCAGCATTCTTTTTGAGTTGTACTCACAATACAAGCCACATTGGTGATACTTGAACTTGCTTGTAGATGGTGCCTAGAATTGTGCTCTAATCAAATTCACTTGGAGGCATGTTTAAATGAAACTCTATTCCATGTATGCATGCTTAGGGTGACAGTCTCCGACAACTTCTTAAAAAACCCTCTGAAACATCAGCACACAAGCAGCTCTGTCTGATATAGCTTCATTGAATCACTAACTAAATTGTTGAAAATAAATCTGTATTGACTGTTTTATAGCAATTGTACCTACATATACCTATACCAGACAACATGCTAAACCACACCACTGTGAGTGAGCTTTTTATTCCTGATGGTCTCTACCCTGCTCAAATTGTGCTGGGATTCCGTCTCTACTATCCTCTTTGGGTTTTGTGCACCATAGTTTGCTGTTGAATGTGATTTCTGCTTATCATGCAAAACAGGGTTAGAAATTGGGAGCGCACTGTGGTGTCTACTCCTGATTTTCAGGGCAAGTAGAAACAGTTTCCCCGATCAGACAAAAGGACAAACCATTGTTTTTCCTGGAAAAATGAGGGAGGGCATAAGAGGCCTCTGAAGTTCATTTATAAAATGCCAACCCCTATAATTGCAAACCAGCCCTCACTGTTCCGTAATGCAGTACTAAAGCCTAATGATCCACAGATGTTCTAAGAGGAATGATTTTATTCAGAAAAATAATTGACTTCATATTCATATAATGATGATATTGTTGCTGTTTACTGTTTTGGGTACCCCTCCCCTTTTGTTGTATACAGCTTTCTTAACACATGCTAGCAAGGTAAGCAAGTCTACCCAACTCTCCTTGCTATCCTGCTTTAATTTAAAAGTTTCTTTGCTGACCAAGTGCTTCACCATTTGTGCAAAGTCAGCACTGGTCTTTCTCATCCAGTCAGGCTTTTCTTTCTTTCTTTCTCTCTCTCTCTCCCCTCTCCCACCCCCTCCCCTCCTTGTTGCAATGAGTGGCATGGCCATCCCCTATTCAGCAAGGCTTTCCCCTCCTCCATTTTGTGGAGATAGGATATCTCTGTTTAGGGACTATTGTAGTACTAAGCATAATGTCAGGGTTTGGTGTGGTTTTTTAAAAAGTTATAAAAAAAATCTGGAAAGGCCATATAAAACCATTTCCTATTTAACAACTTGAAATACTTGCATTTGAAAACAAAACAAACAACCTTGTGGCTAAATTGCGGTGGATGTAAATTTGTAAGTGCTGAGTTGAAAGCTGCAGTCTGCCTTACGGGTTCCCTCCCCCACTCTACTCAAGATTTAGAAATGGTGAGGAATTTGCACCCTCTTGACTCAGGTTGCAGATCATCTTGGTAAAACCAGGGAAGCCAAGAGGTCACAGCTATTCATTGCCTATTATTTCCACAGGCATTCCATTGCTCTGCGAGTTGTCAGAACTTTTCTTTGCTATTGGTCTACAACAGATTTTAGAATTCCATTTTTGTTAGCCAATTGTGATGTGCATTGTGTGTGTTAAAAAAAAAAAAGTGCAGCAATTCTTAAAAGCAATCCTGCTTTTCATGTCACTGCAAATGCATCTAAAATACATGACTTTTTAAAAAAATAAAAAAGTCAGTTGCATTAAAGCTGTGTACATAAATATAAGCATGGTGTATCTTTTGGATCAAAGTAAATTATTATTGCACACTATTTCCAATAGGATATAATAGACAGGAAGTTGGAACAGGAACTGGGACAGAGATGGCTAATCCATGTGTTGTTGGATTCTCAGCTCCCACCAACCCCCACCAGCACAGCCAGTGGTCAGAGGTGACAGGGACTGTAGTCCAGTAATATATGGAGGGCTACTGAGTAGCCACCCTGATCTAGGAAATCTGGGTTCAAAACCTGTCTTTCCTGTGGCTATATGGCATTTTGCCTTGCATATGACTCAGTAGTGTATGGATGAACATGATCTTTGATGTTTCATTTTGGCTGAGCCATTTTGAGCACAGCTTTGGAAAAGAGGTGCGTCTATATTAAATCAAATCAAACTTTGACCGCAATCCTGTACACACTTACCTATACCTCATAGCAATCAGTGAGACTTCTGAGTACGAATGTAGATAAGATTGTGCCGTACGTTCCCTATGTTTAAGATGGGAGCATTGACCCACCAAGAAACTGAATTTTATAGAGTTGTTAGAAGCCTATCACAACGATAGTAAAGCTCAATGCGTATCAATATTCTTCTTCACAGGGCTATTGTGAGGAAAATTAAAATTTCTCTGTAGTGTAAATAATAGCATAAGACAACCATAGGCTTTTAAAAGTTGGTAATATTACTAGGTTGATAACACTAGACACAATGTTGCAAAAGTTAAAAATGTGAAAATTTATTTGGTTTCAATTTAATGAATAAATAAAATTATTAGGAGGCATTTTAAGCATGTGCCATTGAAATCAGTGCTGCTCAGCATGCTTAACACTTGCTAAATTGTGCCCTCTGCTTTAAGAAAATTGCCATCTTAAGGAAAAGGCTGTTCAGCTGATTAATATACCTGCCCCATCTCTACTTAATATTTGTCCTGGCACTTCCCAATAAAGGGTTGTTTACATGATTTAGTATTAAAGTCGCAGATACTGTAAACCGAATCCAGATTGAAACAAATGTCCAATGTTTTGTTCTTATCTCTGCTTCCCAAACACAGCTTTGGTGCAAAACATTTTGGACCACAGGTCTGCCTAGTTATCGGATACTCTTATTTATTCAAGAAGCCTTTGAAGCACACACATGGGGTTGGAACGGGGAAAAGCTTTTTTTTTTTAAAAAAAAAGCATTTTTTTTTTAAATGGCAGAACAAGTTGAGGTGACTCTCAAGAAGTAAAGAGGTTGTTTTGTTTGGAAATGATGAATTGATGTCCCAACCAAAGTCTTTTGATTGTAGCTCTGGCTTTAGATAAAATGCCTGAATAATTGCTCTTGCAGTGGGCCTGGGGAAGATGCCGTTTCACTTTTTTGTTTTGTTTTTTTAAAAAATTGGGTGCATTCAAAAGGTTAAAGTGGGGCCTCCCGATAAGATTAACTCTGCTCCATTATAGCTCCTTGGCATGCAGGCCCCACCCCTGAATAGCCCTGTGCTGCTAATACCATGCCTTTGTTTCTTTTGCTGGAAGGGTGTTTTATAAATATCCCCTCCCCCAGAAAGGAAAGAAAACAGCTCTTTCCCTTTCAGTGCCTTTGGTCATGTGACTTCCCTTCTCTCCCCCCCCCACCACCCTGTGAGTCATGGCTAGGGGTTGAAGGTGAATCAGAGAATGATTCAGAGATCAGAAATCCTATTTTGACATTTATAACAAATTTGCGCCGAAAAGGCTTGTAATTGAATTCATAACAACAGACTAATAGACACACACACACACACACACACACTTACCTTAATTGATGCCTGTCCTGAAATGCCAACATATTATTTTTAAGGGAGAGAGAAATATAAATCTACTACTTTTTTATTTTAATAAGGCTTAAGCTGTAGAACTCAATAAGAGTTCAAAGGGAGGTGGGGAGGGAGAAACTGAATTCTTTCAAGTATACACATGTATGTGGGGGTGGCGCATTGGAGGGAGAAGAAATGTTTCCTGTTTCTGGATAACTTGAGGTTACTGAATGATACCATATTTTCTTTCAATGTGCATGGATGCTGAGGTGGGGGAGGGGCACCAACCCACCCACCCACCTAGCTGGTGGTGGATTTTATGTCAGACTGAAATCTGAAGACAAAAATGTTTGACCGACAGCATTGCAGCCTCTAGATCTTGTTGTTTTGCTCATTATTGATAATTTGGTTTGGTTAGCTGTTTTTTTTTCCTTTTAAAGGAAATGTTATTTCCTAGTCTAATTAAGTACTTATGTCATCTAAAATCATGGCGCTGTTGTAGGTTAGAATCCTAGTTAAAGGCTCATTTGGAGGGTGGCTAGTTTGTGATTGGGTGTTTTATGTCTTGCTTTTTTTAAAAAAAGAGCAGTTGGTCATATTTCAACATCAAAACATTGAAAGATCTCTGCCGGAACCCTCCATTCATTTTTTTCTTGGTTTGTGTGTTTAGTTTTGTTTGTCTTGGTTTTGAACCTCTTATCTTGTATGATAAAGCTAATCGGATTGATTGATGATGAGACAGGCTGATTGTTTAAATGTTTGTGCCTAGCTAAGTTTAAGTCAAGTCAATAAGCGACTGTGTTATGGTACAGAATTATTTTAGATCTAAATCACCTTTGAACATTTCCCCATAAATTTTTTTGCTGAAGTTCAGCAAAGATTTAATTATGTACCTGATTGGGGGGGGGTCATGTATTTCTATGCTCAAATTACCCTTCTAGACTTCTGTATATACTCCAAAGCAGTTGGTAGGCACTGTCAACTCTGATAATCTTGGAGCAGGGTGGAAGTGAATATAGTTTTGCAGCATCCCATTTTGCAGCAGGTGATTAAGCCCTGTCATAACTGTCAACACCAATGACGTGGTGGAGGGGGAGGGGAGTAGACGATAAATATTTGCTAACTTGTTTTCAGATTGGAGGCATGCATTTGTGGAAACTGGCAGTTGAAACAAACTGAGTCTGTGGGGTGTGCCTGTGTTTAAGGAAAGCTCTTTTTAGAAAAGAGTTCAAATAATTTGTTCCTCGTTAAGAGTTCATGAATGAATTAGAAAACAAAGGAAAAACTGTGCCATGAAGATCATTTTGGTTTTAAAAATGTGATATTTTTACCCATATTTTCTTTCCTGGGATGTTTTTAAGTGGAACAACGCTACTGGTATGGTTTTTGTTCTTTCTCTGTTTTATATTGATTGTTTAATGCAGCTTCTTAGGATTTTAATTCTGTGTTTTGTTGTTCTTTATAAAGATATCTTTCACCCAGAAAGCATTAGTTATTAGGCAGCTAAGAAATATAAAAAGTAAATAAGACTTGTACCAGTTTTAATGACAGTAATGTTTGTGACTAAGTTAAAAATAACTGTATATTTTAGTATGGTGGGGAGTGGTAATTACTTCTTTTGGATGTAGGTCTCCAAAAATTCTTCATGTGGTAATGCATAATGTTTATACTAAATTTACTGTGTGAGTCAGTCTAATCACGCAAACATGTCTTGAATGGAGGGTGCATTCCGGAATTAATGGTTATACTTTGCTAAACTGGGGCAGCCAGAATGCTTAATTCAAGTGCAACATTGTAAGCAGATCTTAACAAGTAAACAAGCTGTATAGCTTGCAGAAAAGTTCAGCTGTGTGTGTTTTAACTTTGGCCTCCTTCATTTTAGCACTATCTGATTAGCCCTCAGAACACTTTACTTTTATATTGCTTAGCAACCCAGAATGAGGGGGAAGCTGATTAGAACAAAGGCAAAGTCAGGAAATTTTCAGAGTAGTAGAGAGGGGAGAGAGAGAGAGATAAAGAGAGAGAAAGAGTTTGCTGTCTATCTCTCCATTTCAGTGTATTTCATTCTCCCTCTTGCATTCTAAGAGCAGCATGTTCATCCTTGCAACAACTTTGAATGTCAGGCAAGACCCTGACTTGCCAAAGTCTCAAAGGGAACTTTACTGAGTAAGGATTTTCAACCTAGGCCTCCATGGTCTAAGTCTTCAGTGCCCAGTTCCACAGCATCTGATTGATGCCTGTTTTAAAATTGAGTGTTAGATAGGGAAACTTATCAAGCCTGCATTTGGGATGTAGTTTACGTCTTGTAATACTACTTTGAACCACATTATAGTTTGTGGTGGTCCCCCCCCCCCCAAACTGGCAAAACTATCCCATTTCTCTTTTGATCTTAGAAGTTAGCCCTGCTGAGATAGTGGTGTTGTCAGATCTAAAGCTTTGCAGGCATTATAGCCAAATCCATAATGGATACACATCAGCACCACCATTATACCGCACTAGGCAACATTTACCCTATATTGAAGTCAAAGGTGAAATCATGGCGTCTCCTGACTAATCTTTTCTCACATAAATCCAGGGAAGTCAATATGACAACTCCTTTAATTAAGGCTTCATGAGATCGACAGAGTTAGGAACATCAAGCTTTTGTTTATTAGAGAAACAACAGAGGTATATTTAATAAGATCCTGAAAACTCATCCTTAATTTTGTGTTTTTGACCACAGGATGATATTGACTCTTTTGTTGATTGTTAGGAGTAAACATTTCTATGGTAACTTTGAAACTGTGATGCTACCGGTGTCCATCTTTAGTAAGAAGATGAATAGTGAAGTTCATGTTTTGCTATATAGTGTGTTGGTAGATCTGGTCTGTGAATTTTCCCATGTCTTCTCCAATATCCTGCTTCACTGAGAATGAAATTGCCAATTAATTTCATGGCATGTATAACCCTGTCTTTTCTCTCAAAATGAATCCCGAGATGGCAAACACCAAAGGTGAAAGGAAGTGGAATAGTCTAATGTCATCAAATAATGCTGTGTTAGGGACATAACTGGTATCTGGTGTCCATATTGCAAAGACAGAGAACGGAAGCAATAGATTTGAGCTGTGAGAAGGTAGTTTTAGGTTAAACACTCAGAGCAGGTGCACAATGGAAAATCTTTTCCTCATTTGCTAGAGGCTTTTAAGGAGAAGCTGGATAAAGCTTTTAGTGACAATAGTTTTAGCAAATCATTCCTAATTTAAAGTACAATGTATAGTATATAAAAATTCTAAAATGTATGATGAAGATGGGCATGATCTTATGTATGTATTTATTCTAAAGTGTGAATTAAGTCTTAAAGTATTTTTCTCTATTCATCTGTGGCAACACTGAACTTTCTAACTTATTTAGGAATAATAACATTTGAAATGTATTTTATAATCACGGTTCTGTGAGGATTCTTTTTCACTCATATTTTTCAAACACAGTTGGATGGTTCAAGTGTAACACTAAAGTTTAGCGTCATAGCAAAGCCTAGGCTCATTTTTGTATTTTCAGTTAACTACAGCTTGCTGTGTCATCTAAACCCAGACAAAGCAGATAATTTTAACAAGAGTTGATGGAGACAAGCCAACTTCAGGCCAGTATTTGTGAAGCTCACCTGTTTTTACTAACCATAGTTAAGGTTAACCATGGTTTAGAGTTCAGAAACAAGGCTAAACTGTCATTGCTTATAGCAGTTCTGAAGGAGGAATGTATGTACCTGAGGCTCATTCTCCTAATGCTTAACAATGACTTATAATTACAGTGGTACCTCACAAGACGAATGCCTCGCAAGACGGAAAACTCGCAAAACGAAAGGGTTTTTGGTTTTTTGAGTTGCTTTGCAAGACGATTTTCCCTATGGGCTTGCTTCGCAAGACGGAAACGTCTTGCAAGTTTGTTTCCTTTTTCTTAAAACCGTTAATACAGTTGCGACTTGGCTTCGAGGAGCAACTCATAGCATGCGGCGTGGTAGCCTTTTTAGAGTTTTTTGAAGACTTTGGTGATTTTTGAAGCTTTTCCAAAACTTTTCCGACACCGTGCTTCGCAAGACGAAAAAAACCGCAAGACGAAAAAACTCGCGGAATGAATTAATTTCGTCTTGCGAGGCACCACTGTATATATGAACAGGGTCACAAGTTCCAGTGTCAGTTTGGGAATTTTTGCATGTTGAACTGGAACCAGTGTAGCTTTGAGGAATAATAGTGTTGCAAACATGACAAGGCTAACTGTGGTAAAGAGAGCCATTTTGATAATGTATCAGTGGGAAGACTGAAGGAGATGGCAGCAAAGATAAAACTGCAGAAATCTGAAGCAGTGTGTGGGGGGGGTGTTTTGAAAAGCAGGATGAAGTTTAAGGGCTTGACTACACCTGTGTATTACTCTGTTCAGTTTTTCTGAAAACTGTAGAGATTCAAGTGAGCCCTGGAGTTACATGATGATCAGTATTCTGTTTAACTCTTTATCTTCCCATATGTACTTTATTTTAAAACATAGAATAATAAACATAAGACATTGTACTTTTTTTTTTTTTACTTGCTAACCTGATGTCTTTGGGAACTCCAAGGACAGGCTATGAAGGCAACAGCACTTCCCCAGCAAATGGTATTCAGGGACATGCTTCCTCTAAATCTGAAGGTTCTGTGTATCTATAATGACTGATAGCCATTGATAAGAATATTCTCCATGTATTTGTCTATATAGCCTTTAAACAAATCCATCTAAGTCACATGGTTCAATCACGTTTAAAATGAGGCAGAAAAAAATGAACATGCTGTCCAGTTTGCTTGTTTTAAATAGCAATAACAGCAAATTAATAATAAAAGGCAGGATTTTATGTTTCAGCAATCAAAGCTGATTGTTTATTATTTATTCAATAATCTGTTCCAGTATTTTAACATTTGTATTTTTTTAAGTATGGTTGTAAATTTTTATCTATTTTGTTGTTTATCTTTTTTTGTAAACCACTTTGAGGGTATTTTGTCACTCATGTATAATTCCTACTATATAAGTAAGTAAAGTTAGGTGTGTGCATGGGCCTCAAGATTCACCTTGCATCTGTTTATTTTTAAAATGCTGATTTATTTCTAAGATGCTCTGTACATTCTCCATTTCCATGTCAATTTTGGATTTCAATACATTTTGTATTCTCCCAATCATTGTAATGGGGAATCAAAAGAACAGCTCCAACATTTTCCCCTTTTGGCAGAAATGGATGACATTTACAACCACAGGAAGCCCTTCCAAAGTGTCAGGGATTTGGGGAAAGTGTTCTTTCCATAATTCATATTAGGGCAATATCTTTATTAGACTGACAAAAATTCCTAAATTTATATTAGTTTCATATTTTCAGTGGAGTTGCAACAGTTTGCTTTTCTCTTTCTTAAGATAAGATGTGGTTGAGTGGTATATATTCTTGCTTGTATATTTTTTTAAAACTTTCTGATGCTTCTTGGTTCCTTCAAGATAGCCTCATGTTGTAAGCCTGGAGTTCTATCTGGAATGCTCCCTTTGAAATTCTGAAGAGCTCTGGGACAGGGGCAGCAGCAGCAGCAGCTGAGGGATTATTTATTAAAGCAGAGCAATGTAGGGTTTTGGTTTTTGTTTTTAAATGAAGCTTTTACCTTTCAAAAAATCCTTAGTGGCTGTTCAGTAATAAAAATAAATACAGAACTCTTCAGTATTTGCAGGCCACATTCAAGACAGCCTTGAAAAAGCCCATGGACCTAGAGAAACAGAGATATAAGGAAACATAGAACGAAACAACAAAAAAGCAACATGAGACATTCTGCAGGCCCTGACTTGGGGAGGTATTGACACCATGATTTAACCTTGGGGAGAGACCCCCAAATCATCCCAATTCATCTTGTTATTCTGTCCCCATTCAAAACGAATACACACCCCAGTTGACAGAGGTATTCAGTGGATACCAGCACTGAACATCACTGAGTTTTATTTTAGTTTTTAAAGTTTACTCTTTTTCTTTTTGAAAAGGAAACTGGGGGCGAGCGAACTCTGTGACTCAGAGTACACCTGAAGAAATGTTCCACAGGATTTCAACATATTAAGATTTCCTCCCCCACCCCAAGGTTACAGTTGTGTTGTTTTTTAAAAAAAAAGCAATGAAATTTACTGTTGGGGTGTGAGGCAATATAAATCGGTTCTCAAATGAGCTTCATAAAGACAAGAATATCTGTATTAGCACATACATCCTTTTGCCAAGGGTGAAAGAAACTGCTTGGCTTTGAGCACCAAAATATAGATCTAGGAGGTTTTTTGATTTGACTCTTAAAGGTTTTTCTGTGTGGTTCAGATTTTCTTTATGAAATAGGAATCTTAAAAAAAAACACCCAACTAATCAGTGAGAGACATTTTGTACCAACTAAGTATTTAGATTTTAGAAAATAATATATTTCCCTCGTTATTTACACAGTCTGGCAATGGCAACATCTGAGTTACACCTAAGTCAAAGTAAGAGATTGTTGTTAGCTTTGAGAAATAATACAAGGAGCGAAATTTGAATCTTTAAATCTCCCTCTCGCCCCCGCCCCCGTCTGTCATTCACACATGATAACCTTGTAAATATAAGTAGATCTGAATAGTTTCCTGTTTCCAGAATTGTTACACTATTACAACGAAAAGACAAGATCATAATAAAACAGAATGCAGAGTTTTAAAATGGCAGCCCCAGATCCTAGTTGTTGCCAAGTTGTTCCCTCTGGTGCAGCAAACTAACAAATAGCTGCTTAATTGACTCTGCAATCTGTGAAGTCCTTTGCCAGTGACTTGCTTAGAATTCAACCAACTGTTGCTCCTGTTAGGCCTTTGCAAAGGAGATTTGAAGGTCAATGGTTCAAATCTGGTTTATGTCAGGAGATGTTAAGTGTACATGTGTTTTTCATTCTTTCAACTTTTCCTGTGGAATAAAACCCTGGATTTTAAAAATTTCAGCGGCAACCATTTAAAAAAAAAGGGCATAGATTGTGTATTTATATGTGCAACTTCAGATTTGAAATCCTTGGTTTTTGTTACATCTGAAAATTCTACAACTTTGTCAAACTGATGGAATACTGGGTACATTAAATGTTAACTGTGCATCTTCACTTTTCTGAATCTTACAGAAAATCAGATTCAGCTCCTGTAGCCCTCAGTCCCCCACCCCTCTCTAACACACATACCTCACATGGGAATAGCATTTTTATAAACTGAGTTGCGTAGAAAGCTCTGTTTTTATTGAATATGCACCAACTGATTATTATTTTTTTAGGTTAATTTATTTAACCATCTCAATGGTTGTTAGTGTGGCTGACTATTTTGTTCCATATGGTTAAATTAGTGTACATCCATACGGAATGCTGCACATAACATTTGTTTACAGTAAGGCAAAGCTGGAATTGTTTGCACATGAAGGCATGGGTGTGTCCCCCGCCCAGTAGCTTAGAAAAGAACATAAAATGAACCTGCTGGATCAGGCCAATGGCCCATCTAGTCCAGCATCCTGTTCTCACAGTGACCACACAGATGCCTGTGAGAAACCTCGCAAGCTGGATTCTATTACAAGAGCACTCCCCACCCTGTTGTGGTTTCCAGCAACTGGCATTCAGAAGCAATTCTGTCTCTAGCTGTAGAGGCAGAGCATTGTCATCATGGCCAATAGCCATTGATAGTCTTCTCCAGGAACATGTCCAGTGTTTTAAAGCCATCTATGTTGGGGGCCATCACTGCCTCCTATGGAAGTGAGTGCCATAGTTTTAACTTTGCACTGCATGAGGAAGTACCATATTTTTCGCTCCATAAGACGCACTTTTTCCCTCCTAAAAAGCAAGGGAAAATGTGTGTGTGTCTTAGGGAGTGAATGCAGGGGGGAGGCAGGCGGGAAAAGCCCCCAAGAGCTGCACACACACTCCACGCGGCTTGTAAAAGGGAGTGTTGAGCAGAGCCTGCGATGCATACAGGCTCTGCTCAGCGCTCCCTTTAAATAATATTTTTTTCTTGAATTCCCCCTCTAGAAATTAGGTGTGCCTTATGATCAGTTGCGCCTTATGGAGCGAAAAATACGGTACTTTCTTCTCTCTCTTTTGAACCTTACAGCATTCAGCTTCATTGGATGTCCCTGAGTTTAGTGTCATGAGAGAGGCAGAAAAGCTTTTCTCTATCCACTTTCTCCATACCTTTTCCTGCTTTCCTGCACATGGTACCTGTGGCCCTCCAGATGTAGCTGGACTCCAGACAACTTCCACCAGCCCTGACCCTGGGCATGCACTCTGGGGCTGATGGAGCATGGAGCCCCAGCATCTAGAGGGTGAAAGGTTCTCCACCCCAGCATATAGTTTTACCTGGCTAATGTTTCATCAGGGAATTTGGATTGTTGAGCTATAAATATTTCTCTTTTACTGGAGACAGTGTATAGCAATGTCCCCTCATTAGATGAATAATAATGTGTATTATTTTTGTAGCACTTAGCATCCCGGTGTTGTGCAAAAATAAAGCAGATATGAAAAGAGACATTTCAGGGGTTGATGATAAAAAGGTGGGAAAGGGAGATGCATGAGTGGGAGTTTCAGAAAGGAAGATTGAGATAAAAGTTGTAGGCAGGTGAAAAAGAAAGAGATCTTTGGCTGAGAAAATAGAAACTTGGCACTAAAAGGAAAGAACTGAGGAGAGTCACAGAGAATCAAGGAAAGAATGGTAAGTGTAAAAGGAATGTGAACACTTTTAAATAAAAAGAAGTTTAAATTGAAGGCACCAGGTCAGTCAACATATAATTCTAAGCCAAGCCATAGCTTTTCCTTTGTTTACAGCTCATTGCCTGTCTGGAAGGGACAACGCATTAAGCCTAAGCATGGCTTAGTGGGTAGCAGGAGGAGCAAAACAGCCACAGTCTGATCTCTAGGAAGCTGCACATTCATGCTAAGCCATAGTGTGGCTTAGCATGACATGCAAACTGGGAAAAGGGAAGACAAAAGGTTATACAATAAAGGAAATGCATGGTCAGTGTAAAAAATACAAGAGTAGCAGGATGGAGATATAACTGGATGGAAGTGAGAAAACTGAAAGATGAAAAAAGCGAATTGCAGTAGTCAAGTTGAGAGAGTATCATACGGTAATGTCTTGGCAAAGGATGAAGTCTAGAAATGTTTTAGAGTGCAATAATACTGTATTGCAGTAGGCTAAAGGTTTCAGGGGTGAGGATCAAGACTGTGCACCTGAGTAAAAGGATAGATGATAGCAGAACCAATAAATCAAATAAGAGAAGGAACTGCTGCCAGAAAATCAGGAAGACAGTTGAGAAGTTCATTTTTAGATGTGCTTAATCTAAGAAAAATGTGAGGAAGACAAGATTAAACAGCAACAAGACATAACACAAGATTAAACAACAAAGCAGAAGGATATGGGCCAAAAAACGACTTGCAATTCATCTGTGGAAAAATTAATAATCCCACATGAATGTATAGTAGTAGCCAAAAGGATAAAAAAAAACAACACAAATAAGCAAAAGTCCTAGGACTGACCCTTGGAAGGACAGCAGCAGAAGGGAGGAAATAAAGAATATGAGCCAGAAATAAAAGGGGGAGAAATGAGTAAAGAGCAACCAGATTGCATACAAAAGCAACCCATATAAATGTTACTTGAAAAACTAATGGAAGATAAAATAGACAATAAAATGGTAAGATCATTTGTGTAAAAATCAGATAATTCTAAAAGACTCTGAAATTATCACCGGTAATATATTACTAGTGATAAGAGTCAAAGCAGATTTAGTGGAGTGGCAGGCATAGAAAACTGACTGGAACAGGCCAGCTAGTAACTAATCATCAAGAAAAGACAGACAAGATGTTGTAGAATTTCAGAAATACAAGGAATAGTACAGAGAGTGAAAAGTCCAGCAAAGAACAGAGAACTGTTCTTGATCTAAAATATACAGAAGATTGAGACTTGAAATATGCAGAACAATGACTAAAGTCAAAGAATTAGGAGAAGAAAAAAGAATAGCTGGTCAGCAACTTGTCTTGCTAGAGTTCCACTTGAGAGAATCTTGGGGATGGCTGGTGATTGTGAATGGGTTTCTGGGCAATCTCCATATTGAATAGGTGTGCCACAATAGTTGCCCTGTTGTTGTTTAGACAACTCAAACTCCTCTAATGTTTTAAAATATTAGATCTTGCTTACTGTTATAATGTGCCAAATCAGATTTGGCAAAGACTGGGATGAGGTGTGTGGTTTAATTGGTTGTTTAATTTGTGGCAGGGGCACATAAATAGTGAAAGTGGAGGAACAGAGAATTGGACAAGGAATGATTCAGGATTTCAGGGCTACCATATGACTATCATTCACTGGGCTGATCCATCATCTCAAAGCAATTTACAGCATTTGAATCCTACCTTTCTAACAAACTGCTCAATAATTAAAGCAATAAATATTGATAAAAATCAGGATCGCAGTGCCTCAATGACCACCTATCCCTATATAAACTGACACAGACTCTGTGATTATCATATGAGGCCCTTCATATGCCTCCTCCATGAGAGGAGGTGGAAACACAAAAGTGGGCCTTTTCTGTGGTGGCTCCCTGTTTCTGGAATGCTTTTGCTAGAAAGGCTTGTCTGGTGCCTTAGTTACATATCTTTAGGTGCCAGGCAAACATGTTCCTCTTTGGCAATCTCTCTCTCTGTGTGTGTGTTTTTTGTTTATTTGTTTCTGTAGTATGTATTTTTTATATTTTTATATTGTAAACCACCCTGTGATCATTGGGTGAAGGGCAGTATAGAAATTTAATAAAAATTAAAAATTAACATTGACTTACTATACATAGCAAGACATACGCTGGACTAAATGCTCTTCACAAGGCAGTTTGGTGATCTATACTTGGAAGGATTTTCAGTAATCGAGTTGCCATAAATAGATCACTTCCTGGTGATTTTTAGACTCGGTGGCCTTGACATTTTGCAAAGAGCAAATGGGGCAAGTTGGGTTGGTCTGTCTTGGCGATCCATGGATTCAGGCAGAGGGAGTTTGCAGTTGGTATGGCTGATGTTCCTGTTAGCTGTGGAATGCAGAGATGACACTGGTGGTATATATCAGGGATGTCCAACCAGTAGATCGCAATCCACTGGTAGATCCCTGGCTGATCCTGGTAGATCATGGGATCCTTATCGTGTACAAATGTTACAGGAAAAAAGATTTAAAACTTTGTGCAATCCTCCCCAAAAAAGCTCAACAACTCTGAGCAATCCACCCACACTCCTCCTCCCTCCAATGACAATGGGTAGATCGCTGCCAGGTTTTTTTTATACTGGGAGTAGATCACAGTCTCTTGGGAGTTGGACATGCCGGGTATGTATTATTGCTCCTAAGTGCCCTCTCCTGGGGAATTGAAGCCAGTCAGCTCCTTGGTTATATGAGGGAGCTTGGAGCACAGAAGTAGCTGGGAAGATGGCTAGAAGAGAAGCAGATGAACGACCAAGTCAAACCCAAGTACAGTCTTCACAGTCTGTTGTGGCATTGATGGCAGCAAGAAGGGAATGCTTTTTCAGTCATCATTGCCTTGACACAGCATCTTTAACTGTTTTAAGTGGAAACAGTTTCACAAGTGGTATGCCTGTATTCAGTTGACAAAAGCCATTCAGTTAAGCATATGCCAATGGCTCTCCCATGTATGCCCAAGCTCCAAAATGCTGGTAAAGTGCAGCTGGTTACGCTTGTAGTGGATGTGTTATTTATGCAATGTGCATATGGTATCCTATGTTGTGGTCAAGTCAAGCCTTGCCTTGGAGCTGTATGGTTGTCAGTGGCAGAAAGGAGAGAGCTTTGCTTTTAAATACTTTTCGAGTTTATGGAACCCTTGAAGCTTTAGGTTACTGAACTGAATTGTAACTATATGCAAACATAGTAAAATGTAAGCCAGACTTGCAACTGAAAATGAGAAACTCAATGGAAAAAGAATAGAAGCATCAGGATTAATAAGAAATCATTTAAACCACGTGGCTACTCAAATACTGTAGAGTCATTCTCGATAAGAAGAAATTAGCATATTTATAACACTTTTTGCACACATGCATAATTTGGAGACTATGCTGCTAAACTAGTATGAAGGGCCTAGAATTCATGGGGAAATTAGGTTTGTTGATGCCTCAATTATATTTATGGTTTTATCTAATTTTTTAAAAAATGGTAATCCTATATGATAACAGAATTTAAATCCACAACCCACACACCACAGTAAAGTTACCAGTGTCCCATATAATTTTAAATCATAGCTACTCAAAATAATGTGCTTTCCTTTTACCCGGTTACTTCCTTCGGAGCTTCATGGAGGAAACAAAGCAGAGACGTGACTTCAGGTTCTATGGGAACCAGAAATCTTGGTTTCTTTTCCCCAACCAAACCACAAGAAGTATAAGCCAAGTTTGCTTCTTCACTGCAGCTAGCTCATGGTTTGTTTGGTGGTGGTGGGGAGAACCGTGAGTGCAGATTAGCATGCTCCATGAAGCCAGTCTCTGGTTTGTTTACCCCTGGTTGAGAACACATAGGAGTGGTGGATGAGCTTAAATGCTCATTTTTTTAAACAACATGTCATAGCTTATTTTAAACTATAGTTTAAGCGATGTGTGAACTGGTTTGTGTGAAGAGAATGTATTGGGGCTTCTTGGTAGGGGTGTACGCTGACAGCAAGTCTTGGTTTGGATCCTGATTTGTTGCTTTGGAAAGCAGCCTGCCTCAGTCTGAGGCACTTTGCAGTTCACATACAGTGGTACCTTGGTTTATGCACTTAATCCATTCTGGAAGTCCGTTCTTAAACCAAAGCCATTCTTAAACCAAGGCTCACTTTCCCTAATGAGGCCTCCCGCCACCAGTGCACTTCCACCATCGTAGACCAAGGTAAAGTTCGCTAACTGGAACACTACTTCCGGTTTTGTGGAGTTCTTATACCGAATAGTTCGTAAACTGGACTGTTCTTAAACTGAGGTACCACTGTATTTGGGTTGGGACCCATTCAGATCTGCTTAGTTGTTTCCCCCCACTGTTCAGAAATTTTATATAAAACCATTTTTCCCGTTTGACAGAAATGAATGAAATTTGCAAGCATCCTAACCTCTCCAAAATGGATAAAGCCTGTGACATAGGTCCAGGAACTTTTATTCTAGACAGCATTTAACATCTTATTTTAGAAAGAAATAAAAAAGAAATGTTACTCCTTCTGAGAGCACAATTCTTCCCTAATTCTAGGATAGGTACAATGATTTTCCTGCAATGGCAGCTGTTAGCTTTCGGTTGGTTAAAAAAAATCACTTAATCTCCCTTAGTTTTATGTGGATGGTTGGCCTGAAAATTACAGATGTGAGATAAATGCTCCTGCAGAAGAAAAATGGCAGATTGCAGACATATTGATCCAGGTGCTTTTTTGCTAGGCATATTTAATTTTGAGATGGAAAGAACTGCAAGGGATTTGCTTCCCAGATAAAAGTAAGCGCACTGATTACAAGTGTGCCCTGTTGGGCTCAATGGAGTTCTTCCTCTGCTCTGTCCCCACTTTGGTGTTGCTCCCCGTCTGTTATGATACATACCTTGGTGTTATGACAAGCTTAGAGAGATTACTTTCTCTTTCAGCGGTTGCTTGCCTGCAGCATCTTTTATTAGCGTCTGGGTTACCAAGGCGCCACAAAGTGCTTCAGGGGACCTGGCTTCACCTTAGGCCACATTGTCCACATCCCCACATTGCCTTTTGCAAACCAAAAATCCCTCTGTGGCATCTTGGCTTACCTTCAGGATTGGTCCAAATCTGATGCATCATTGCATATGTGATCATTAGGTGGGAAGTCTGTATCTTTGCTGTTGGAATAACCTCAGGGTCTTTCTTTGTATCCATCTGTTGGATACATTTATTATTATTATTATTATTATTATCATCATCTATAGCAACTGTCATTTTTTAAGCCTTGTAGTAAATGACAACACCGGCAAACTCTGCTCTAAAGGTCCCTTATGACCATTTTCATTCACAGACTGAGCTGCAAGCAATTATCTTCTATTCATGCAATGTATTTATTTCATTCCAGGCAATACAATATTCTCAGTTAGGATGGAAGAATAGTGCAGGCAACTTCCTCAGAATTGGCTTTATAAAAAACACTCTGGTTGCAAACTATTATCATAAATGAAAATATTATGCAAATTATCAGTTTGGCTTGGCATTAACCAGCAAGCCTAATACACTATGTTCTTATCGGCAACAGCTTCAAATGAGGAAAAAGTTAATCATTACTTATATACATGGGCATAGGCAGAAATGCCATGCCCAGTGATGGAGTGAAAGTTGTACAACTGTGCAGAACATTACAGCCTTAGTAATAGGTAGGTAGATAGGATTTCTTTTTACTTGTCTACAGTTCTTATGCAAAATTTGGCATTACATCTTAGACTTCTGTTTATGAGTTTGAATTACTTGTAAATTAATTCCTGTACTGCAACACATTTCCAGAGATGGTTAGTCACTATTATAAGCTCCCTGTGTTCAGATACCTGTTAAATATTTTAAGTGATATGCCATTTCTATCAGACAGTTGGCTCAGGCTAAAGTATATATTACATTGTTTCTAAAAATGTAATATATTTCTACTAGTAGTTTAGTTAAACTTCTGAAAGAACTAATTATTTGCAGTTTCTGTAAAACCATTATCTCTGAACTAAATACATAATTAGTAAAAAATTGCTTTGGCCAGAAACATCACTATTAATACTATAGAAAGCAGGGGATCTACCTACCTACCTACCTACCTACCTATTTATCTATCTCCTGTGCTTCATATGCACTTTCAGTCACAAATGTTTCTACATTTGATAATGTTGATAAACTGTAAGCTGGGATATAAAATTAATGGGTATTCGGCTTGTGTTTTTTTAAAAACAATTATTACTGTAACATAAACAACATGCATCTGTTTCATGTTTAGAATTTTACTGCCGTATTCAGTATTTCAGGAAAATAAATTTGGTCTCAAAATATTGCTAGCTGCAGTACACAAAATTCTCAGTTAGAGACTATTTATCCAAGATGTTTTTAAAAAAATTCTTCCATGATAATTGAGAATTATTTCCACTGAGAATATACTATTTTAAAACATGGAATTTCTTTCTTTTAAAAATAATAAATATACTAACCTAATATAATTTGCTAACTCTTTCATTTCTCACGTAATTTATTGGTTTTATGCAGACCTGGGCTTTAATAGACTAGAATCTCTATCAAGTGGGCTTTAAAGAGGAGCAGAATCCCAGCTGTTTCATGTGCACTGACAGATGTGGCCATAATGTACAAGTAATTTCTCTCGTGAAGCCTCTGAAAAGGCTTGTGCTGTAGAAGAAGCAAAAGCCCAGTTCACGGCACAAGGAGCGTTTGGCTTCTTCTTTGTTGCATAATATTTGCAAGTTCGTTCTTTTTCCACAAGCACAATTTAGGTCTGATGTCTGGGTAGACTAGTTTGGAAACTGAATCATTACCATCATCATTAGCAGTAGTAAAACCCAAAACAACAGCAGAATGTGTCTTTGTATGTGTGCTGTAAATAAAGATGTTTTTCCAGGAGCCTGAGCCATAAATGTACTTCTTTTGATGCAAATGGTTTGCTGATTCATTACCTTTGCATTCAGAAGATCCTTCAGTATTGGCCAGAAAAAAAACATGTTAATAGTTAAGCTATGTCGATTCATAAGTCTTAGTATGCTGCCAGCTGTAGTTTGCTTGTTTGTTTGGGAATGCTACTGTCTTTTTCACAAGGTGTGTATAGTAAGCAGGGAGGCAGGCAGGCATTGCGATCCACTTCCACACAAAAGCAGCGTAGCATGTGATTAGGAAACTCAGATATCTTGGCAGTAACAAGCTCTGTAGCCTCCCAGTGCCAATCAAATATGTTTTTGAGATCTGCAGAAAAATGCCACGCCATGAATCCCTCCTCCGCATATGTGATATCGCCTGTGTGGATGTAGACATATAGGGAGAGAAATCTCCCATGCACAGAAAAAATGGCCAGTATAAACTATGAAGAAATATTTAGGCACTATTGGCTTATTTTTAATAATTAAAATTTATGTTTAAGGCTGGCTGTGATGCTAATTTAATGGTATAAAGTTGTGCTTCTCAAACCAATGAAATAAAATGCAAGCAAAATATTAAGTGCAAGGTGAATTTCTCTAAGCGAAATGTGTGTGTGTGTTTTCTCCAGAGCTGTGCATGGTGCATCAGCAGGTGTTCGGACCCTGACTGGAAGCCCACAAAAGAGAGGAAATTCTGAATTAAGGCTCATTATGGGAGCCCTTTCTCCCTCCCATGCTTGTATGCTAATAGGAGTAACACAGGCATATAAAGAGGAGAATAGATAGTCATAAAGAGCCCCAACTTGGAGTTTCCTTCCTTTTGTGAATTTAAGTCAGATTCTGAAGCACCCACTGACACTGGGCACAATGCATCAGAAACGTCTTCTGTACAAGACCACTGAAATTAATGGGACTCTCAGAAGGATGGAATTTGTGCAGAGGATGCTCCTGGTAGAATATGTAAGGCAACACTTTTTAAAAACAAAACACTAAGGGATAATTTTATCAGGCATTGTTTCTTGCTCAGTTAGCAATTATTGCTACAGTAGCTAACTGGTGAGTTAAGCTTAAGCAGCCAATCGACCAGAGGGTAAGTAACACTCATTTATCTAATTATTTAGTTAATTAAAGCATCAGCTTAAACTAATAAGGGCACAGGAGCTAAATCCTGTAATAACTTATAGCTCTGAAGCTAAATCTGTTGAACGGCAGATCTGTAGAAACCTAGTTTTCAGTTCTACCCTAGCAAGCAAGTTTTGGGAGGTCACAGATACCCTTTATTATTGTCCTTTTGTTGTTTTCCATTGGCTTAAATGTAATGTAAGTTGTTTTAGTTGCTGTGGTGTATGGCTGGGGGGCTTCAGCTCTTGTATTTGCTAGTTGTTTTTAGCCTATGTGATTTTTATTGTTTATTTTATTGTGCCTTTTGTTTTGAGGTTCTGTGCTGGGTTGTGTATTTATTTATTGTGAAATTTTACTGGGCAGTTATGTTTTTGATTGATTTTATATGAGCTCCGTCTCCCATTTGCCCCTGGCAGCATGGTCAATTGCCAAGAATAACGGGGGGTTGTAGTTCATCAGAATCTGGAGAGCCATAGCTCCCACACCCCTCCTAGATGGTATGCAGTAGCAGACAGTATTGTATGATATTGACATGTGAATGTGGCCCAGGTGAATGACTAATAATAATAATAATAATAATTTTATTATTTATACTCAGCACATCTGGCTGGGTTGCCCCAGTAGTCACTCTGGGCAGCTTCAGTTTTCCTGCCATTTTCCTAGCTGTAAAATTTTTAGTTTCATTTCCATGTTATATGATTATAGATCAGTAAAACTAATCAGTTAAACTAATGCAATAAACTCATATTTGATTGCGGTCCTGATGTCTACTGATCTTACTGCTGCTTACAAGGAGGTAGAGGAGGAGGAGGTGCCAGTGCACTGGTTGGATTTCCTCTACCAGCATGTTTGCGCTGCGCTGACCTTACTGCCACCTGGCCTCTCTTCCCTCTCCATCCCAGGAAGCAGCAACAGTGCAACTGACCAGAGTGGCTGCACTATATCATCCACTACCAATGCTATCTCAGTTCAGACATTGCATTGAGCTACAGCACACAAAGCATGGCTTAGAGATCCTCTGCAAACCATGGTTTGTCAGTTGGGATATTAGAGCTAACAATGGCTCAGTGTAATGTCCTGAGTCAGAGCTTGGGTAAAACTTAAGCAAAAATAGTCACAGCAGCCAAAAATCCCTCAGGCCACTGTAAATCAGTCCAAATTCATACCTGAAAAGCCAGGCTTGGGGTGCATTGCTAAAAGGCCAGCAATGAAGTTGTGACAAAACTGTATTTTTATGAGGTAAATTCAAATGCAAGAATGTTGTTAGGATATGAAAGCTTTTTGACATTTAAAAAATGGCTGACTGTGTGGTTGTTTACCCCGACTATATAGCCAGAACAGATGCAATATATGTGGTTCAGCTGGCAGTCTGCCAAGAAACAGATAGGTTGTTGCAATTTCAAAAGATGTGTTTTGCTCACATATTTGTATTTCAGTTACGGCAGTTAATCTAATATACTAGCTTTTATATGAGTATTATAGTGGTACATCTAGTTATGAACTTAATTCGTTCTGTTTTAACCTGAAACTGTTCTTAACCTGAGGCGTGCTTTCGCTAATGGGGCCTCTTGCTGCCGCTGTGCTGCTGGCACACAATTTCCATTCTCATCCTGGGGCAAAGTTCTCAACTTGAGGTAGCTCTTCCAGGTTAGCGGAGTTTGTAACCTGAAGCATTTGTAACCTGAGGCATTTGTAACTCGAGGTACCACTGTATATGGCAATTGAAAAGGAGTTGAATTCTGCTAGGTCCTTTAGCAGATGTTCCATTTGAAATCATTGGTTTGGTTATAGGCCAAAAAGGATTTGGAATTCCAGAGCCAGATGATTGGCTAGACGGTTCTGAGTAGAATGGATATAAAGGAAGGCACAGGGTGAGTAGTGGGGAGTTGGTAGTCAGTCATTTGTTCAGAGGCTGAAGAGAATGAAGAGTATAGGAAGAGGCAGATGGGACCAGAGAATCGCTGAGGGAAGCCAGGCAGGAGATTCCAAAGCAGTTGCCCAGGAGAGCTCCTGGCCAGAATGACAGCAGCTGTCAGTTGATCACAGGAAGCAGGAAAGACTTCAGAGACACAACTGTGACATCTGTGTGGCTGATTTCCCAGCATCTGACCTGAAGAGGGACTTCAGAGGAAAGCAGAAGCAAGCCTGTCAGGGAGAAAGCAGCAGCCTCAAGTGGCAGAGTCCAGTGAGTGACAGCTAAGGGACTCTCCTACCTTGTAATCTTTCAGTGAGACCTGATCAGAGAGAGGCCTTCACTCACCTAGGTATCTGTGAGTTAACTGAGGGAAGAGAAACTGAGAATTGGGTTCCTAGTTTTGCATAAGGCGTGAGAACTAGGGCAAGTATGTAGCCACCTCTCTGGAAGCAAGAATTATTAGTTTTAAGGCAACGGTAACATCTTTTAAAGTGAATGCAACAGATTAAAAGTAACTGTTACCTATTGAAGCAGTTCTCAAAGTGCTGTTAAATAAGGTAACTGCAAATAAATATTGTAAATATTTTTTAAAAATACTACGTTATATTTATCCCCATGTAAACTGTGCTCCTCAGTCACCAAACACCTCTCTTTTTTTGTGGTGCATGGAGAGACAGTACCCTGGCAGGAAAAGACTTTGAAAGCAAAGATTGTGCGATCGCGAGCATTATTCCTGCTTGCAAAGGGTACACATGTGTCAAGGCCACAGCACTGGCAGACATCCCCCCCAAGTGCCCACCCACCACTTCATATGGCCATTAAACCCTGGTTTATAGCGCTACTTGCACAAACAGGAAAGAGCTGCCTTGAAGCCTTGTGCTCATATGCTGCCCACTTCCCTCTGCTTCTCTCACATATACAGGAGAAACACTTTCCTTGAATTATCCAGGAATTATGGGTTAAAAACAAAACTCTGATCAGAACAAAAAAACAAAAACAAACATGAACTTCAAACACTGGTTTCTGATGCTGTCTTGTTAAACTTAACCAGTTTGTTTTTAAGCCATGATCCCCTGCCTAGGTGAGGGGAGAAGTTGACTAACATCCAGGGAAAGTGAAACTAAATTCTGGCAAAGTCCCTTTCCTGGCCATGCAGGAGGGAGGAGAAGGGGATGTATTTGAGTCTTCCTGCAATGCTAAGGTATGGCTTAGTGTTGTGTGAGAACTGGGGCACAGTGCTTAAAGGTTTCATTCTTTTTAGTTTGTAAATGGCATTCCAGCTATTTATCCTCTTCATTTAGAAGTTGCCGTAAGTTTTGTATTCTCAGGAAACTGACAGGGTTCCTAATAAAAGTAAATCCTAGAAAGTCATTGGAATGGCTGTTCCGCTTCATAACCTTAACAGTAATAAGTTTAAAATGTATGCTTTTATGGATCAAGCAAAAAGAAAAAAATCTATACTGAACTCATGGTAGCATAATAGATTTACTGGTGATTAATTGTAATGTCATTTTATTTGCCATTTTCATGAGAGGTTTTCCCACTTCTGTTATGGATGTGTATGGAAGTTGTGTTGGTTTGAAAAATTGATATTTCCACCCCTTTGCCTTTGTTCTGAAAGTGCTGTTCAATGACTAGATAAGAAAGATTCAAAAGTGAACCTTTTCCACTGTTCACATTCCATTTTAGGAAGTCTTTTCACTTCTGTTTGTTTATCAAAATAAATAATATGAGAATATGAAACAGGGACGCGGGTGGTGCTGTGGGTAAAACCTCAGCGCCTAGGACTTGCCGATCGTATGGTCGGCGGTTCGAATCCCCGCGGCGGAGTGAGCTCCCGTCGTTCGGTCCCAGCTCCTGCCCACCTAGCAGTTCGAAAGCACTCTTAAGTGCAAGTAGATAAATAGGTACCGCTTTATAGCCGGAAGGTAAACGGCGTTTCTGTGTGCTGCGCTGGTGCAGGCTCGCCAGAGCAGCTTCGTCACGCTGGCCACGTGACCCAGAAGTGTCTCCGGACAGCGCTGGCCCCCGGCCTCTTAAGTGAGATGGGCGCACAACCCTAGAGTCGGACACGACTGGCCCGTACAGGCAGGGGTACCTTTACCTTTATAAAACAGAACTTTTTTTGGCAACACTTTAAAATACACTTTAGCTAGCCAGTGTTTTCCAAGAGTTTCTCTGTGTATATATTTAGAGCTTATGAACCGGTTTTTCACCAGCAGGTACATAGTTGTTCATAAAAAAAATAAATCCATAATAATTCTTAGTTACATCCACCATGAAACCCTGCTGAAATCCACGTCTAATCTGTAAACACAATGAAATGGTACTAATTGTAGTGTAGTGTCCTAGGTACCCTTTGTTCTGCTAGAAGTTCATTTAAATGAAATAAGTAAAAAAGATAATTAAATGTGCCTAAGTATGTTCATAAAAGGAGTCAGTTTTTATATTTCAGAAATACAATTATGTTGTCAAGGGGTTTTTTTGGGTTTTTTTTACATACTTCAGTATTGTTCTATTTTCCCTAAGCCTATGGTAACTAAGAATATGTTTCCTGTTCACAGAGCAAGCTTTACATGGAAGGATTTAGAAGCCTAAAAGAAGGAGAACCAGTGGAATTTACTTTTAAGAAATCTTCCAAAGGACTTGAATCAATACGGGTAACAGGTCCAGGTGGGATTCCCTGTTTAGGAAGTGAGAGACGACCCAAAGGAAAAACAGTACAGAAAAGAAAACCAAAGGGAGATAGGTAAATATTTTTTCCCCTATTTTTACATCTTTTGGAAAACTTTTATTTGCGGTGCTTCTCTGCAGACTCGGATGCAGTCATGCAAAGATAAGGATGTGAATGGTTTAACTTGTGATTCTGGAAATGGCATATTCTGATTCCTTCCATGAGGAACAGCTGTAGCTTGGTGGTTTGCATGCAGAAGGTTTTGAGCTCAATCCTTGGCCTCTCTGGATAGGACTGGGTGAGGCCTGATCTGAAACTTGGGAGAGCCAGTTCCAGGCAGTGTGGATAATTATTAAGATGGACCAATCTGTCCCAGATATACAGCATGTGTTTGCTCTGTGGGACTTTACATATGTGTAAGAGCACTCTTGCCATGATGATTTGTTGCATTTCACATTAGGTTCTGGTACTGGAAATGGGTTCTAGTTTTCCTCACATACATGTACTGCGCTGTATATATGTCCTGCCACATGTCTTTGGCTCATAAAGTAATTTTAGTGTTACTTGCCTAGGCCAGCATGTTCTGCTAGCTCATATTGGTTAAAAAGATTCTTTCGTATTATGCAACAGAATAATGACAGGTCCTAAGTATTTCAGGACTTCAGGAGGGCTAAGAATATAGATAGAAGGGGACAGGGCAGAGAGAGAAAGAGCTCCTACCAGAGGCAGGTGTGGTGAAAGAATGCTCAACTGAGAATGGAACCTATTGAGAAGCCTATACTGTGTAGTTTTCTGTAATAATTATTCAGATAATGTCAGCTGTTGCGGTGTTACGGGCAGAGCGTTTGTGTGTGTTGAAATCTGAAAATGTCTTCTGGTGCTATTATTAAGATCAAGGAACAGCCAAAACAGAAAATATAGAGATCTAGGATGGTTTATGGTTGGTTTCACTAAACTTTAATGTAGTGTGTTTTATCCATTTTAAGTTAAAATTATAATAATATATATATTATAATTTTTTATTTATACCCCGCCCATCTGTCTGGGTTGCCCCAGCCACTCTGGGTGGCTTCCAACATAAATAAAATAACAATAAAACATCAAACATTAATAGTAACAATCTGATATCCAATATAAAAAGTCACAAAAACTTTAAATTAAACAATTTATATCAAATAAAGCAATATTCAATAACCTGTTAGAAAATAATAGTAAACAGTAAAATTAAACATCAGCAAATAATAATTAAACAGTTTACAATTACAATAAAGAATTACTAATCCATAATCAATAAAAATAATAGAAAATCACAATGCATAAAATACCACAAAACAAAGTCACCCTATGAAATTATGTGGAAGAAAATGAAAGGACCCATCACTAGCACAAGAAAACCTGGCCTCCCCTGATAGGGGTTTTGACGGATGCAGAGATGCACTTAGTCTTTCTAGAGGTCTCTTGTTTCCCATCATAAGAAGCTATAGCTCTGACCTATAATACGTAACTAAACCTGTTTTCCAGAACAGAGTGTCTACACTGTGGGCTTCCCGTTGTTTGTAGACTTCAGCTGACTATGAATCCCTGACAACTAGCCAACAGTATCTGGAAGACCACATGTTCCCTATTTCTGGTTTAAACAGAGTCATACTATTGCAAAGGATAATTTTATGTATGTTTGCTCATAGATGTAGGAATTTCCTCCTTTCCTATGTGCATGTTGATGCAGACACTACCCACAGTGCCCATTTACTCCCAGTCTTTTGTCTTTGTCTGTCTGCATCATCCATTCGTCCGCCTAGTTATCTTCTTCCACCCCAAATAGTCCATTAGGCCTAACCGGCTTAGTGGCGGGTTCTGCAATGGCTGGGCGGGCCAGATTTAGGACCCTGGTGGGCCAGATCTGGCCTGCAGACTGTAGTTTGAGGACCCCTGAGTTAAGCAAATTCTTCTCTTTGAGTCACATTTATTTATAGTATTTAGTATTTGTTCTCATAGCGTGGAGCCTTTGTCAAGAAGTGCATTCAGAGAAAGGTATGAGAAGTGATTAAAATTACATCCAGTTTTTCAAAGAATAGTCTTCGGTGGCTTTAGAGGTGGGTAGAATTGCTTTCCACCCTTTAGGTTTCGGACAGTTTAAATGCTGATCAATGTAATGGAGTTCAGACAGGTTGGCAAACAATAGCAAACCACAGACTGCTCTCGTTTCATTGCCTGCCATTAATGCTGCAGTACCCTTTACATCAAAGTTAACTGGGCTACTTTGATTTCGTCTGTCATATTGATATGTCTGATACATGTGCTTTAAATGGCTTGCATGTTGAAAGATGATTTTTTTAATAAAAAAAAATCCTATTTAGAATTATCACAAAATTATAGAGCTGCATCTGCCAACATTTATGTTGGATAGAGTAGCCACAATCCACATCCCTGTGCCTGTGGCAAAAGTCCTGTTCAGTTAATACTCCTTGTGGGGTGAAAGCAGATATTTATTTATTCTACACTAACAAAACTAAACTACCATTCCCATTGGCTCTACTAAACCTTCCTGCCACCATTCAGCCATTTACATTTATTTATCACAAGATTATTAGGTACGCAAGTTGATCTGGTTAACAGTACAGTGTTTTTTTACACTTTAATGGCTTCACACTGTCGCTTCACACAATGTATATTCAGCTATTAATGTTTACTAAAATGGCTTGGCTTTAAAGGAGAAGTTACCTACTACAGTCGTACCTTGGATCCCAAATGTTTTGGCTCCCGAATGCCGCAAACGGTTCGGGTTTGCGAACTGTTTTTGGAAGCTGAACATCCGATGGGGCTTCTGCAGCTTCCAATTGGCTGCAGGAGCTTTCTGCAGCCAACCAGAAGCCATGCTTTGGTTTCTGAACATTTTGGAAGTCAAACGGACTTGCGGAATGGATTCCCTTCGACTTCCAAGGTACGACTGTATATTAAAAACCCTTTAGCAAAATTGCCTGTTTTTTGTCTCCATGCCCCTTAAGCTTCAGCAACTTCACTGCTGTCAGGTCCCACATTGACAGTTAAACTGGACCCTAAAACGCACTAGACAGAAAACTTCTCCCTTCAGATGCATGCCAGTGTACATTGCAATACAAAGGTCAAAACACATTACACAGTGCCCATTAAGACTTAGAGAAACAGTCCTAGTTTAAAGTTGAGAGCCTCTTCTCTCCACATGTGCCATGAATAAAAGGGAAGAAACAATTCTTGAGACAGGATGAATACCTTGTGGTCCTCTGGATGTTGTTGGACTCCCCATCAGACCCAAATAGCATGGCCTGTGATTAAGGATAATGGGAGTTACTGGGCGAGTCCTAATGTCGGAGGGAATATGATCAAATTCGGGCACCTTTTACCATATGTGGTGGTCATGTGACATATCAATTACTGTGGTTTTGGGTCATGGTATCCTGGAAGATTAGTGTAATAATCACAGGACAGACAGTCCCACATGTCTCTCAGTTAGCACTGTTAACTCTGCTTGAGGGAAGCTTAAAAGAGCTGAAGTATAAATAACGCTATAACTCTGATCCTGGTTATAGTAAGACTTGTTATAGCTCGTAAATGGAAAGCTTTAGACAATGTCTGCATAGAAGCTTGGCTGCAACAAAATGAACTAAGAGGAAAAAAATAACCGAACACCCGAGATCATTGTGAGAAAATGAGGCTTTCTGGGGAGCTTGTTGCAGGCTTGTTGCATATAAATTTAGAATCATCCATGTTCACAAACACTTTCTGTTTTGGCTTTAGAATTCAATGCCATGTTGATACTTAGGGGTGGGGGACTTTAAAAAGGGATGATAGGAGTTGTAGCCCATTAACATCTGGTGGGCCACCAGTTCCTTATACCTCAGTTAAAAGAAACAGATGGGAATTGGCTCCTTAAGAAGGCTATGAAAAGAGGTTGCTTTGCTAGAATTGGGAGTAGCTCTCAGGAATTCAACTACTTGTGTGGATTTGGTTGTCTTTGCCTCATAATTTTAGCACATGGTAGTAGTGAGGACCCAACTCTGGAAAGAATTAAATGTCTCACTCTTCCAATCATTCCCTGTTCCAGCATTTTAGCTTGCTAGATGGAACAATCCCCCTCTCTTTTGCCCCACTGTTCTGGGGGTTCCCCTGACCCTCTGAGAGCTGATATTGGGGAACAAGAGAGGTTGGAAAGTCCCATCACACAAACGGGCTTCTGTTGATGGGGCTGGTTATGTGAACCCTGTTCTCTAACACGCTAGTCTGTTATATCTATGAACTGAGTAAGCGTAGTGTTGAGGACTTGCAAAATTGCTGTGGAAGGGTTAAAGTGTGAGTGGAGTTGCTTTTTGCTTTCTTATTTTTAATTAGAAAAATAGAATGCTGGGTTTTGATGTGGAAAGCCTGTATTCCAGTCCCTATTCACTAGGTGGCCTGGCTAGCTTGCTCCTATCGATCAGCCTGACCTACGTCAAAAAATGCCAAAACACTAATTTGAGCTCCACAGTAGACAGGCAAGATGCAGAATTAACTCTTCATAATTTGGAAACCAGAAAGTTGATTGCTGGGTTAGCTTGAGCCAAGCAGGATTGATTTATAGTCTTACATTTTTAAACATAAGCATTAGAATGATTTATTAAGCCTCTTTTGAAGGAGTGCTTAATTTGTGCAAGTAAAGTATGGTGAAGTGTTTTGAAGAGAGAGACACTTTGTTTTCTGCAAGCAATCCAAAGAGAAGCTGCATAATTGTTAAAATGCAGCTAAAATGAAACTGGTTGCATTGTCACTGATAAGCAGACTGACCCAATGCCCCAACATTTTAAAGGAATCCATTGTTTAGAAATAAATAGCTCTAAAGACACATCATCGACAACTGAAAACCTCAGTAAACAGGCTAGAAGAAAATAAAACATGTAAACCCATTAAGTGACCTTAATTAGATTTCAGAATTATTAAAGCACAATTGCAGTTCCCCCTCTCCCACCCCTGGTATAAAGGCAGATTTTGGTAATATTTTATAATGAATATGTTGAAATACTGCTTTAAAGTGCTAGCCATTTTAGGCATTTTAAAAAAGCAGAATTTCAGCAAGTTTCAATAAATGTTGAAGTGGGCTTGTGCTTTCTAAGACTTGTTTTGTCAGATTTTGGAATTTGCTTTTTAGTGGTTTCTTTTGTAGGAGAGAAATCTTTCAGGCATGAATTGATAGTCCAGATCTTTTGCGGTCTGTCTCTTCTAACCTATGACCCTTGTTCCTACAAGGTCAACATCTGAGGGCAGGAGATTAAGATAGTTTAAAGACTGGAATGGGAACTGGAATGGAAAAATTAGCCAGCCTATTTTGGTTGCAAAACATCAAAGTCTCCAAACCATTTACTTATTTTTCAATGTAGTTTAAGAGTAACAAGTTAATTAATTATACTGTGCTTGGCAAATATATGTCTGGAATTAAGAGGACCATCATGGAAGAATTTTTGTTTTGTATTAAATATAGCAAGCATATTGTGTTACACGTACCGTAAAGAGTCTTTAGCAGTTTGCAATATAACTTGGAATCTGGTCTTGCAACTTCTTTGCCCAATTACTTCTCATTCTCATTAACTGCAACACTGACACCAGTAACACAAATTTCCTGTGTAAGGATCTAACCACGATTGTGTACCCAGTGACTCCTGAGATCGTGTGCTGAAATTGCTAGTATGTTTCCTAATTAAAGTTTAATTATTAAACCAGTGCCTCTTGTGCCATTTCTTTACAAATGCAAATGTTCTCTGTGTAGTGGCATTGTCCATTACATAAAGAAATCAACCCCAACCAATACATTGGTAACAATGTATGTGCCATTACATGAAATATTGGTCCTCCATCTGCATAAGTGTGTTTAAGGCACATGCATTATGTGCATGAGTTTGTATATGCACATGTACATAGACTCCAATATAAGTTGTAGAAGCAGTGATTTTTTTATGAACAAAATGCAGGCTGCTAGTAGTTTCCTTGCCGTTGCTGTTTTTAAAATATAAATCTCACATGGGCAGAAAATACGCTTTGTTATTTCATGGAAAAAGGAGGAGATTGTGCCTTCAATGTATAAGCAATTTTTATGGAAAAGTGCTGTTTCTTCTATCATTCAGAATCTGATTGATATCTTTATAGACTTAGGTGGTTTTCTGATTGTTACTCTGCCACCAGAAAGGATTTCAAATTTAAATAGCTTAAACTACTGTTGGGAAATGTATATATAAAGAGGTTTTGCCACTGTCCCTGTAATCACATGGCTTCCCCTGCCTCAAACAATGCATGGGCAGCTGCAGGAGAAAACGTTTCTGTATAAATAACTCATGTTCAGTAGAATCCTCCTTTCTCCTGAGACAGCTATACATGGTGCGGATGTTGGGAGCTTGTGTGTCTCCCAGGCAGGGCCAGCAGCACCCAAAGCCCCCCCCCCCCCCAGTGCCTCTTCACATGCAAAGGGTAGTTTATAAGGAGCTGTGAATAAGGAAATTATAGGCTCTCATTTATAAATTCTGTTGGCCCATAAAATGTTTGAGAGTAAGTTTGTGCATAGTTTTTCACAAGAGCTTGTGTAAATTGAAGAACTTGCTTGTATTTGCAGCCCTTTTGTAGATCCATCTAAGGTGCTATATTGTGTTTTGTTTCAACAGACTAACATGGCGAACCTTTTGGGATTGTGCCCTTAACTACCAGTGACTGAATAACCTTAGGGTTTGGATGTGCACATAAAAAAGGAGAATATGTGTGACTTGTTTCCTAAATGGGGGGTGTTCTAATAATGAATTATTCTATTATAGAAGTCTTAAAAAAAACACAAAACCCTAACTTCTTAATTCAGCCTTTGCAAATTGGTTGGCTGTTTCCTCTAGCCTGCTCATCTGGAGAAAGGGCACCAGTGGTTCTTGCTTTTGTATATGCTTAGCTATTTAAATGCACATAAATTAATTGTCTCTGACAGGAGTTGTAAACTAAGAAAACACACTGGGAGGTGGTCCCTAAAGCACTGTTTCTGAACCTGTGGCCCATGGGCTTCATATGTAAACCTGAAATAATTATTGCTTACAGTCTTTAACTGGTATGACGAATACCTCTTACAACTTCTTTGTTACGTTGGCATGTTTTGGCACTTGCAACCGAACACTGGAAAAGTCTTACATTTTGACACTTGAGAACCACTCTCTGGCAGCTAGTGATGGTTCCAATCACTGTTGCACCACAAGGTGCTTGCACAGGGACCTCCCCCGGAGTGTCCCCCACAGCTTGCCTCTGATGCACGACCTTCAGCACCTGAGCATCAGAGACAAGCTGCAACAGTCACTAAAACCAACTCCTTGTACAAACACCCACAGTGAACCACCACTGGATCTGCTGCTAGTGTTAATTAACAGTGTGACCAGGAGTGATTAGAATTTGGGGCGGGGGGAGTATCTAATGCTCCTTGAGTACAGTGGTGCCTCGCAAGACGAAATTAATTCGTTCCGCGAGTTTTTTCGTCTAGCGAATTTTTCGTCTTGCGAAGCACGAAATCCCATAGGAATGCATTGAAATTCAATTAATGCGTTCCTATGGTCAAAAAAAGTCCACTCAAAGCCAAATTCGGTACAACAAGAGTTTATTAACTGCTCTTTAAAGTCACACATACTTTAAAGAGCATATCAAAATTGAAGGAACAATAAATTAAGTTTCTAAACATGACAGGAAAAACATTTAAAAATCAAAAAGGGTACATTACATTTTCTAAGACTCTGGGGACCACTCGAAGAAGGTTCCTCTTCCACTCTTTGCTTCTTGCTGAGGAACCTGTCCATGGTCTGCTGCTTCATCCGCCGTTTCAGCAGCTCCCTGAGAGGCGACATGACCGTCGTATCAAAAATGTTCGCTTGGTCATGTGCCACGTGCTTGTCAGGGTGGTGCCGCTCTGCAAAAGCCTGCACCTCATTCCACTTCTGGCAAATGTCCCTCAGTTCTTTGGAGGACAGCCGTTCCTCAGTTGCTTCCTCCTCTTCCAGCGAGGCCTGCTCCTGCGCAACCTCTGACTGCAGTGCAACCAGCTCCTGGGTGGTCAGCTCGTCGTCGTGCTCCTCCACCAGCTCGCAAACGTCCTCCTCTGTGACCTCCAGGCCCAAGGTCCTCCCCAAGGCAACAATGTCCTGCACCACTGTCGACTCTGGTGCATCAGAGTCACTTGGTGCCACACAGTCCGGCCACAGGCTGCGCCAAGCGCAATTCAAATTCCTCTGGCTGATCCCTTCCAGGCCGTGGTGATCATCTTCAAGCAGGTGACGATGTCGAAGTGGTCCTTCCAGAATTCCCGCAGGGTGATGGTGGTGCAATCAGTCACCTCGAAGCATCGCCTGAAAAGCTCCTTGGTGTAGAGTTTCTTGAAATTGGCGATGACCTGCTGATCCATCGGCTGGAGCAGTGGCGTGGTGTTAGGCGGCAGGAACATGATGTTGATGAAGCTGAACTCCTCCAACAAGTCCACCTCAAGGCCTTTAGGATGAGCAGGAGCATTGTCCATCAGAAGCAAAGCCTTCAGCGGCAGGTCATTGTCCAGCAGGTACTGTTTGACAGCAGGGCCAAAGGCAAGATTGACCCAGTCCACAAACAGCACACGTGTGACCCAAGCCTTGCTGTTGGATCGCCACATGACACTCAGCCGCTCCTTGTCGACCTTGTGTTTCTTGAAGGCCCGTGGGTTCTCCGAGTGGTACACCAGCAGGGGCTTGATCTTCAGGTCGCCGCTTGCGTTGGCACAGAAGAGCAGGGTCAGACGGTCCTTCATGGGCTTGTGGCCAGGCAACTTGGCCTCCTCCTGAGTGATGAAAGTCCTTTTGGGCATCCTCTTCCAAAACAGCCCGGTCTCGTCGCAGTTGAAGACCTGCTGTGGAACGTAGCCCTCCGTCTTCACAACCTCCAGGAACTCCAAGGCAAAGTCTTCAGCCGCAGGAACATCAGAACTGGCAGCCTCTCCATGCCTGACCACGCTGTGGATTCCGGATCTTGCCTTGAACCGGTCAAACCAGCCTCTGCTTGCCTTGAAGACTTCTGGCTCGGCCGAGGTTCCTGGCTGTTCCCGGATGAGGTCTGCGTGCAAGGCCTTGGCCTTCTCACAAATCACGGCCTCAGTCACTGTGTCCCCTGCACGCTGCTTCTCTTCTATCCAGATGAGGAGCAACTTCTCGACCTCCTCCAGAACAGCTGGGCGGTTCTTCACGATCCTGGTGACTCCCTGGCTGCATCAGTCGCAAGGATCTTCTCCCTCATCTTCAGGATGGTCCCGATGGTCGATGGGTTCCTGCCGTACTCCCTGGCGAGGTCCGTCACACGCATTCCACCGTCGTGCTTCCGGATGATCTCCTTCTTCATCTCCAGCGTCACCTTCTCCTTCTTCCTCTCGCCGGCCTCCGCAGCAGCAGCAGTCTTCTTGGGTCCCATGGCAGCACAGCTGTTACCTTTGTAAAACTCAGAAAAGAAAAAAAAATCAGCAATTCAAACCCACAACCAAGTCCTTGAATTCCAAACACCCAACCCAAAATCCAAAAACCCCAAAAAAGTTTTAAAAGTTTAACTTACGAAATGGCTGCAAATCACCAAAGTCTTCAAAATCCTCAAATGGCTGCAAAAGAAATTTTGGGAAAGCTTTAAAAATCACCAAAGTCTTCAAAAACCTCAACTGTTCCCCCAGCCCCTCCCCAACAGTTGCTAAACCCGCCCCAACAGGTGCAAACCCTCCTCAACTGTTCCCCAGCCACCCAGCACACAGAAATTCAAAACCCAGAAACTTTTTCAAAAAAAACAACATGGCCCAATGGTTACAGAAAACCATAAAAATTCAAAAAAGCACACAAGCTCCCAGATTCTTGCAAACCCCTCCTCAGCTGTTCCCCCAGCCACCCAGCACACAGAAATTCAAAACCCAGAAACAATTTTCAAAAAAAACAACATGGCCCAATGGTTACAGAAAACCATAAAAATTCAAAAAAGCACACAAGCTCCCAGATTCTTGCAAACCCCTCCCCAGCTGTTCCCCAGCCACCCAGCACACAGAAATTCAAAACCCAGAAACTTTTTCAAAAAAAACAACATGGCCCAATGGTTACAGAAAACCATAAAAATTAACTAAAAGCACACAAGCTCCCAGATTCTTGCAAACCCCTCCCCAGCTGTTCCCCCAGCCACCCAGCACACAGAAATTTAAAACCCAGAAACTTTTTCAAAAAAAACCAACATGGCCCAATGGTCACAAAAAATCATAAAAATTCAAAAAAAAGCACACAAGCTCCCAGATTCTTGCAAACCCCTCCCCAGCTGTTCCCCCAGCCACCCAGCACACAGAAATTTAAAACCCAGAAACTTTTTTCAAAAAACAACAACATGGCCCAATGGTCACAAAAAATCATAAAAATTCAAAAAAGCACACAAGCTCCCAGATTCTTGCAAACACCTCCCCAGCTGTTCCCCCAGCCACCCAGCACACAGAAATTTAAAACCCAGAAACTTTTTTCAAAAAACAACAACATGGCCCAATGGTCACAAAAAATCATAAAAATTCAAAAAAAAGCACACAAGCTCCCAGATTCTTGCAAACACCTCCCCAGCTGTTCCCCATCCACCCAGCACACAGAAATTTAAAACCCAGAAACTTTTTCAAAAACAACAACATGGCCCAATGGTCACAAAAATCATAAAAATTCAAAAAAAGCACACAAGCTCCCAGATTCTTGCAAACACCTCCCCAGCTGTTCCCCATCCACCCAGCACACAGAAATTTAAAACCCAGAAACTTTTTCAAAAAAACAACATGGCCCAATGGTCACAAAAATCATAAAAATTCAAAAAAAGCACACAAGCTCCCAGATTCTTGCAAACCCCTCCCCAGCTGTTCCCCCATCCACCCAGCACACAGAAATTTAAAATCCAGAAACTTTTTCAAAAAAAAACAACATGGCCCAATGGTCACAGAAAATCATAAAAATGCAGAAAAAAACCACACAAGCTCCCAGATTCTTGCAAACCTCTCCCCAACACCAAGTCCTTGAATTCTAAACACCCCAACCCAAAATCCCAAAAACCCCAAAAAAGTTTTAAAAGTTCAACTTACCAAACAGCTGTAGAAGAAGTTTTGGAAAAGCTTCAAAAATCCAGCAAACTCTTTAAAAAGCTCAGAAAGGCCACCACACCGCGTGCAATGTGTTGCTCCTCGAGGTCAAGTCGCAACTGCACCTCTTCAAGCAATGCACCCTAGGTTTTAACGGTTTTACGAAAAAGGAAACAAACTTGCAAGACGGTTTCGTTTTGCGAAGCCAGCCCATAGGGACATTCGTCTTGCGAAGCAACTCGAAAACGAAAAAACCTTTCGTCTTGCGAGTTTTTCGTTTTGCGAGGCGTTCGTCTTGCGGGGCACCACTGTAACTGGATGCTTTGTAGAATAATTTTTTTATACCTTATGAAGCAATATCCTGCAATCAGATGATTGGTGTTCTTAACATTCCTGTAACAAAACTGTGAATAACTCTTAAATATTTAGAAGTACTCTAAATGTTTCAACAAATTACACATTAATAGGAGTGATAGGTCCTTTTTTTGCTGGGATGCTTCAAGTATAGGTTATAAAACAGTCAATGTTGCAATTAAAAGGCATGAAGCCAATGGCTGTTGAGGGAAGTCAGCAGTTTGGAAGGTCCAGAACTCACATGACAATAAATGGATGGGACATTAAACCTAGTGAACCTGGACTTGTAGATTACTATACCTAAAAGACTGGGAACCACTGTCCTAAGCAGTAATTCTAGAATAGTTTTTAGTTGCAAGCCCTGAGTTCTTACAGGACTAGAGGGAAAAGGAAAAGAACATCATTTGAACAATGTGGTTTCTTTTTTATACAAAGGTGATGGTACAAAAGTATTTGACTTACTATGTGATTGACAAGGTGCTGTAAAAGGTTGTTCTCATCAGATGCAGGTGAGGAAAAATATTGCTGCTTACAACCATTAAAGAAAGTTAAAAAGCCAGTTTGTCAGAGAACAGAGCTTGATCCTTTTCAGACAAACAATATATTCAAGGGATGGGAATTCATGATGCCCTATGGACCTATATCCCAACATTATGGAAAAAGGCAAAGCTTGAACAATGAGTGACTCTTGGTGGTTCAATCTGACTCACCACTAGTACCCTGAGAGAGATTATTCATATGTTTTCTTTGGATGTAATTGTAACGGTACTTACTGAAAACAAGTTAGTAAATATAGGGAAACCAAGATTTGCTGAATGCTTGGTAGAATATATGAAAAAGGAAATTTTCTTAAAATAAGACTGATGTTCCCACCCACATCAATTTCAGAAACATTTTAGGTGTTTTATTTTATCACTTACATGTTTGCTGTCCTGGGCTCCTTTGGGAGAAAGGTAGCATATAAATAAAATAATAAATATGAGTGCTTTTTAGCAACTGCTATGTGAAACCAAAACATTGCTTTCAACAACATATATTTTATTTGATGTATAAGGATGATTGAGATGATGAAGAACTCGAATTCTTGAGAGAAGTAGAGAGCATTTCACTTAAATTTGATCAGTTTCCTAAGTTTAGCTATCCATCTATTGCTTGCTCTTTAAAAGAACCATACTATTTTGCTGATGTTAATAATATAATTTCATGTTATTTCATTAAATCATTGTCCCATTAAAACTGTTGTGCACTATCCTATAATAATAGCTCCTTCAAGAACCATAGCATTGTGTATGTGTTTGGTACATATATAGGTGTCTTGTGGTTGCAAAAGAGAAACTCTGGCTAGTTGTAGCATGTATAGATGGCTGGTTGGCACTAGCATCTCTCTGTCCTACTACAAATTGTCATTGGTATCCAGAAACTTAATGTTCTTATTTTTGAACTTCTAAAAACAGCTTTGCACCAGCATGTTTATGGAAACTAGTTTGAAAAGCATGACACTGAATGACAGGTAACCTATAAATAAACAATCCCCAAACCAAGCAGGTGGATAGAACGTATCCCTTCCTGACATTATTCCTATGCCTACATCAAGATTTGTTAAGATCAGAAGTTCTTTTATATTACAGAAACAAATATTATTTTAAAGTATATATACTTAATTATATAGAAAGCTGTCAGTGATGCATTTTGACTTGCAAAAGCCAGCAAGCCTTACTTGGGGTGAGCACCCCACATTTGGGGAATCATCACAGAAAAGGCCTGTTCTCATTTTGTCACCCTCGGGACCTCTCACGGAGAAAGTTCACGAAGAAGGACCTCAGATGATGATTGTGCAGGCTCCAGGTTGGTTCATATGGTGAGAGGCGGTCTTTGAAGGTTATAGAACTTGGCATGCCTAATTGCTTTGCAGCCAGTTGTATCATCTTCAGTGTTATTGCCACCCTTGTATTGTCAAGTTGGCAGAATAGAATTAAAATACACTATTCTTGGACAACCCATTGGTCACTTTCCAGATAGTACATAAATGTTTCTGGAAGAAGTGAGATAATGGAGAAAGCAGTCAAATGGTTTTTAAATTTACTCTTGTGTCTGTCTTTAAATATGAAAGATGGAATTCTTCTTGGGTCCCTGAAATCTTGTACTCTGTTTCCTGATGGGATCTCACCAAGCCTTCTGTTGGTTGTGTTGCCTATAGGATAGCTGCACTCCTCTGTTCACCATTGTTTCAGGATTCCTTGCCCTGCCATTTATAGATGCTGGCTATTCATTATGTGTTCAGGAAACCTGTGGCAAACAGCATTTCCACCCTGCCCCCCACTTTTTCGCGCTGCTTATTCTCTCCAATTTATTGGCATTGGCCTCTCTGTCTCGCCAACATTCAAGATCGACTTGTCATTCTGCAAACTGCATTTTCCGTTCAAGGGAGTCTCCTGCAGAGGATCCCAGCTGCTTCCACTTAAAACACCCAGAAACTAATCCTCCAGAATCAGCTTGAGCAGGCCAGCATCTGTCTTTCACATTTTGGTCCCCTCGAGGTGCCTCAGATAATGCTCTGCGCCACAGTCAGGGCTGCTGTTCCTACCTTTTGGCCAGCCTTTTGATTCCAAGTCTGTTCCCAAACCCTTTTCTCTCTTTCTTCCAAGTTTTACTACAGTCAAAGTAATAAAGCCATTTTCTCTTAGGAATATTCTGGTTTATAGACAGGTTTTAAAACCCACTAGCTTAAAGTCAGCCTGCCTTCATTATGTGGTTACCACAAGATCGGTTCATTTATGAACATCCACTAGTTTGTGGGTAGAAAAAAATTTTTGGAGAAAAACATTCATGAGAAAAGGGATTGCCCAACCTTTTAGCAAGGGCAGCATTTGTACAACCTGTTTAGATAGCAGAGGCTTGCATGCTGCGTGTGTGTGTGTGTGTGTGAGAGAGAGAGAGAGGCGCATCAGTTTGGTGCATGTTTAGCTGTTTTGGGGGATATGGCACCTAGAGTGGTTTAGAACTTTTCTGGTGCTGACTGGCTATGCCAAAATCCTTACTATTAAGTTTTTATTTCATTTAGCTAACCTGTTTTCACAAGATTACACACACACACACACACACACACACACACACATTGTTGCCTACTCTTATATTTAGATCAAGGCCAGACGCTCCCAAATTCAATATATTCTTACTAGTTTGATTATCGAAGTGACATCCGTTTAGCTCAGTTGGTTAGAGTATGGTGCTGATAACGCCAAGGTTGCAGGTTCAATCCCTGTAAAGGGACAGCTACATATTCCTGCATTGCAGGAGGTTGGACTAGATGAGATCTTTAGGGTCCCTTCCAATTCTGTGATAAGGAAGAACAAGCCAGTTAACACACTTGCATTTCAAGAATTTCGCTCCTCTCATTCTCCTGCAAGGCTGGGAGGAGTACTGTTTCAGAGTTCAGTTTCACTTTTGTGTTCCTAGGGACCCTGGTTTATATAGCAAACTCTCTTAAGTTTCTTAACAAGTAGATAACGTGTGTTATTATGAAACTAGCTTATTAAATTAACCCACTGTGTTGAGTTTTTTTAAAACAAGGACCCCTGGGTTGAATGTAATGCTGATTCAGAGTTCAGTAACGCTAAACTCTGGCAGAGTTCTCTTAACCAGCCCTGTGCAAAGAGGGAGGGCACCATGGAGCCAATGGCTACAGTCCAGTATTCCTAATACCAAATCACCTCCGATCTAGGAGCTGTAAGAAGAGGGGTGCTGGCAGAGATTATAGCTAAGACACAACTGACCTATCCTATAAACCAGTTGTGCAGCCTTAATTTTTTGTTGCAACTGGTTCCAAGCCCATTTTAATCTCTCAGACGTAAAAAATGTAGCAAAAGTTTAATCGAAACCAGTTGCATTGATTCTTGAAATTAGAAACAAAGGAATAATTTCCAGAATTTCTAAAGCTCATCTTCTCCTTTTTCTATTATTCAATAAATGTTTCGGTAAAACTGATTGAGATTCTGTTTCAGTTTAAAAGCAGCTACCTGGTTGTCACTTTGTTTTTTTTAAAAAACTGTTTAGAAGTTTTGCACATATTTATGGCTTAAATGCAACAGTAGCTGAATCTACCACAGTTCTGGGCACATAGGCTAGAAAGATGTGTTCATTTCTATGGTCATTGAATAAAGCAGCCTGCACATAAGGATTGAGATGGGGTTACCTGCCTGCTACTTTCTCTGGCTGCTATCTCTTATTGCTGTGGCTGTTCCACCTGTGTGAATTCACTTACGCAATGGTGGCAAGGATGCATGAAAAGATCAGGAGGCGTCACTGATTTACACGAATACTTTATTTCACTTTTGCCTGAATATACATGCATGTATGGTGTGGCAGCTGCGGCTGCCCTATCCTTACTTGTATTGGTCTAATCCCAGGATAAATTGAGGTAACTGAGAAGCAGCAGGTGCAAGACAGAGCAGGTGACCAGGCAGGCAACTGCCTTATTGCAAGGCTGGAATAAAGTTTTGGCATCACATTAACATTTAGTTTCTTGCTTCAGTGGTGACATTTGATAGTCATTGATAAAAATGAGGAGAACAGTAGACCTTTGAACTTGGCAAGATAGCTACCCAAGCGTAGCCTACTTAAACTTATGTTGTTGTTTCATGTATTTAACATTATCTCCCCGAACCCATTATGTGAGGCAACCAGGAGAAGCAGAACTCTGTGTGCGAAAGGCACATGGGTGTGTATCTCGAATGCATGTTCACCTGCACTGCAGTGTTCACATGAGTCCAGGTGTGCTGCTTTGATGCATATGAAGCTGCCATTATATATAACTAGTTGCACATGCCTAGGGTTGGATCAGGTAATTGTGAATCAAATTTGCATCATTTTCATGCTGGACTAGATTATATTAATATCCAAGAACAGTAGATCTGTTGTTGGATGCTTGCTTGCTTATTTATTTATTTATTTATTTATTTATTTATGGTAGTGTTGTTGTATTTTGGACTAATGTTGATGTCCTGTGGCTTTAATTTTAATATTGGAAAGTCCTTCAAACTCTTCTTGGTGGCCTGTGAAGTACTGACAGTTATTCGTGTGGCCTGCTGTCATGATGACATTTTATATAGATACATAAACTTCAGAATGTTCCTTCTGTGAATGGAAGGGCTTCTTTCATTTGCAGAAGGAACTGTGATCCTGAGAGGCAATTTTCATTCACTTCTCCTCTCCATGCCACCTCTCACAGTGTTCCGCCCCCCCCCAAACCTTCCTGCTATTGCACAAGTGGGATTCTGCACATAGGAACTCTGGATCCAAGCCCAAATATATAGAAATTAAGTCAACACCCGCCCTTATTCATGTATCGTTTTTCTTGATGCAGTTGTTTCAGTACAGCTGAACTGAAAATTAGATCCTAATGGAAGAATAATGCCATACCTTAAATACTGGTAATTGTAATTTTGCCAGTTCAGACAGTCCAAAATGTTGCAAACGCTTTACAACTGTTCAAAACAATCATCATTTCTTTTCCAGTGGTCAGTAATCATTATTAGTATTAAACTGACTAATGTGTAGTCATTCCTACAAATTTTAAACTGAATATTAGCTGAATGCTAGGTTGAATTGAAAGATACCTTCTGTTCATGGAAGTCTAGCAGTTGTTCATCAGCCCTCTCCTACACACTAGAAGCCTTCAACTGCTCTTAAGATTTGTAGGATTCTCTGTAATTCTGGGAGGTCGTGCAGGGAGTTCAATAGATAGAGAGTGAAATTGGGAGACCTGCCTTAGAGGAATGCTTTCCTCTTGTATGAAAGCACCTTTTCATACAGTCATTGATTTAAAGCAGGCATGGTCAAACTCGGCCCTCCAGATGTTTGGGACTACAATTCCCATCATCCCTGACCACTGGTCCTGTTAGCTAGGGATGATGGGAGTTGTAGTCCCAAAAACAGCTGGAGGGCCAAGCTTGGCCATGCCTGATTTAAATTAATTGCCTTTTTCATCTTATACTTTACATAAAATCCAAGCTTACATTCCAAATTGTAACTTCATTTTCTGTGGTTACTTCACAGCCTTCATCTCATTTCCATTTAAGAGCCATTTAAGATCTAAGGACTATAGGAAAATACTATGTTTTGTTGTTAGAATTTGAAGAGATATAAACACACGTGCTTTTGTTATCTGCGTTTATTATGGTTTCTTAACCATCCCTTTCAAAAACGATGTGATTTAATTTTCACGCTTCGAAAAATTGTGTATAGTCCAAAGATTTGTACAAAGATGTATATGAAATGACCCCTTCAACCTTTTTGTTTTATGAGAGCCTGTGTAACACAGTAGCTTAGAGGCCAGGTTACAAATCAGGAAGTTGCAGGTTTAAATCTCACCTCTGCCATGAACTGGCTAGGTAGCCCTGGCTCACAGTAGCTGGACTGATGGAGGAGTAACAGTTTTCTGTCCAGGAACCTACACATTCATTCATGCCAAGTCCTGGCTTGGCTTAGTGTTGTTACAGGAACAGGATCACTGGATGGCCTTAGGCAAGCCACCCTCTCTGACTTTCCCATCTGCAATGTGGGGAAAAGTACCGTATTTTTCGCTCTATAAGACGCACCAGACCACAGGACGCACCTAGTTTTTGGAGGAGGAAAACAAGAAAAAAAATATTCTGAATCTCAGAAGCCAGAACAGCAAGAGGGATCGCTGTGCACTGAAAGCAGCAATCCCTCTTGCTGTTCTGGCTTCTGGGATAGCTGCGCAGCCTGCATTCGCTCCATAAGACACACACACATTTCCCCTTACTTTTTAGGAGGGAAAAAGTGAGTCTTATAGAGCAACAAATACGGTAATAACTGATTATACAAATTTGCATGGTTGTATACAAGCATTAAAACTAAAGAATGCATGTGCAGTTCTTTGAGCCCCTGGAAGTGTTGGCAAATGGGAAGTGCTGGTAAAGCTCAGTTGCTAGAGCATGAGACTCTTCATGGATTCAAGCCCCACGTTCGGTAAAAGATTCCTGCATTGTAGGGGGTTGGACTAGATGATCCTTGTGGTCCCTTCCAGTGCTACAATTCTGTGGTGCCAAGTGCTGTTTTCTGAATACCAGAAAACAAGAGAGCTGCACCAATTCACATGAAAAGGGAGGGAGTTCCCAAAGGTTCAAAATAAATCTGGGTTATCAGATGCGCTAAGTCAGGCTTGTTGCTCTTTCTCACATTACTCCAACACAAAAATACATAATAATAATTTATATGAATTAACATATCTATATTAGGAAACAAATCTTTATAAAATGTGTTGCCCTAAAAGCTATCCCCTTTTTACTATAAAATAGTAGAGTTATTATTTTCCATCACCTATTTCATAGGGTTATCACATCTTTACATGTATAATGCTTATTTTTCAAATTCTCACCGGGAAAACAAACTTTTTTCACGTGTGTGCCTCCTTTCTCATAAAAGATTACAGAAGATGACAAAATATCATTGAGTGTTATTCACAAACTGTTTATCAGCAAATAAAATAGGTTCTTTATTCTGTCTTTGTAAGGTCCTGTCTCTCATTATTTAATATAGAGAGAACTGTCTTCATTTCTTTATTGAAATGATTATAATATATTTTTCTCTGTAAACTGCTTTGGAATTTATTTGTAATAGAAAGCGTGTAAGAATACTGCTTACTATTTTTTAAAAAACCTTAATGTAAAAAACTTTTAAAACTAGAAAACAGACATTTCATGCTGCTATTGTAACAATTTCTTCTAACATAGTAGTTGTTTCTGCATAGTGACAGAAAAGTAATACTAAAACATGCAGATTTTTATTTTTTGCCCCAACTCTTTTAATAGTAGAGAAGCCATCTTCTTTCACTTGCTTTTTCTTCCTGCAATTGTATTTCTTCCCAACTGCCATACAGATGCTTCAAAAATTCAATCATTGACTCAGGTGCTGAATCTCTCTTCTTCTTTGCATATGTTTAAAACTTTATTTACCAGCATGTTTCCATGTAGACACCATGAGTATATCACCAAGAAGCCATTTCCCAGAAGAACATAAAGATGGCTATATCTTCAGCCAATGCATGTGTTCCACTGAATGGCTATTATCAAAAAAACACTTAGCACATGCATAATTTTAATTAAAATGGAATTTGGCACTATTATGATATGATTTAATGTCATCCAATATTATTAAAATGCAAAGAAGGATTATAAGATGTGTGCATGGTGGAAATGTCTGAGGAAATATGTATGAAATGAAGTCCCTTATATTTACTTTGAAGGGGGGGGTCATTGAAAGCCTCTAGTTTGCAATTCCACATACAGAAACTTCCATGTACCTTGTGAATGAAAGGCAAAAGGCTTGTAGACAATGCAAGATTTTATTTGAACTTGTCATGTGCAGTTGACAACCAAAGCAATATAGAAATTTATGACAAACTTTAGCAGAGGTAATCTGCATGTTAACAACAAATTAAGATGCTAAGATATCTGAACATTCTTCACTCAAGTGTTTTTGCCGAGAGGTAAATCAATAAAACAGAGATGATTAGTGTTCACTTCAGTTCTTTTATTTGTTGCATCAATTATATATTCAACTATTATAATGGTTAAAACAATTCAGTTTTCTGTTTAAGAAAACATGGGAATAATCCTGATTAACTGCGAACAAGCTTCATGTCTCTTGAATTTCTATTTTTCAAAATCCCTGTGTTCTTTTTAAATACAGGTGAAGGCAGTATTTTATACAATTGCTTCTTGTGAAATGCATTACACTTTCTTAAAGGGCTTTTTTAAACAACAACAACAACACTTTCCTTTATCGTATTCTAAATGTCTTAATGGAAAAGGAGGAAGATAAAGAAGCCAAACAGAATGTCATACAGAATCTGGAGCCAACATGGAATTCCTCTCTTTTCTTCCCCCTTCCCCCATCTCATTGTAAGGTTCCATCATGCGTGTCTCTTCTGAGGCTTCTCAATTGTTCACATAAAACTTGTTTTGTTTACTTGGGGGTGGGGGGAACCGACAAAAAGTATTTGTGCTTAAGTAGCAGCATTTGTCTGTTTTCTGCTTGTTGTAAAACTGGCTTTCAGACAATTTTCCTTGTCAGTTTTTGTAGTGTTTGAACTAATAATATTAATCCCCATTGCACTTGCTCTAAATGCAAATGGGATTTACAATTAAAACATGCAGAACAATTTTTTTAAGGCTCTGTTACGTGTACTTTGTGTCTTTTAGATTAAGAGGCATGGGCCATAATGCTAAAAGTTATTTCCTAATATAAGCAATTAAAACGATCAATTTCTTTAAAGGAAAAACTTGCCTTCTTATTATAACAAGAGTTTTGTTTTTGTATAATGTGTTAAGGTGCAGGTCCAGGAAATTGCATGTCAGATTTCCTGATTTAAAAGATCATAGTGTGTGGGTGTTATTTTCCAGGGTTTTTTTTTTTAATTGAGAACCCCATTAACTAAGCTGTAATCATCTTAATATTATCAAATGTCATATTAGCGATACTTGCACAGTAGCATCTCCTTTAAAAAAATGAAAAACAAAGCTGTTTTGGTGCTAACTGAATTCATTCGACAGAGATATACTGTTATTTATGAAATTGGCATAACTAAATTTTTACTTCTAAGCAACACTGAACACACTAATGGCTGTTGTTGTTGTTGTTGTTGTTGTTTTTAATATTATAATCTATTTTGTCATTCCATCTTTAGTAATGTATGTCTGGAACCAGAAGAGGATAATTATATAAATGTTCCTGTGTTTTGCTTTCTCAAACACTAAATTTTCTTCAGATGACATTGTGGAGTTGGTGGCTTCACACATATCTTTATTTTTATAAGATGTGCTGCCGGATATGCATTGATTTCCATTAGTTACTCCTGAATAAGTATCCATAGGATAGTAACTTTCTTTTTAGTTTTTAATTTATTCAACTTCTTAATTTCCCCCAGCTTTTTAGAACACATGACACATTTTCTGAACATCTAATTTGTACTCCTTATACACATTTTGACAAAGCTTTTAAAACTCTTAACAGCAGAAACTTTTTACAGATCAGTTCCCCCAGATTCCATTTTGTGATCTGCTAGCATTTAAAGAGGAGAAAAGAGTTTATGTTGGAGAACACTATTAAGTGAGTAATTCAAAGCTGTCTGCAGACTGTCAGTAGTGGATAATTCTGGCAAAAATAAATAAATCTGGCAACAAATAGTATTGTAAAACCACACAAATGATAAGACTGTTTGCCATGTATATTGGATTAATGGTCCAAATCGTATTATAGATCAGCTTGAAAAAGACTATAGTGCTTGCTTTCCTTGTTGCTTAAATCAGCTGAGCAGTAATTAAAGCCAACTATTTACAAGTCCCTTTGCACTGGAAAATATAGGCCAGAGGTGATGTAAAAGACAAAATAAATGTCATCTTTATGCTGGAAACAAATGTTAGCTATGTGCAATCCACTTTCAGCTTCAAGTTCAGCTTTTTTGTAATAATTTATATTGACTTTGCTTTCTCTTAAATTTTCCACTGCCCAATTGCCAGCAGCTCAGGGTAGGAAATAGAAGTATCTTCCCAGCTCAACAGCATAAAACTTAATCACATTTCATGAATGAATTCGTTTTTCTTACCTGACTTAAGTTGATAGACAAGCAACTTCTTTGGTCCAGTGGTTGACAAGTTTCGAAATGGTTTTAAAATAGTTTCAAAATGTGTATCAATTCTATTATCTCTAGGAACTGGAGATATGATGAGTTCTGTGATATGAAAATTATTGAGAACTTTTTTATTGTTGTGTGTAAGAATTCCTTAAATGTTTGGATTCAGTAGCTCACTGTCATGTACTGAGGACAGAAAATTCAACCTGTTCTTATGCAGTGAAAGATGAAAACAATTTTAAGGAACCTCAGAAAGAGGGGGAGGGAAGTCATGGTTCAAAATGTTAGAATTACTGTTGAATGACTTGTGAAATGTTTTCTTTTTTTGTTATAATCGAAAATAATAACTAAATAATAAAATAATAATAAAAGAAAGAAAGAAAGAAAGAAAATACAACCTGTTCCTCTCCACTTTGAAATATGGATATCTTTTACATTTACTTGCAATTATTTATACAAATAATGAAGATGCCTCATTGTAGCGTTCAGAATCAGCCAACATGTTAATTTTTGTATCAAAGAAAACAAACTAGTACTGTATTCACTTGTTTGTATACACTAGTAGGTACATTTTGAAGGGATATATTTAGAGATCTGGGGCAAATCAGCAACAGTGTAAATATATGAGTGGTTCTGTTCATTTTCTGCAATATTTTCTTTGGATATGAAAGGCAACCTTGAATTAGGGTCATGGCTTTAGGTCTGATGAACCAGTTTTTAAATGCTTTTTAAGATATCTGCCATCTCTTTGTATACTTTATCTTCTGAATGTTTTTGGGGGAAAGGGCTGCATCTTTTAGCTGGAGTTTTCCCCCCCAGTAAAACAATAAGAGAAATAATTTCCCCCTTTTTTATTTTAGAAACATTTAGTGTGAAATACAAGTCAAATGACTTTGAGTTTCTCTGCTACATAAACCATTAAATTGCTATTTTTAAGAGCAGGGTTTACTCTGATGTTTCTACACATGTCAGTCCCATTATGGTGCATAAAATACTCAGTATAATCTTGTATATACCACAAGAAAAGTTAAACTGAGTATTTTTTGTGTAATAACAGAGTAAGTTTCTGAAGCTGCAGTGTATATAGTTAAGGAACACTGTCTAAAAAGAGTTCAGTTGTTTTGAACCTTTATGCCCAATTTTATTAATTCACAGGTGATGCTATGATGTGTCATTTCTGCATTCAAAGCGGTTACCCATTTTCATTTTGGTTAAATTCCTAGCGAATGGAGATATTTCAGGAAATGGCTGTGAACTGATAGGAAAATAAATCCTAACGTGTTTAAATCAGTGAATGTGCGACACAATGCAGTCTTTCAACCACAAAGTCTGTTTGCTAAGTGACAAACAAGAAGTACTGAATCTTAATTACAAAGTGTTTTATTTAGAAGGGAAGTGGAAAGGCTAAAATTCAAGCTGCATTTATTTGCAAATGATAAATAAACCCCTACACCTCAAACTTTCTTTATTTTTATTTATCTGTCAAGGGTAAACCCATGTGATCTGCAAAGGTTGATGAGGCCCCCTTGAGTAGAATCAAGAGCTCTGACAGCTGGCCAATTGGGAAGGTGAAATGGTTCAGTGAATTGGATAACGGCAGTACATACCATAGTGACTGATTAAATTGATTTGTCCATGGCTGCTGCCTACCTCTTTTCTGCTGCTGAAACACTTTAGCCTACTTTAGAACTCTCAAAGAAAAGAGTGGGGGCTGTAGTGTGCTTCTGGGTGTATATGAACCTAAACAAAAGCAGCTGACCTAAATATGTGTTCCCATAAAAATGTTAACTTTATTTTGTCATTTAACTGGAGTTTATAGATTTTTCAGAATGAATTTCCTTCCCTAGTAAAGGTAATACTTTGAGTCCGATCTTCTCTAGCACAGGAAGAAAAATGAGGGTAGTGATATTGACTGAACTAATTCATTTCTCGTACATTTCAACCTAGACATTTATATTTCCTTCCTTAACAACCCTTAAGAAATGGGTCTGTTTGCTGTGGTGAAGGGGATGGTTTTAAGTTGTCTCGCTGTAACCAAATAGACACAGAAGCCAAAGTAATAGCAGAATGTTTAGTTGAGAAAGCAGGGAGGGCAGGCATGAATCCTTATTTAGACAAACAAATGAAATTACTGAGGAAAATCTAGCAAATATATTTACTTGGATATTAATGCTGCATGGAATAAAGATATAACATATGAGCAAATTAAAGATGGTATAGTCTAGAAATGAATTTTGCCTATTTTGGGTTCCACTCCAAACTCAAAGAGCAGTTATTTATTTGGTTTCTAGTATTTGGAAAACAAAGATCTTGAGCAAATGTTAGTTGGGAAGCAGTAACACAGAATATGGATTACTCTGAATATGCACAGGTGAATGTGGTTTTATTTTACTTTATTTTATTAAGCAAAAGGACCATGGTCTGCCAAATCCAGTTCCTGTATCACATCAAATATTTTCTGCTATGTCATATAAAGTAGATTTATTGCCTTAGCTCATGAGCTTCTAGGCAGACAAATATGCAATTTGATTCACACTAGCCTATAAGATGTTGTTCCACAGCATCACTTCAAGTTTGTTGTGCATTGTGAAATCTTGGTGGTTTGGAGAGCAGGACTGAGGACAGTTTTATCGACAAGGCTTTCAGAAAGTATTATAGCCACCAGGGAGCCTACTACAATATGGCAACTGACTAAATTCCCTCCTGTTTGGAGATGCAACTCTGATCCTAAAATTCCTTACTACACTGAGAGTCGTGGGGCTGCATAGAAGGTACATGGTCTCCTACTACACAGTGAGCCAAGCATCCATATGTTCCCAAAAACCTTTGGAAGTCTGAAAAGGGGAGGGAGGGTAGTGGGTGGCTCACCACATCACCAAAGTCCTTGTTCTGTTACATAACAAAGACCAACAGACAGCATAACGGATAGTTAATGCCCCACTTGTCATGTAGAGAGTGCTACTTGCCATGTGGAAAGTGTCAGTATTTTGATTCTCCATCTCTCATCTGCCCCAGGCGCAATCTCTCCCCGCACCCACACATGTGTACAAGCATATATTTGTGTTGCATGATTCCTAAAAAAAAAAAAGGTTATTCAGAGTAGTCCTTCCAAAATATCTGATATAAATCCCCCCCCCCATTTAAAATAAGGACTACTGTTACTGATAACAGTGGCATTGGCTTAATTTGAGCAGCAGAAATAGATCAGGCTTTAATTAAGTACTTAACCCGAGGTACCACTGTAGTTGTCCACATCTTACCTGAGAATCTTCTGCTACTCTATTCTATTTAATGCAACAAATAATTTTGGTAGCCGTGGTTTTATTGTATGTGGTTTTATTGTATGTGTGGTGCCCAATGATTTTTATGGTTATTGTTGTTGTTGTTGTTCTCCTTCTGAATGATTCCATGGCCTATGGCTAGTGCAATAAAAAGTTTAATTGGATTGGACTAGTTGTCCATTCCTCCCTTTACAAATTCAGTTTCCCTCAAGATTGTATAAAACCGTATGAAGTTAGCAATGGTCCCTCCTGACAAAGTGGACCATGGAACTCTGCATCATATGAAGATTGCAACAGTTGTCTAAGTGTTATGGTAAGGTTTGTTCCTTCTGTGGAAAGGAAATGGCCCCCGCCAGCTGCTAAGGTCCCCAGTGGGGCATTGTGGTCAGTACAAAAAGCAAGCCTTGAGAAACAACTCCAAAACTTCTTCTAATTGCAGAGAGATCTTGGGTTCCTTCGCTGGACTCTGAGCAGAAATGTAATCTCTCTGCATATGTTCATTAAAAGATGAAGGAAGCTTAACAAATATACTGAAATTGAAGGGAAACATCTATCAGAGAAGGTAGACAAGCTAATCTTCAGTTCTGGTTTTCTTAATGGATCAGTAGGACTCGGCATGTTCAGTAGGGGACAGCTACTAAATCCAATTTAAAGAGGGCTCCTAACCATGTTATAGCCCAGGGGCGGGGAACTTTTTTGGCTTGGCCCCATCCCATGGGCCAACTTTGGCAGGTGGGTGGATCAACCCACTTGTCAATCACATGATGCTACTAGAACACCACTATGCTAATCAAAATGGGTGGGACGGTTGCACTTCTTGTCCTTTTATATTTTCAGTTTATTTTATAAACCTATTAAGTGTTTCACAGTTCAGGGAAAGACTATAAACAAATATTTTCAGTATCTGTCTAAACATCAGGATGTTAATTGTCTGTCTAATTTCAGCTGGCAACTGATTCCAGGGGGCTGGAGCTGTAACACTAAAAGCCTGGCTTGTAGTCCGAACCCTGTCAGAGGAGTAGTGTTGTTAAGCAGGTGGCACAGCAGTAAAACTGATAGCACATTTGCAAAGCTAAGCAGAGTCATCCAGCCCAACCCCCCTCAACATACAATCCCCCATCCAGTTTGAAACCATGCCAGAGCATGCTTACCTTTGCAAATATCCTAGCAGTTTTATTGCTGCGGAACTAGGATGAATTTATCATTACACAGTGGGGTGGTGCTTACAGAGAAAGAGAGTGGCATATCATCCGCATACAAGTGACACTTGATCAGCGGCTTCATATAGAAATTAAATAGCATCGGAGACAAAATAGTGTCCTGACGCAACCCCATAACACAGATGCCAGGGAGCCAAAGATCCTTTCCTCAGTGCTGTTCTCTGGAACAGATTCACCATGTAAGACTGGAATCAATATAAAAACACTGCCCTGGACTCCCATCCTGTAGAGCTAGTTCAAGAGGATACCACGGTCAATGGTATCAAAACATGGAGAGATTAAATAGAAGCAAGGTCTCACTCCCCTTGTCCCTCTCCCAATGAAGGAAAGACAAAGGCAACAAACATGGGCATAGCCAGGGGTTATGTTAGGGGGGCAGACTTTGTGTTGGGGAGGCAGAACCTCTGTTAAGTATGTTTTATTGATTTACTTGATTTGGGGGGGGGAGCTGCCCCCCTGGCCACCTTGGCTGCACCCATGGCAACAAAGGCAATTCAAGCCACTGAAATGAGTCTAGATAATCAGTTTCAACTAGGAAGGATTGCAGCTGCTCCAGTGCTCTCAGTTACCTTCACAAGAAAATACATATTAATAACCAGTGAAAACCCAACTATCACATACTAGTGGACTCAAAGCAGAAGGCACCACCCCATCGAATAATGATAAATTAACACTTTGGACTCATCTAGTCATGCTCTGCTTGATAGTTTATATTAACCATAAGGAACAGGGATCATGCAGGCATGTGGTCAGATGCATAGCCACAAGCAGCTTGTCATAGAATCATAGAATTGTAGAGTTGGAAGGGACCACAAGGGTCATCTAGTCCAACCCCGTGCAATGCAGGAACCTTTTGTCCAACATGGGGCTCAAGGCCTCCCGCCTGTGACCCTGCGATTGAGTCTCATGCTCTGCCGACTGAGCTACCAAGAGATTGTTCCCATAAAATTTGGTTAAAGGTGGGTTGACATCTCATGTGGTTTTGCACTAGCTATGGTATCACAGCGCCCAGAAATTTTACCCTAGAATGCTTCCAAAAACTTTACTCCCTCAGGGGCCAGTAACCTCCAAACCACTCTGAAGAACTCCGCTGGACTGCTAGCAGCAGATGCAACACAGGCAGCAAACGATGCCTTCACTGTAAGGTGCTGGGAACAATTACTGTATATGTGCTCCAACCGATGTTTGGAAAGCTTTGGTGTGATATTTCCACCACTTGCTCTTTAGCAGAGTGGCCTAGGCATATTTTAAATCACTGAACAAGCATATGAATAGATAAAATTAATCCGAACCCTCCGACTTGTGCCAATACTATAATGATTTTAAAACTGCAAGAGAGAGGCAATTGTTTAGATTCTTGCTGCCCTCTAGTGGAGTATGTTTAAACATTCAAAAAGATTAAACACATAAAGTATCTTTATCTCAGTAACTCATTGCCAAAATTTTCCGTTGTTTCTTTTATTTCTGACCCCCTGGTGCACTTTCTCTTGTTCAGTGGAGGCCTATTCACACTCAAAGTTATTTGAATGTATAATGCAATACAATGTATAACATTGTTTAATACGTTTGTGTGAGAGTTTATACTGGCATTATTGTTATCCTATAACTTAGTGCTGTCTGTGCAAATTTCCTTTGGTATAGTTTGTTTCAAAATTCTTGCAGTATTTTGGATGCTTTGTTAAAGACATGGGCTTGCTTGGATCATAAGATAAATTAGCCTAAGGAAAGTTACAGAAATTTCCTGTGCCCACTGACACTTTGAGAACAGGATCAGGTACATAGTTTGGGAATGCTCATTGGTACTAATAGATGCTAATTGATCCTGCATTGCCATTAGAGGCACAAATCATCTTAGTGACTCAAAGCACCTTTTAATAACTGATTGTCCAATTGCCAACTATGGCGATTCCTCAGTGGCAGTAACTTCTGTTAACCTGTTTGTTCCTGTTTGGAATTGCTGTATACATTGGGTTGTCCATAAATTTCAAGTGGTCCAGAACAGTAGTATTATAGCAATTTTATCATTGGGGACCAGATGATCTAAACATATGCTAGTGGTTTATCATCTGTACTAGTCCTTTGCCCATTTCCAAGCTCAATTCATAGTTCCAATTTTGACCTTAAAAGTCCTAATGGATTGTGACCAGGGAACTGGAAGGATAGTCTTCTCCCACATGTACCTATCCCTTTATATTAGGAAGCTCTCCTCTGGGTGCCCCAGCCAAGTGAAGTGTAACAACCGATCACAGGAAAAAGAGGCTTTTCTGTGGTGTCACCTATCTGGGTTATCACCCTCCCTAGGCAGGCTCTCTAGAAACTTTATTTCCCCCCCACACCAAGCAAAGACCTTTTTATATCCTCATGCTTTTTGGATACATCTATTATTAATTAATTAAATTTATATGCCTCCCTTATACCCACAGGTCTCAGGGCAGTCCACAAGATACTTTTAACCCATTGAATTTTATATCATCTGTGTGCTTTAGGTGATACTGTTTTAATTTGCTGCTGCTGAAATCTTTGCTGCTTTTGACAATTGCTGACTTTTGTGCTGTTTCAGTGTTTCACTGTTGGAAGCTATCAGGAGTATGAGGTTGTTGGGTGGCATACAGATGGCAGCACAGGGAGGCAGCAGTGCTCATCTGACCTCCAGGCACTTGGGTTGCTGCTGAATACCAGAATGGAGAGGGGGAGGGGGAGAGGTGAAACAGCGGGCAGGTCAGTGCAGTGCAAACACACCAGTGGAACCATTCCAGCATTCCTGCTGGTACATTGAGCTTCTCCTTCCTGATGATGCATACAGATAGTGTAAAGAAATAAACAATTAAAAGACTCAATACTTGTAGTATCATTTGCTCCCATGAACCCTTGTTATCTTTCCCTCTCATTTCCCTCCCCCTCTGCTGCATCTTATCTTTGCTGTCCCCTCCCTTTTTCCTCTGTTGTCTTTCCCTGCGTAGCTCAGTTAAAATTTTGCTTGAATCTTCTACACTTCTTCCCCTACCCATATTGGTCTGTAAAATAACATGTAGGAAAGATAAACTTCATTGATCAGTTCATTTTTCTAATATGCCTACAGTTCTTTGCTGAGCACCACCCATTCCATGATTCATGGTATATTCTGAATTTTATATTATTTGTAGACCGTGAGGTGGTTTTCTTGACAGTGTGTTTGAATTGGGACTTCGTAAAGAGTTAGTTACTGCCAGTTCTTCATTTAATTCATTGTGTCATTGCCTTGTTTCTGGTGGACTAAGGTAAACACTAAGAGAATTGGCAAATCTCAATGACAGACATTGCTCTGGAGATGGAATGTCTTTGAATACCAGTTGCTGGAGAACACAACTGGAGGTGGTCCTTTTGTGTTTATGTCCTGCTTTCAGTCTTCGCATAGGCCACTGTGAGGAAAGGATGCTGGAATAGATGGGACTTTGGTTTGATCCAGTACGGCTATTCATACATTCTTGTGTAGATATACAGTGGTGCCTCGCAAGACGGAAAACCCGCTAGACGAAAGGGTTTTCCGTTTTCTGAGCTGCTTCGCAGGACGAATTTCCCTATGGGCTTGCTTCGCAAGACGAAAATGTCTTGCGAGTCTTGAATTTTTTTTTTGCTCCCCCCCCTTTTTCTAAGCCGCTAAGCCGCTAATAGTCTTTTAGCAGCTAAGCCGCTAAGCCTTTAATAGCCGCTAAACCGCTAATAGCGCTAATCCGCTAATCCGCTAATAGGGTTGCTTCGCAAGACAAAAAAACCGCTAGATGAAGAGACTCGCGGAACGGATTAATTTCGTCTTGCGAGGCACCACTGTACAAGCAAACATGCACCAAATGTATGCTCACACATGTCAGCCTCAAACACACTCAACAGACAGTCTCTGGATACGTAAGTGCCTGGCTGTTCACCTGCAACTGTAATGGATATCTGCCTAGCTGTGCAGGTCACTTTTGTTTGTATTGAAAAGGAGCAGGAAAGTGGCACACTTCTTACCAGATTATGAGTAATTAGAACAAGCCACAGATGTATGAGCGTTGTCGAAATCTCTTTGGTGGCATGAAGCGCAGGCCCTGCGCTGGTTGTTCTCATTCTACTCCCAAATTGCACAAGCATGTACAATGACCCATAAATCCTTTTTTTCATTTGAGGACACCTTTGAATAATGAAGAAATCATTTCCTTTTTAAAATAACTCTTAAACATCTTGGGTCACCCAAACAATTGCAGATAAAGCATCCCCCTCCCCCATTTTTTGATGCATAGAGCAAAAAAAAATGCACCTGTTAAGCCTCTTATAGTTTAAGAAAATATTTATCTTTTGCAGATGCTACAATTGTGGTGGCCTCGATCATCATGCTAAAGAATGTACACTACCTCCACAGCCAAAGAAGTGCCATTACTGTCAGAGTATCATGCACATGGTGGCGAACTGCCCACATAAAACTGTTCTGCAGCAGCCCACTAGTTATCAGGGAAGATACGAAGCAGATCCCCAGCCCTCAGGGGCTTATGGCTACACATCTCCATCCTATTCTCAGGAGGGAAGAGCAGATGTCTTAGAACGCTCAGGCAGGTCACCGCAAGAAGCTGGAGCATCGAGTAAATTATCTCCATCGCCTGAAGAACAGAGCCGGAAGGGGCCTTCTGTTCAAAAAAGGAAAAAGACTTAGAGCTTTTGTCTTTCATCTCCTTTACCCTCTTGGGACGTCTACCTCATTCAAGCACAAGGAGAATAATTCCACATATCATGCAACCAACTTCAACTTTTCACTACTGCTGAGAAAACTGTGGCCATTCTGAAAACAACCAGACCAGTCACTCCAAGCAAACTTCATTTGAACTGAGTTTCCTCTATATTATTCAGCTGCTTCAGATGCCACAAGAAACCATGACTTAACTGTGATGAGGATAAGCTGCAGCAAGCCTTAGGATCACACACTTCACACAATTCCCTGCTACCTCTCTCCCTGTCCAGCAGAGCTGCAAGTAGCTGGGAAGCTTCTGGTTTTCTTCTTGATTATTTGCAGCTTGATGTTTTGTCCACACTGACAAACTGGGGTTAATCTTAACTGGCTTGTTTGAAATGAAACAAATTCAGATTGAGGGTTATGAGCTGCTAATTTCAGTAAACCATAGTTAAGATTAACCGCCATTTGTTTATTTTTATTTGTAATTTAAAATGTTTTTCGACTGCATTTATGGGCGAATGCCCATTCAAAGCCGCTTACAAGCAGAACAAAAGATTATAAATAGTACAAGTTTAAACCACAGGACATACAGCTGAACCTGCAGTTAATCAAACATTAGAATTGCAGCCTTGCCAGAAGGGGAGGTGGGGGTGGCAGAAGCAGTCAACCTGCAGTTCATTTCTGTCCTCATAAACCATCTCTGACTCTGTGCATGTCTTGAATGTATACATGCAACACTCTGTTTCCTTGGATACCCATTGGAAAGCAATAGTCTGAGTAATTTTTGAATAGGCATTCCTGGATTTTTTCTTTAATGTATCATTGCTATTATGGAAGAAAAGGAAAGGGTGGGGAAGAGATCACAACTGTTATTTCATGGAAGCCCAAAGAATTTTTGCTACTTAAAATTGCCATTGCCATGGTACTGAAGATATTAAGACATCCCTGTAGGGTTCAGGGTAAGGCTTTTGAAAAATAATAATTTCTTGCTCCCATTATCCAGGATAGCATTGCTTTTTATAAACTTCTCACCTTGGAAGGGTAATGTCTTGGTTTAAATAACCCTCAGAATTGCTACAAATGTTTAAAGAATAAAGGTATTCCCCTCTCTTTCCCCTCCCCCAAAGACTATGAATGTGTAGTTTTCTGTGCTGGTATCTCAAATATTGTATTAAATTAATATGGTTTAAATGCAGGTGAGGTGACTTTGAGGCAGAATGTATACATTGATATGATTGTTTAGAGTTGTATTGAGATACCACCTTGAATCTTTATTTTGTGCAAATCTTGAGGCGTTATGAAGGCAGCAGTAGCAATTAGCATTTTCTTCTGACTCCGTTTTTACTGATTACATGCTATATAAGTGAATAGATTTTTACATCTTTTGAAAAGTGAACACAGGTAAGATTTCCTTTTTGCGTCTTGATTCTATTTTGAGAGACTGGACTCAGACCACTTTACAAATGTCAAGCTTTAATATTTACAGTGCAATGGGAATTTTGAAGCAGGTTTATTTAGAAGTAAGTTGCATTGAGTTCAGTGGGGCCTACTCCCATGGAAATTGGGCGTAGCAATGCAGCCTTTTTAAAAATTCAAAATTTAATAATAATAAAATTGTAATCTTCATGCACACTAGATTATAAACAGTTTTTTAAGGAGCTGCCAAACCAATTTGATGTTGAAAACTCCAATTTATAGTGAGATTAGAAAGCCAATCAATGGATTGCCTATTGATAATTAACCCCAAAATAATCCTGTGTCCACCATAGATATGTTTCTTCTACTCAACTGTTGATCATTAGAATATTTCTTTATCCTATTGAACTTTATCCTAGTGTTCTTTTTAAATACTTTGCAACCAATCCCCTGTGTTAATATTAATAGACATATAGGCTCTGGAATATTCATTAAGGCTACTCACAGTTAATGACCTTGGACCTGTAGCCAATGCTTGTAGCTAGCTGGAGTTTGGTTTCTAGAAAGCCACATTACTACATTGTCACACATCATTATGCATAAAGCTCCCATGTGCATTACCAGCATTTTCTTTGAGGTCTTTGCTGCATTTTTTGCCATTCTGAAAGATGCAAGCATGTTGGTTTTCTTTTTAAGTTATTTGCCTCCTAGACAGTGGCAGCTGCTGTAGGAACAATCCAATGAAACCTTGGTTGTGTGTAAAATAATTCCCATGAAAATCTTGCCGGGTCATTTCCCCTCAACCCATTGCTCACCTACCTGAGAGTAAGCCCATGCAAACTCAGTGGGACTTCCTTGTGATTAGACCTGTGTAGGATTGCACTGTGAAATGCTTTGACTACAATCTTCCAAGCACCATTTTATCTGTTGTTTCACTGACAGCAATATGACTTGTTTTGATAGGCCTCCAGTCAAGTCTGATGTAACTCCATTCGCTGCATCGGAGTTACACAGAGAAGACATTTGTTGCTTGCTGGAGGACCCAAACCCTGAATTATTCCTCCTGCTGCTGCTGCCGCCACCTCTCTCCCCGCCCCCCACCTCACCGCAGAAAATGTATATGTTTCAGCGACCTCAGTAACAGGCACAAAACCTATGTCCCTTTGCTTGAATTCCATGACAGTGTTTGGGGGGGGGGCGGAAATCTCAATGGTTTATACTGAAGTTATTGGTGTGCTACGATGAAAAGTTTTTTGTTTGTTTTTTTGACGATACTGAATGTGATTATATGTATAGAGGAGTACTTCCTTGCCTTATGTAAGGATTGTAAACTTATTTAAGTTATGTAGACAAATCAAAGTGGCATTGCATAACCTTTTAGCAGGTATGATAACTGGGTTAAACAGCAACAATGCTAAACTTAGGTCACTTTGAAAATGTAAACCAAAGTTCCTTGACCATTACATATAGTAAGATGGAAATGGTGGATTTGAAACCTGGCCATTCCTCTGGTTACATACTTTAAAATTCCAGACCAGAAATTATTATGAAATGAATAAATCCTAGCAGCCACAGACTGAATTGCTGAGAGCCTATCAAACCTATCTTATTATTAAAAAGTTTACATTTTATTTTTATATATCGGAGGATGGTCATTATTACAAAATAGCCTTCTCAGGACAAAGGACCTTGCTCAGGGAAAATGCCATGTTAATCTTCTTTTATTTTTGTTTTACAGATCACTTGCTTTTACTTGCTTGCTCAAAACAAACCAAAAAGAGACCTTTTCTAATATATACATGTTATGTGCTGATGATAGTAGCTACCTCTGTTTACATATAAAGGAGTTTCTGATAACTCAAAATATCAACCTTTTGCATTATGCTTTCCCGTTAAAACAGAAGTACAGTGGTATTCCTGTTTTTAAGTGAACATTTGTGACTTGACATTCACAAGTGCAGCTGACTTTCAGAATTGTGAGCAGAGCACCTCCTCACCATTTCTGAAATTCCAAGCCACATTGTTTGCATAGGGGATAGTAAATTTATTCTGTTTACAAGCAAACAACTACCTCATACTTGCCACAGAAGCAACACCTTTATGCTGTTTAGGACTTAAAAGTGGCTGTTGATGGTACATACCAGTTGTTGTTTCTGAAATTATTCTGCAATTAATACAGCTTTCACTGCAAAGTGTTAGGGCAAATATGTATGTAATTTAAACACGATGTGTCCATTTGAAATGATGTGAGAGTCTCTTTAAAGTTTAGATTTGCTTTTCTGCCTCAAAGGCAGTGTTGTTTCACACACAAATACCACACGTGAAGGTAACTGATTTTCTGGGGAAGAAACAGCATGTGGCAATTAATTGAATATCCCTGGATTACAATTAAATTACAAACATGTTGTTGTTGGTTTGGGCCAACAATTACTCAAATTATATGCTTTAAATAAATATAAGCAGCACGCACACACACACACCACTTGGGCGTACTCCTAAATGTAAGGAATATTACATTTCCACTCATACCCCACTTCAGTTGGTGAAGTAATTTGCCACCCAGCTGTGCCACACCAAAAATTCTAGTTGCTTTGAAGCAACTCTTGAAAATATGCACTCCTGGCTTTTAGTATTTTGACTATGGGCAAGCCCAAGTAAGCAATCAGTACCTGGTCCAGATCTGAATAACCAGCTTTAAACATAACAATTTCAGACAAATAGGCCATGTTTTGTCAGACTTGAGAATGAGCCTTGTCCCTGTACTCTCCCTTCCCTCTTCCACTTTTATGCTCAGCTTTGAAGAAGATACCATGATTTGTTGAACCAGGAAACTGGTTTAAAGATCAAACCAGGATCAGATCTTTGTTTATAAGCAGTGCTTTAACTAAGAGACTGGTTTAAGAAACCACATTAGCCCAATTCAAACATTCTGTTTCATGCAGTTATGGTTGCATAGAGTGGAAGAGCAAGACTGTAGCCACAGCTCCTGTTGTAGCCAGTGTTGGAAACTCAGATATATAATCTAATCACCAATTGGCACCTTAAACCTATGTTACAGTCACCACAATGGAATGTCTAGGTGCCTTTCCCCCTGTTTTTGTAATGGAGTTTATTATCATTATCATTATTATTATTAATTTAATATCTAGACCAATATCTCAAAGTGGTTTACAAAACATTAAAACATCAAATAAAACAATCCAGAATGAAACAAAATCAAGCTTCAAGGGAAAAAATCTAGATCCTTCTCTAAGTGATAGTTTGCTTTCCCCAGTTGCCAGCCTGGCATCCAGAGATCTCCACGTGGTCACAATTGGACCCACACCAGTCGCAAAACATGCCTGGCCCCTGGCTAATTTCTAACATTGGTTGTAGCCACTGCCAACCCTGTGTAGGTTCTATGCAGTCCTTATTTTCTGGGGTACGCATACCCCTAAGCATTTTTTGACCTCATTAAGGGACAGTATTTCAATATGAGTAGGAAAATGAGAGCATCCCTAAAATTTATGAGGAATATAAGCACTGGTTCTGTGTACATATGTAGCTTCCATATGTAGGTTCTACATCTGTTGGTTCCCCTTTTGACTGAGAACCCTGTGCAATCTGGATTTTAAATCCTGAAGGGAAGCTTGCATATATAGAGTGCACTTCCTTCTTCAAACCTCACCTCTCTGGGTGGCAGCAGAGGAGCATGGCCAGCAGATAATGACCTGCTCTCCCTCTCATGTGCTTGAGCATTCTTCCCAAATGCACTGACAAACAGGGCTAATATCTTCTTTGAAGCTGGTCTCCTGGTGGGAAGGGGCAAGGCTTGTTCTTGGACCATGACTGTTGCATCTGAATCAAGCCAAAATAATGATCTTAAGATTGGTGTCAACATCCTGAAATATTTGTGTGTACACACTAGCAGCAAAATTCAAATGGTCAGTTTTCCATTTGAGTATCATGTTAAGGAATCTATTGTACTCTCATTCTGGATGCTATCCTGAGCTTCTGTTGAAATTCCACTTCGTTAAACAGCATGAAGTTTGAACAGCACCCCTGGGCCAATGTTTCAAGCAACAAGCTTGTCAAATTAGACGAAGTGGGGCTCCCAACCAGCACATGTCTCCCCTGACCCCAGGAATGGAGCCCCTCCTCCCCTCCACAAACATAACATAATTGATCTTCGATAAAGGGATAGACCCGGAGAGCCTCTCCAGACACAATATTGAAGTCTGCAGGGGTTGTGCCACTGAATTGACCCCAAATACTATGTGCACACTTGCATAGCATCTCTTGGGAAGACCATTCTGGAAGGGAAAAGACAACAGGATGATTACTTAGGTGCTCTTTGGGCACTAAAATTGGCTCTAAAAATGTGATATTTTGCCAAATAAAGGCTACTCAATTTTTTAAAACTTTCTTTCATTTGTGCTAGTGCTATCCCAAAGTTACTTCTAGTATGTAGTTTTGTGGATGGAGACCTATGAAAGTGTTTATAGACCTTGTGACCTTCTTTGTAAGAAAAATGATAAAGAACATGGGAAGATCTCATTAAGTTTTAAAGCTAATTTAAATTAATTTATCTCTAAGAAATGTTTATCATAAAAATATATGTGTGTGTGTTTTTCTTCCCCATGCGTTATGGTTATAAAAGTAATTTGGGAAAAGGTGTAAGTGTGTGCGGATGCACTGAATTTAATTTTACTAGATGTCTTTAATGAGATTTCATTATTTTGTCTTTGCTCGCTTTTGAAGACTTGTTAAATGTGTCTTTTTTCTGTTTTATATGAACAGCCTGGTTGTGTTACTTCTGTCATCATGACTGGTTAGTAACAAGATGTTGGCACTGGAAACTCTTTATTGTGATCATGGAGCTGTGTGTAGTTCAGTGGCTCTCTTAAGCAGTATTTGTTGGGGGAAACAAGTTGCAATCCCTTGGCCAAATTCAGTTACCTGGAGGTAGTAGGATCTGTCTCTGCCGCCCCCCAACTGCCAAGCCCAGACACAAACCTGGGGTGCGGAGGAGCAGATTCAGTAGCATCAGGGCCTAACAACATTTTGAGGGTGCCCTAATCCACTTGGTGCCCCTCCAATAAAACTAGTTGCCAACTAGGCTTTTCTGACGTTCATTTTGAGGATACAGCCACTACAATAAACTGCATATTAGAAAGTATTTGGATACTTGCTACAATTGTTGCTAACCTAAAATGGGCAGACTAACTAAGGAAGAACATGATGATGGTTTTGACTACCTCTTGCATTTTACTACTTTTTAACTAACAAACTGGTTTCACAAGTATTACCAGAGTAGCTTGAATCTGTATGTTGCTAATGGTAAACCCAGAGCCAGAGACCAAAGTGAACACAGATATCTATGCGTCTTGAATATTGTCTTTTTATCTAGTGTTTTTAAAACTATCCTCTGTAGCATATAGATTACCTTATGGTCCATTTTGATTCATATTTTGTTTACAAGGTATAATTTTTTTTTAAAAAAATCACTTGAATCGTTTGAGTCTTTTAAAAGAAAAGACAGGGAGTTGTTGATTTTTTAAAGGCCATTTTTCACATGTTTACTGTCTCTGTCTCATTGGACTGAAGCACTGATTGCCTTTCTACATATCCTGTATTTTATATATTTTTGTTTAATGCCTATTGCCTACTGTTATTATTTCTATCAATCATCGATTTGTGACTGAGGTTTAAAAAGATTACATGATGAAAAATAAAACATATAACGTTGGCATTTACCAATGGTTTCTGAAATTTTGTTATGACGTGCATGAAGGATGGGAAAGAGAGAGCGTGTTTATCTTTTTTTATTTAAAAAAACCATTTGCATTAGCTTAAATTCCCTGTGTTTTCTGAAGATTTTCTTGATGTGAATTCATCCTCCTTAATGCTCAGTTAACTAGAGGAAAGACAAACCAAGTTTGAGATTGTTAACACTTTAGAAATACTACTTGAATGCTTTGGTTTTGAGAATGGTAAGGAAATAGTAACCAAGGGATGTTAAGAGAAAAAGAAAAATGAGTGCTTGGATGAACCACTGTGGCTTCTTATTTTCTTTATTATTACATTTATGTCCCATCTTTTCCTTTGTGGAACTCCAGGTGGTGTACATGGTTCTGCCTCTCCACCCTGTGAGATAGGTTAGGCTGAAGGGCAGCGACTGACCTAAAGTCCCCCAGTTCGTGGCTCAGTGGGGATTTGAATGCTGTCTTGCCTCCCAGGTCCCATTCCAAAACTGATCACTTGTTAATGGACAAAGGCTTATGCATGCAGAGGGAAAGGGACATGAAAGGGTTAAGTTAGATGGGCACTGCTGGTTCATTTTGGGTGTGTTTTTCCTGCACCTGCAGCTAGTTAAGCATGTGAGAGTGAGTCAGCACAATCTCAAGTATAACTACACCTGTGTTTGAAGCAAGCTTGCACTTGACCCCTTCCCGTAGCCTAGTCTGTGTTGGAACAATGCAAGGAGACTGTATGCTGCTGTGGAAGGACACAATATTACAGCTGTAGGTAACCTACAATCTGTGGGACTGCTCTAGACTGTCAGTAAAGGGACTGACCTAACCTAGAACTGTCTGGAGTTTTTCTGTTCCATTGGCACATTCTGCAGGCGTGTTGAATGGACACTCTGCACATACCCCAACAAGGTGTGGGGCCCAGCACAGTGCTTTAGGATCCAGACAAGTGCCAGAAGTCTTGTTCCAGTTTTTCCTCTCCTGGATTCCAGAGGTTGCAGTGGGGAGGAAAAGCTAGCGGTGAGGCTGGTACGAGCTGGGAGCTGCTTGGGTGTCTGTGGCTACCAAAGGCTTGGAGAAAAGCAACGGTGAAGAGGTGAGCACAATATTGTATTGCAATATTGTATTGTATTATGTTTTACTCTTTTTGTTGGGAGCTGCCCAGAGTGACTGGGGCAACCCAGTCAGATGGGTGGCATCATCCTTATTATTAAGCATAGGCATACATTATAATTGCTTCATAAATTGAGTATACACTTAAAATAATGTATGAAATGTAGCCTACAACTGCATTAACATTTTTGGGCAGTTGCATGCATTACCCTGCAGATTAGACTTGTGATTATCTGCAGTCTCAATATCATTTCCACATATACTGCTGCCAAGCTGGGTATCCCTTATCTTATACTGTGCATTTGTGTGTGTGTGTACATGTACGTGCACATAAGTGCAAGACTTTGCAATTGTCTTTCCTAAAAAATATATATTCTTGTTCTCAGCCCAGTTTTCCTGTCTATCAAGGTCAATTTGAATTACCGTATTTTTCGCTCTATAAGATGCACCAGACCACAAGACGCACCTAGTTTTTGGAGGAGGAAAACAAGAATCTCAGAAGCCAGAACAGCAAGAGGGATCGCTGCGCAGTGAAAGCAGCAATCCCTCTTGCTGTTCTGGCTTCTGGGATAGCTGCGCAGCCTGCATTCGCTCCATAAGACGCACACACATTTCCCCTTACTTTTTAGGAGGGAAAAAGTGAGTCTTATAGAGCAAAAAATAGGGTATATTACTCTCTTCTGAAATGTTAGTTGTCTATTTGTGTTTTGTGTTCTCTGCAAATTTGATAGATTCTCTCCATTGTCTGGTTTTTACATAAAATACTTTTTGTCTTACCGACCAAGTCCTGTGCTGCGATTCTGTGATCCCAAAATGTTTTGCAACACAAGATCTATCCCAAACATTACTTTGTAAAAAAGAAGCCACCCTTGGCCACTTTTACATTTTGCTCATGCCCACTTTGATACATAGCCCCCAAAGAGTTGACAGTGGGTTAGTGTGACCCTTGGCCTAAAGAAGGCGAGCCATCCCTATCTTAGTCATTGATTAAAATATTGAAAAGTATCTGTGGCATCCCACTGAAAATCTCCCTCCAGTTGATGAGAACAACCTTGATGAGCACTCTGAGTCACTTAACAGATTTGCAAACCAAAATACCATGGGGGACTTTTAGCCAATGCTTTGCTGAAATCGTGATAATTTTTGTCTGTGGCTTTTCCACAATCCAATAAGCTAGTAACCCAAACAAGAGAGATAAAGGTTAGTCTGGCAGGATTTATTTCTGACAGACGTATGCTGAAGTTTTCAAATGCTGGCCTTGTTATCAAGAGACTGTTCTAATCTCTTCTAATATCTTCTCATATATCGAAGTCATATTGGCTCAAAAAAATAAAAGAGGAAAGATCACCAAACCAATTCAGAGACCATTGGATTTTGTCAGTCATTTGAATGTGAATTTCAAGGATAATATGCCACAATATTTTTCTCATCCTTAAAAGATCTGCTTTCCTTTGGGCCACATCAGTGAGGCTGAGTCTTATTGTCTAGCCGGCCCAGGACCTCCATACACACTGCCCAGGCTTGTGATCTGGGGCTGTCACTTCACTGCTGCAAACACAGCTGTTTGACTTCACCTCCAGAGGTGCACTCCATTGTCTCTGAAGACCGACAGATGCCAGCAACAACAAAACAAAACATATTTATTAAAAATAGGGTGAGTTTCCTAAATTGCAATTCCAGTAGTTGCAAAAGGAGATAAGAATGATAAGTCTTTTAAATACTAAGAAATAAAGATTATCTGTTTCAGCAGAAAAAAAATAAAGAGTTCTTCCAGTGAGGTGAATTTCATAAGCAGGTTTCCTCTTACCTTATCAATTCTCATTGGTTAAGCAATAATGCTTGTTCTCTGCTTAAAAGCTATAAAGAGGTCTACAGTGCCGCTGTTTGTGTGCACAGAGGAACCACATAAAGCAGTCCCTGGGATGAATATTGCCACCTGGAGAGTCATTCATGTGCAGGGCTAATCAAGTTGATAAATGGCTTCTTCACATCACTGCAAATGGCTTTAAAAAGGAGATCTGAAATAATGGGGGTGAGGCAGAGAAATAATCAGTTTATCCACATGCCCAGTCACACTACAAATAAGGGGTAGTTCATGTATCTTCAGCTATAATGGCTACTCTGATCCAGGGCATGTGTGACTCTCTGGAATCCTCACCCGATTCTAAGGCACAGTTACTGATCTGTTCTGGATGGGAGCTGCTTTCCTATGCGCTTATCTCTACACGACAAATTTATGCTTGTGTTTATGCCAATCTAATTGTTCTGGCATCCATAAAAGAAATTTATTGTTATCTTAACAATAGTTAAGTTGTGACTTCAATGCAGGGGTGTAGCATAAACCATTCATAACACAAAGTAACTTCGTAAGAGCAAAAATGTAGCATGACAATTCAGCAACAACAATAGCTTTATTAAATGAGAGCAAAAATATAGTATGACCATTCAGTCAGCTGTCCAAATCTGTTGACTGTCATACACCCCACCAGTCACATGGCTCACTCTGATTCTAGTCTTTTAAAAGTACTAATAATTTTGTGTTGTGGTTATAAGCATAGCAGCTGTCTTATGTTTCTTCTCCCTGTAGCAGCCCTGCCGCCACCACCATACATCACCCCCAATATGCCCCAGTGGTTGAGGGACCCTCCAGGGCAGATTTTCAGGCTGTGCAAAGGTGGAAGAGAGAAGGGAATCTGAAAGTCCCATTCCACAAGTAAACCTTCCATTGAGCAAGCAAGCTGCCACAACTGAATCTCGCCCAATATATTTCATTTGCGAAGTGCCTAAGAAACTAAGCCCAGTTCACAATACCTACAAGGACAGCCCTGCCCAATAGGTTTGCAGTTTAGTGTAGGCGGACAGTGGCAATAACTTCAGTGCAAAAGCACTGCTTAGTTGAAGGTGCTGGGGATTCATTTAGTCTCTCCAACCAGAAATGGTGCCCTGGGATGGTGGGATGATTCTTAAGTTAGTCTGGGTGTATAGCAATTATGAGATGGACAATTTTCCACCTGCCTGCTGTATAATACACTGAGCTTCAGAGTTTTACACTACATTTGATTGTGGTTTTATATCTTGATTTTATTCTGTGAGCTACCCTGAGACCCCTGGGTATAGGGCGGTATATAAATAACAATAATACTAATTAATTAATACATGATTCATGTTAATTCTGTGTTGCTGTTCTACCCAGCTTCTTATTGTCTAGGCTAAAGGTGCTTCCAGATGACTTGTTTACTGACTACGCCAGATATGGTTTTAGGGTACCATGTTCAGCCACAGGGGAGCCCCACAACAATGCTGTAGAATGGAGTATGAGAGGCCGCTGAAATTTGTTGAGTTCCCCCTTGTGGTGAGTCATGGAGCTGTAGGTGGCAGCTTCTCAGGAAAGGATCTTCAGACCCTAGCCTAGACCAACTCTGCTCACACAACGTGGCCATTGTATCTTCCTGACCAGAAAAGAGTTGTAAGAGGGCTTCCTGTTGAGCCTTGCTTGTGCAACAGGGGGTTATGCGTATGATTCAATTGGCGGGAACCTGCTCATCAATCTTGGCTTATTTCTTAGCCCCGACTCCCTGCATTCCTCTGCTTTTACTCTTAGGTCTTGACTACTAGCCTGTCCCATGACCGTTGGCTCATGCAACACTGTTGCCCATGGCCCAGCCCTGACAATTTGTTGTTGTTTAGTTGTTTAGTCATGTCCGACTCTTCGTGACCCCATGGACCAGAGCACGCCAGGCACTCCTGTCTTCCACTGCCTCCCGCAGTTTGGCCCTGGCAATACAAATATGCAAATACTACAAATTGTGGATAGCTTCTGGGCAAGTAACAGATGCATCTTAGATGGGGAAATTGAAGTCCTCCCTATATTTTGGATTGCAGCCCACAACATCCCTATTCATCCCTGGTCACTGGCAATGCTGGCTAGAACTGATGGGATTTGGAGCCCAGTAACACCTGGAGAGCCAATTATTCCCCATGCCTTTCTAAAACATCCTATGCTGACATGAAAACTTTAACCAGGAGTGTATGCATTTTCAGCTACACTTCAGTATAATACTACCATACAGTGATTTTCTTCTGGGGGCGGTACTGCGTACCCTTGAGTACCCCCCAGAAAAACCCACTGCTACTATACATGATTAGACTAATATCAATTTGAAATTGTTGTTACATATTGTTGTTTTTATTGTTGATGCTTTTCTCTTTTTTATTGTTTCAGGGGAAATGATTCATAAATGAAATGAAACAAATAATCTCTCCAATTATGGAACCTCTGCCTTTAACATCCGTGACAGGCAGAGGTTCCATAGAGCAGGCTTCCTCAACCTTGGGCCTCCAGATGTTTTTGGCCTACAACTCCCATGATCCCTAGCTAGCAGGACCAGTGGTCAGGGATGATGGGAATTGTAGTCTCAAAACATCTGGAGGCCCAAGGTTGAGGAAGCCTGCCATAGAGGAAGCTTTCCCACCAATGCAACTGTTAAAATCACATAGCTACTGAGGAGTCCTTCCATATTTTTTAAAAAGGTAACCTCTCTACCCTGAAATAAAAGATCCAGTTAATGGAACAAACTGAGGTTTGATGTTATATGCTTTCAGGTTCCCACTAGAATCTACTGTCAATGGCCTTTTTAGTCACTAAGGTGTTAACTGCTCATGCACTGGTACTCCCGAAACTGGCGTGCAATACCTGTGACTATTTTATAGTGGTCCTTGATACTCTATTACTGTTTGATCCCCAATAGATGCAGGCAAGCACAGCAGTTAACAGCGTGCTAGCTTGGTCTTTGATTCAGTGGTTTATTCTGTTTTGAGTACTGATGCAAAACGCCACATGTACAAAGAATACATTGAATGATTTTTACTGTTTGAACTCAAAAAGTATCCCCACTCCTTCTGCCTTGGTTTTTTAACACAAACACACAGCTCCTTTGTCAAAAGGCAGGATAAAGAGAATGAACACCATTGAACTCAATGGGATTTACCGTCTAATCCTATGCACTCAGAAGTAACGCCCCAATCTTATGCATAGGAACAAATCCCATAAAACTCATTGAAACTGTAATCAACCCCTCAAAAAAATCCCACAATTCGCTGTGCATGTAATACGTGGAATTAACTTCCTGTGATTTTTCTGCTCTCAGATCTTCAGCATTCAGAATGATGTTTTAGACCAGGAATGTGGATCAAGAACCGTTCTCTCCCACCCACCCCAATCAAGGGCTGCATTCTTTCAGGGGAAATCTGTTGGCAGTTGCATGCTTGCTGTGGATGGAGGAGCATCCAAAAGTGGGTGAGCCACCCCCTTTTTTTAATGGTTTCATCGTGTAGCAACCATGTCTTCTCTCTCCTTCACTCTGTCACACACAATATGGAAGAGGAAGTTTTCTCCACATGGTTGCCTGGAGAGCAAGAGGCCAGAGATCTTCAGGTCACCTGCCCCTGAATTAGACACTAAAAAAAAAATGTATGTGGTGTCATTTGGAACTAGCGCTGCCACATCCAAACTCTGTAATTTTGAAGAATTGCATAGAAATCAAAGACAACCCCATGCTGCAGTGATCAGAGAAGCCTCTGACCAAATATTGCCTTTTACTCAATTTTTCAGATGGGTACTTAATGGTCCAGTTCTCCACTCTCTCTTAAAGCACCTTTTAGTGGCTTGTCTGTTCAGTGTTTGGGGTGCCTAGTATCCAAATCTGCTTTGCAAACAGAAGGCACAGTTGAGCGGCAATAGCAAGCAGATACTGGATTAGTGATCAACTTCTATGCCTTTAGTTTTGAGTAAGTGGGATGCAGCAGACCAATGGCCTTTTTCTAGTTTAATTACAGGGAGTAATGAAATCCCATCTCTCAGATATTAATGCATGTACTCAATGGGATTACTGCATTTGTTTTACACATACAGATGCATTAACACTTTGATTTAATGTTGGTGGCTCTGTATAATATTGTTCAGGCATAATGTACAGGCTCCTTGCTCAGTTGCCAGATCTGGGCTGGTGACTAGAGTGTTTTCAAGAAGAATATTGTCTATATATTTTATCTACCTTTTTTTTAAGTGTAGCAATGTCTGTGAACAGAGCAACCCCTGCTTTGCATGCTTTTTGTGTCATAGATGGCTGGGCTGATTGTTTTAGCTTAAGTCAATCAGTAGCTGAAATTTCGTTTCTGCATCACCTTTTACTATAGAGGATGAAGGGGAATTCATGTCCCAAGAGTAGTTTGTACAGGAAAGCAGGATGTGGTCTTAATATTTTATTAATCTCCAAGGAGGAAATTAAGGAGAAGCATAAGTGCTCAGTTACTAGAACCGGATGGTATTTAGCAGAATACTCTGCTTATAAGCTTGTTTGTGGGGGAGGTTCTAGTACATACAAGATTTTCCCAAGTGCACTTTTACTGCCCAATTCTTACAACGGAAGAAATCCTTATGCTTCCGTCTCTGTATCCTTAGTAGCCTTGAAGCTTTTGAAGGAGGCTTACCTACTGCTTAGGAAAATTCATTGTTGTTGTAGGATTAATATTTCCATTTCCAGTGCATGTTCTGACAGCTTTCTATTCCAGTGTAAAAAAGAATGCCAAATGCAGATAGGCGGGCAAGAATTTTGGATGCCAGATGACATAAAAGTAATCTGATAATTTGCAAAGTTAGGCATTTCAGGCATATTTTAACCATAATAAATACAGCTAAATTTATTACCTTTTATATAAAATAGTATATTTACTGAATACTTGAACTAGTATGACTCTTTGTAACTTTTCCTATTCTGAAAGAAAGCTATTCAAATGTTTAAATGTAGGGTAGAATCTGCCCCCCCCAATTATTTCCAATCTGACATTTGTAATAATTCTTCTGTCAGAAAGCTGAAATTGTTTTATTTTCCCTATTAACTTTTTCAGGAGCACAAGTCCATTCCTTTTCACAGCTGTGACTAGCATGATATGAAAGTCAGAAAAAGCATTTGATTCAATCCAACTCATGCTTCTTATGACTAATATTTTGAAACCAACTTGCATGATACTTATTGGGGGGGGCCTTTAAAATATGAAATGTGCATGATCCACACAAATATATAAAATTTGATAAGCATATTGGGAAAACTTCTCAACTAGATTTCATACCATAGCCTGGTGACCACAATTTGGTAATAAAGGACCACTAGAAGCCCCTTTTCATTGTTTGGGACTACTTTGCAGGTCTAGCAATGAAGTGGGGCAGTTCCATGGTTGCCACAAAACCCCTTAGGCATGGGGGTGGAATATGTTGCTGTTCAGGCAGGTAACAACTCCCAGAGAAATTGGCTATGCTGGTTGGGGCTGCAGAGTTAGAGCCCAAAAAGATCCCCTCAGAGCACCTCCTCATGGATGGTACAAGTCCTACAGAAGATTAAGTCTTCAAATCTCAGCATCAGGTCATCAATAAGTCAAGGATACTGTTGAGGATGCTTAAGAATGTGGTTGTGCATTACAACAGGACAGAACAAATTCCCTATGCTGCTAGTGTTTCATATTAGCTGGTGGATAAAGAAGAGGTCTAAAGAAATGCAGGTATGTAATATGTATTTATTGTATTATTGTACAGAAAAATTAAATCTCTCATATATACGCTTTTCAAAAAGCTTTATTCCAGTTAGTAACATTGTGCCATATGTGCAGTGTCAATAAATAGCAGTGAATTATAGCTGCATCACACTATAAACTTGTATAGTCTAGTCCAGTCATATTCATTTTTTAAAACATCAATAACAACTATACTGGAAAGCAGTATTTCTCTGAAGGATCAGTCCAGAAAAGGTGCAATTCTAGCTACTTTACATAAAGGGAAACACCTACAAGTGTGAATAAGCCAGATCCTTAAGCCAGCTCCTGATGACCATGGGGTTATTTGAAAAACTGGAGAAGAGATCTCAATGCTGCACTTCCTAGCCCTCAAAATCTTCAGTTATGTAAGGTATATATAGTCTAGTAAATATCTGTATGGTGCAGTCCTATAGTCCCTGGGTGGGTGGTCCCTGGGACCAAGGAATTTTATTCAATCATTGCCTGTGTTCCAATAGCTAAAGGGGGAAAAAAATGTTATGAGGGAGGATTGGAGGTAGTTTGGGATCTGCTGGATGCAAAACGCTGCTATTTTCTGGATCCATTTCTGAAATAGAGCTGAAAGTTTGACAGCCCTGCCTAGGGCTACTATGGTTATTTTCTTCCTACTGGGACTAATGGGTATGGATTTTTAAAAAAACAACATGCCAGCAGAGAGTTTTTTTTGGGGGGGGGAGAGAGGACTCCCTCTTTCCCTGCTGGCAGAAGTCCAGCAGGACTGTGGTTTGCCCACCATGACAACAACTACTCTCCTCCCATGTAAGAGTTCTTTGCTATTTAAATGAGGTTCTCTTTCCAGAGACGTCTGCTAATGACATCCCACTCTTGTAGCCTTTTCATTATGATGTTTGCAATTAACAAATGTTTGCAACAGCCAACTTAGAAAAACCACAGAGATGACATTCAACAAATGAGGTAAAATTATATACTTCCATTATTTCATTGGTAGTTAAGCACATCCTTAAATTTTCCAGTTTTAATCTATGGAAATGTGTAATTTGGGATGAAGAAATCTCTGTATTACCATAAATATATATCTGATGCAGCTGGAATCGAAATAAAAAAGGCACTGTGTTATTCTCTCCATCAGCGTTTATGCCACAGATTACAATTTACCATTACTGCCAATAATTCTATGTTTGTGCAAAGCCCAATGAAAAAGCAGCATTGGATGTATTCCATTCTTAGAAAAGCAGTGTAATGTAAGCACATATTGAACATGCACATAATGAAGTACAACCTACAGCAGTGATAGAAAACTTTGTGGGCCTCCAGATATTGGAGAACGAATTTGCCTTAGTGTGGTGAATATAATGGGGAATTGTTGTTCAACAACAATCTGCAGGGGAACAGATTCCCCACCACTGGCCAACATCCCCTTGAGGTCAATGGCAAACGCCCGCTCATTTTAATGATTTGAGACTAATTAAAGCACTGACTCTGCCCTACCACATGAAATGCTGGTGCATTTACCCAAAAGTACAGCACAAATCAATTTTGTTGCAATAGTATTTTGAATTTCTAATACTTCAGGTCTTGTGTCCAGTTATAATAGACATCACATTATAGAACCATTCATAAACATTACACATGGCTGAAAGGGGAAAAAAAGTGGTTACAATTATCTTTATGATTGCAATATTATTTGTACCAGTTCACAAAGAGTGTGCCATGATACTATGGAAGTCAAATGGAATCTGTTCCAGAAGTCCATTTGACTTCCAAAGCGTGGCTTCTGATTGGCTGCAGGAAGCTCCTGCAGCCAATCGGAAGCTGCGGAAGCCCCGTCTGACATTTGGATTTCAAAGAACGTTCGCAAACCAGAACACTCACTTCCGGGTTTGCAGCATTCGGGAGCCCAAATGTCCGAGTGCCAAATCAGCACAAAATGGGAGCTAGGAGAATGTGGAGCAACTCCTGTATCCCTCCTACAAACAGACATACAGTGTGATTGTGACACACAACACAATAGATTGATTACATATTTCAGCTTTGACTGTGCTCAGTCTTAATATTATTAGGCAGGTCTGGTGAAGATGGGAGTGGCCTCAGCCCAGATGACTGCTTTCCCCCTACTGACCCAACAGGTGGCCTAGGTGGGTGTAGGACCCTGTACCTTTGCAAGTGCAGCAGCAACAGCCGATTCTTGCGCTTCCAAGTCCCACAAATGTGAGGTCAAAAGAAGGCTCAAGTGTCAAGCTTATCTGTGTATCAGTACTGCATTTATTGGCTTAAAAGCAAAAATTAAAAAACTCAGTTTTTAATGGCACAGCTGAATCAATTTGATTTGTTGGAACATAAACCGAAAACCAAAGTTTGACACCTTGTTTAAAACCCCATTTCCAGACACATTTGCTCCAGTCCAACAATCCACTGAAGCTGTGAGGACTTTCCCATTCACTTCAAAAGAGAAGCCATTCCTGTGCAGACGGTTCCATTACAAGCACAGACCTTTCTACACTATTGCTTCAAACGGGGCATTCTACTCCTCCAATCACACAAAGCTCCAGAATGGGGCTTCAAGTCCCACTAAAACCAGCATTATTTATTTTTCAGGTAATATGGTTAAGGTGTGTGTGGCCAAATATACATATGTATTTTAAAAAATCAAAAATTAACCTTATGTGTTTTGCCAAATTTTCTGTGTCTGCCACACTTGTAGTTGACTGAAATTCCGCTCAGCAAGATCACTACTAAACTTTAGTTGATTTGACTGATGGGGGATGAAAGACATCATCTTCCACACTTTCTTCAATTGGTTTCATTTTTGCTGATGTTCTTAGACAAGGAGATGGCTGACCTGTCAACCGTGAAAAAAGGAAATAACTTTAAAATAAATTATTACACTTCAAAAAGGAAACAAAAACCAGCACCTCCTCCCACCACTACCACCCATATTCTAAGTAAGAAGGTATGTGTCCTTTCAAGGAAATGGAGTGTTTCAGTTTAAATCTGAACAGGCTGGTTTAGAGGGAATACTGGTGCCAGCCAGGCAAACAATAAAAAACAGAATTACTTAGTGCCACCTATGGTTCATTTTCAGTATTGCTCCCCATCTTGAGCAGTACTATTAAGGATGTGAGCTCTTTCTCAGTCTTTTGGAATCTAAAATGCATGTAATAGGAACATTTCTTGGGGAGGGGGGAATATCTTAAAAGGCTGCAAGCATCCAAAAGCAAAGCATTATATCAGTTCAGTTTGAAAGTAAAGCTGAATGAAAAAAAGCAGAATTATGAAATCCATAGCAGCTAGTGTTACTTCATTCAATTATAAAAAAAATCTGTACTCTAACCAACAGTAGTTCTTGCTCAGATCAGCACATAACACAATGGGGCACTGCATCAAAGCTTGCAATAAATATTACAATTCATGGCCCTTTAAACTACATGGGGGGTACTGTTTTCATTAGTTAGTATGTTATGTATATTTGTGTTTCTGTATTGTAATCCACCATGTGATCCTCAGATAAAGGGTGGTATAGAAGTTATAAATAAAGTAAAACCTGCATAGCATTTGATAATTTGCGATCGAATGTAGAAACTGTGGCACACTGAGAAAGATGAGATACAAGATATGAATGATGAGCCTGTGAAGTCTGAACTGCAATGTCCCATTCACACATGAAAATCATTGCTTGATTGCAGTCACTGCGCAGTGAGCATGAATGTGAGGACAAAATTTTTTCTTAAAAATCATGGCCTGAACCCACAACTAATGTCTGAGTGTAATGGTATTTCCCCTTGTGCTAAAGTATTTTCCCCACAACACTTGCGATTGACTAGCTGGAAATGTTGGTTAATGACTCACGAAGGGTTGAGGCAGTGGAAGTCCCACGGAGAAAATGTTGCAAGCCATCTTCGCCATCACTTGAACTAGCCATGCTGTTTCTCATTTGCATCACAGAAAGTTGTGAGCACAAACTGGGCTGTCGATCTATTTTCTGGGATGTCTGTAGAGAAACAAGTTATACCAAATAGTTCATCATTAATAAACCTGAACATATATTTATTTGCATTTCAGTACCAATCTTGCTTCCTCCAAGGAGCTCAGAATGGCAGACATTTCTTCCATCCCCCCCCCCCCACAAAAGCGATTATTGTTTGTATGCCACCCTATAACCATAGATCTCAGGGTGGTTCACAATATAAAAAACAGAAAATACACAATAAAGAAAATCCAATAATCCCCCCTTCCACAACACATTTTAAAAGGGCATCAGATGTCAATCAGCCAAAGGCCTGGTTAAAGAGGAATATTTTCACCTGGTGCCATTAGCTGGGCTAGGCTAAGAACTGGAGAATGGTCCCAGGATCACCTGATGAGCTCCATGGCTCTGTGAGGATTTGAAACTGCTTCCTCCTGATCCATGTCTGACACACTACTACATCACTGGAGCTTGCCATGTATGTGATAGGCCACACATCCCTTTTCCAAGTAACTAGGATCAGCCTAGCAGGGCTCATTTAAGTAGATCCACCCCCTCAAGGCTGGCTTCATTGTGTGTGTGTGTGTGTGTGTGTGTGTGTGTGTGTGTGTGTGCGCACACACACACAGAGAGAGAAAGCAGGAATTGGAAGATTTGGATAGATGATTTTTTGAGATGCTCTGCTAGTAAGAGGCCTTTAGAGATAATTATTTGTGGAATTCTTACTTTCCACATGTGTATGCTAAATGCCGTTTCCCCAGACATTTGAAAATGGTACGACAGTCATCACTGTGCTCTTAGTAAACTGCACGCTTAACAAGAGTCAACAGTGTGATGCAACAGCAAAAAAAAGAGCTAATACTACTCTAGGCTGCACCAACAGAATTATAGAGTCTAGATCAAGGGAAGTAATAGTTTCGCTTTATTCTGTCTTGGTCAGACCACACCTTGAATGATGTCCAGCTTTGGGCACCACAATTTAAGGAGGATATTAACGGGCTGGAATGTGTGCAGAGGACGATGATCAAGGTGATCAAAGCTCTGGAAACCAAGTCTTAAGTTGAGGGAGTTGGGCACATTTAGCCTGGATAAGAGAAGACAGAGCAGATGATAGCCATCTTCAAATATTTAAAGGGCTGTCACAGGGAAGATTCACTCCCTTGAAAGGTGGTGGGCTCTCCTTCATTGGAGGTTTTTAAGTAGCGGTTGGATGAGCATCATTGTTCTGAACCATAAACCCAAACTGGCAGGCTGCTTTGCCATAAGTCTATACTTTTCTTAATAAAGCACTAGAACTGGCCATTCTGATGTTTTTGGCATCCTCCTTCAGCAAAACTCCACCCAACCATTCCCACAAGCCCTCCTTTGGGCCTAGAGTTCAGGACAATCGTGAATGATCTAGCTGAGATTGCTGCAGTGAAGGGGTTGGGGGCCTTTCTAGAATTCTATGATACTATTATTCAAAATGTAACAAATATATAAAAAAAGAGGTAGCATAGAAAGGGAAGATGCATTTTTAAGAATTGAGGACAACAGCTACACAATTTCCAACAGCAGAGATGAAATCCTTACCTTATCATTTAGTGTTGGATCATTTAATGAGTACAACTTGTTAGTAATATCTTTTCCAATAAGGTACTTAAATATTTCAAAGAGGAATGGTTCAGATTCCAGGAAAAAGGTAAGTCTCTCTCTGGACCAGCATAAAAATTTGCAGTTATCATCAGCAGTAATGGAGACCTGCAAATTAAGTATATTCATAGAATTAGGACTGCTTTAATGGGAGCCACTGACCACAATGCATTTTAGTTTGGATGTTCAGCAGAAAGAGACTTAACACAAAATGTATCAATAGTGGTTTATCCTTCAAACACCACATCCACAGTCTGACACAGAATGTGCTTAATAGATAGATCATGGCCAATGGGTTCCCAAAATTTCACAGAAATTTGCAAGGAAAATTCTTCTGACGTTTTGGAAACTTGCCTTCCAAATCCATTTAATTAAAAGCAGCATGTGAACAAATCCATTGCATAAAAGGAATGAAAAAGATGGACACCAATGTCTGGGATTAAACAGGCCAAATTTGAATAAAGGAACATAGATTAACACGCTATATGCAGGCCCAAAATTTTGCTGTTGTATGTGGTCTTGCTGCTTCTACCGTCGTGGTCATATCAACAACAACAAAAATATATGCACTAATGCAATATTTAAAAATACCAACAATTATTATTTTTACTCTCAATATATACCAACAATAATGATAATATACAAAATATTAAAAAAGAGAAAACATTAAAAAATTAAATGAATACATTAATATCACCCTTTTTTGACCCTTTTTTAAAACTAGTGCTGTTGTTTGAATTCACCAATAAAATATTAAAACATTACAATGTTTAATTGTCTTGATCTGTTGCACACCATCTTTATGGCTTAGAGAAAGACAGCACCGACAAATTTAAAAATGAACGAACAACATCAGTTTATCAATAGTGCAACGAATTATGATACAACTGGACCAGTATGAATGCAGAAGTCTGATGGAACCCTACTGAGATTGAGATGCACGTGTATAGGATTGCAGCTCAGTTCTAAGGGTTGATTCACACATACACCAACCAGTAAAAGCAAAAGGTAGCTATGGTAGTTTGCTAAGGTTGACATGTGTCCAGCAGATGGCACCAGTGTACTAAGAAAGAAAGAAAGACCCCAAGCTAAAGCCCACCCCAGACTCATAGGGAAGAAATGATCAGTGATCCTGACAGGGAAGTGAATTATGAATGTGCTGTCTCCCAAAATATGTTAAAGCAAAATGATCTATGCCCAATATAAAAGCATGCCAGGAAATGCCATGAACCAGTTTTTAATTTGGTGTACCTATTTAGTTAAGCTATTCATATACCACCTGCCAAGTAAGCATCTTCCGGTGGGCTACAACAATACAATTTCCATCCCTGCATATATTTAGAAACAGAAATTTGGAAATGTCTACCCATCAGTCATAAAATGAACATTTTTCATTTCGTGAAAAATAAATATCCAAACCCTGATCTAAATAAAAGAGATGCAAAGATCTACTCCTTTAAAATTAGGTGGTTTCCTCTCAGCTCAGAACAAATCAATGACCAAAAATAATCTATTAGGAATAGTGTTAAGTATCCCATAACTTCCTTCCAGTGCAGAGATGAATATATCTTGACAGCTACCTCGTTTTGGCTTTATGCCCAGTTCTTGACTGGAACATATTACATCAATTACCAGTTTTAGACACTGTATCAACCCTCTGTCCTGGCTTTACAATCAAGTAGATACTGCATAGTCATAGTTAAAAACAAGAACTCACTAAAGATCTGCCGCCCCCAAACTGGGTGCTTGGTACAATTTTGTGTGTGAAATTCAGCTTGCCCACTTCACAGCAGCCACCTTTGGGGAAACTGAGGTATCTTCACAACTTAAATTCCAGACGTACAGTGACTTTGCCTCCAAATATCACATTCTGAGATACTGCCTTCTTACCAACAGTATACAACACCCACAGATGGGAAGGTTTTGTCTCAACTCCCCTCCCTCGTTTCCTATCTTTACCACATCTACTTACCATCGAATTAAGTCCCTACTTCTCAAGCCAATACCTACTCTGCTTCCTTTCCCCTTGAGCAGCCACTATTCCTCTGGCCTCCCCTTTTACTTAGGAGATGGAGAATTGTCAGCTTTTACACACACACACACACACACACACACACACACACACACACAGTGGTACCTTGGGTTACATACGCTTCAGGTTACAGACTCCGCTAACCCAGAAATAGTGCTTCAGGTTAAGAACTTTGCTTCAGGATGAGAACAGAGATTGTGCTCCGGCGGCGCAGCAGCAGCAGGAGGCCACATTAGCTAAAGTGGTGCTTCAGGTTAAGAACAGTTTTAGGTTAAGTATGGACCTCCAGAACAAATTAAGTACTTAACCCGAGGTACCACTGTGTGTGTGTGTGTGTGTGTGTGTGTGTGTGTGTGTGTGTATATATTTACGAAATATTTTCTTGGTTTACAAAAGTACATGCCTCAGCTCTTTTTTCAGGTTACACAGTCTTTTCTACAGATCAGTAGTTACATTTGTTATGAGACATTAGTGTTGAGTACAGTTTAAGGTCAGGAAGAAAAGGAAGGAGGATGGGTGGTGGTGAAATTTAAATTTATAATTGTCTGCTTTTTATTTAAAAATGGGGGCCTTGGGGTTCAAAATCATTTTAGAATATGGAAGAGAGGGTACTATTGCTGTCCTTATTTATCTTCAATGCTTTTAAAGTAGATTAGTGTTCAGATTAACATAAGGCATAAGCCTGTATAGCTCACTTGGTGAGAGTGTGGTACTCATAACACCACGGTTGCAGGTTCAATACCCCTATGGGACAGCTGTGTATTCCTGCAGGGTCCCTTCCAACGCTACAGTTCTATGTTTCCTTAGTCCCACAACAGAGTCAAATTATTATTTTATCCAATATTTATTATGGTACCTGCGTTAAACCTTTAAAATCCAAAGAAAGAAACTATATTATTTTACAGCTCTCAACAAGCAACACAACACTGCCACTTTTGCATCTAGAATGATAACAATTATATTCTCCAACATTAACATCTGAAAAGGCTATATGAAAAAGTTAACTCTATAGCACCACATATTTTTTTCATCAAGAATTACATTCACACCCAACAGAACAGTTCCATACCTGGAACTTCTCACCTCGATGCATCTGAGTTGATCGAAATTCAGGAGAATCTATAAAGGCACAGGGGTAAATATTATGCAGAAAATGCCCTCGATAGGAGACCTTCATTCTGATGATAAAAATATGAAAAGCATATGAAAATACCAGAGGCACAACAATTCAATTCAATTCATACAATAATTTACTGTGTTTAGAACCCTGGAAAGTTGGGATTCAAAAACAGATATGCTTTTGAATATAGCAGGCTTCCCACTTCAGAAGGTAGACTTGCATATCATGAAGTGTGGGAGTGGGGGAGAAACGAACTAGACATGGAAAATTATGGGAACTCTATTTCATTAACGGTCACAGAGCAACACCCTTAACAAACAACATTCCCCAGGATTCTCCATGATTGTTAAAGTGGTATAATATTGCTTTAAATGTGTGGTGTGGGTAGAACTCTGATGTAACACTAAGGTATAGTTAAACAAAGTGAATCAACAACTTAGGAATCATGGTGGCATGAGAGAGTGCTACAGCTCACTGACACCAAAAAAGTATGTGAGACGCCAAGAAGCAATTGGCTCAAGCATTGCAGAGATCAGTAAAGGTTACTGCTACCTCAAAGCAGTATCTTAAAGCAGTGGAGGAAAGCAGCATTGAATTGCTACTGTATACATTCATATTATTCAAAACCAATGTTATGTATAAAAGAGGACACAAGTTATTGTATATTGCAGTCCCTTTCAATTTTCATTTCCACTTTTCCACACTTCAATTATGCCATGAAAAGGACTACTGCTGTTCAAACTTTTTCAAGCACGTACTTTCCTTTTAACAGGATGCTTAATCGATCGTCCACTGATGTTTTGTCCTCTGCAGCATACGCTTGACCTGTTTTTAGTGTCTGAATGTTGCAGAATTGTCCTGTCAGTCTTTGGAACAACTCTGGAGGCACATGGAGTGGTTCAAACATTCTCTTATACAGACTGTTGAGCTCCTTGTCTATCTTTATCTATAACACAAAAGTAAGTATTTCTCAGCATTGACTCTAAAATATACTTTTTACCCAAAACACATAAACATACAAACCAGTGACAACTTTATTCCAATGTAGCATCAAAGAAACTGACAAATGGGATACATCTAACACTATAGTTATATATTAGCAGATGTGCTTTTACCATAGAAATTTAAATAATAATATCAGAGTTAGAAGTTGCATTGTATTTTTCTATGTGTGGAAATACCAGTTTCTTCCAGCCTACATTTAAGCTGGGAAGTGCCTGTACAGTTTAAAATGATTCAAAGGGCACGGGTGGCGCTTTAGTCTAGACCACTGAGGCTCTTGGGCTTGCTGATTGGAAGGTCAGCAGTTTGAATCCATGTGATGGCGTGAGCTCCCATTGCTCTGTCCCAGCTTCTGCCAACAGAGTAGTTTAAAAGCACACCAGTGCAAGTAGATAAAAAGTACCACTGCGGCAGGAAGGTAAATGGCATTTCTGTGTACTCTGGCTTCCATCACTGTGCTCTGTTGCACCAGATGCGATTTAGTCCTGCTGGCCACATGACCCAGAAAGTGATATCACACTCATGGCTACAAGCAGATGTAACCAATGCAGTAATACAGATATAAATGGCAATAGAATTATATTCTAATAAAATAGGTAATCAGATCTTTCCTTATTTTCCCAGTTATTTCTCTACCTGTTGTAGCATAGAGCTGGTGAGTCAAAGTGACTAAGAGTACAGTCCTCTAAACGTTTACTCAATGGGACCTGCATCTGAGTTCAGTTAAACTTGCTTCCATCTAGATGTTTATAGCCGAAGAGACTGACCTACAAATCAGGATACATTCAGGTCAAATCTCAATTTGGCTGTGAAATAGCTAGGTGACCTTCAACATGTCTCATTATATCTCCACACACTCCCAACTGCAATAAGGGGGTAAAAAAATGTCACAGGGCTAGAGTGAGAAAAGCAAGTTATGTGAAGCACTTTGAGCACTCTACAGGTAATGCTCAAAAGCAAAGTACTAATATAATTCTTTTGGTTCTTTGCTAAGAAGCGGAAGTTGGCCAGAGAGCCATGAAAACAACTCTAAAGGCTTGCAAAAGCCAGTCCATTATAAGATGCTGTAAGGAAGAGAAAACAGTGTCTAACATTCTACACTCATTTATGCACCAAAACAGGAAACAGGGTGGCTCATATCTAGCTGTGCTTCTGAATCAATAGAGTTACTACCCAGGACACAGTGTCCTACCGTATCTAAAAACACTACCAGATTGAGCAGAGACCAAATTGGTTTGCAAAGAGAGGAGAAAGTGGGTGTCATGAAGAGCAAAAACAGGAAAGGCTTCAGCACTAGACAAATAAGTATCGAAGGCATAACAGAGGCATAATTCAAGGGAAGAGAGAGTTTGTCTGTAGTTTAGATTATTTCTTGCTAATAAATAAGAAAGGAAAAAGAGGTGTATGCTCTGTGGGGAAAAGAGCTTTGCCCTTGGGTTTAAAGAGAAATGTGAGTATTCATTTGTCATAAAGATGCTAGGAATCTTGCAATCTGTCCTCCTTTCTCAATTTTTTGCCAAGTAATTAGACTAAAACACATACTGGATTTTCTCCCTTATCTTTTCAGTTCATTTAGGTCAAAGTGTTATTTCATGCTTCATTTTCATACTGTTCACTCATGCCACAGTGAACAGATGCTACAGAACAGCTGTAGAAAGTGCAGTGTGAGAGGACTACTCTAGATGAAAATTATTCAGTAGTAAAGCAGCAAATATCATGTACATCTCCATATAAACTGCCCATATGCAATGTATCACAGAACTAGAATGACTTTATTAGCAGGAAATAAAACCTATGTAACTTGCACTTTTCAAACAATATCTGAATTGAAACACAACCATGCTTTGAAATTTGAATTTCTCTTAATTTTGCCATGCAATTCTTCACCCAAATAAAAATGCATAAATTAAAGCTAAGTATGCATATATATGGAGAGATAGGACTGCAAAAATTGTGCAAAATAGCATATAAATGTGTGTATTAGGAGAAATTAACACTAAAACGCTGGTGAATTTTCATGAGGACTTAAAAAAAAATGCATACTGGCAAGGAAATGTTGAGAACTGAGTATTAGAAAAATGAGAAACTAAAGTGACAGATTTGACCATCCCTACTCAACATTAAAGGCCGCCTTTTAAAGGCTTCTAATAAACTGCACACCAAATTCCTGTTTTCCCATGCCAAAGCTTTCAGTTGCATTGGTGTTCTTCTGATGACATATTCAGCTTAGGAGGGAAGAGAAAAGCCTGAAACACTTTAAGTTTTTGTGCAATGACTGTAAGAATGAGTCATCTAGCTTGCTGTGCTGTTTTCATTTTTTATTTATATATTAAATCAAATCTAACTGGATTAAATGAAACACTCTTAATATTTCAATTTTGATGTGGGTTTTATATTCATCACGAATAACCAAACTGTGAAGGATGCTGGAAAGCAGATGAGCTATTGAGTTATACACACACACACAGCAAGACAGACAGGAAGAATATTGACAGCCAGAAAGCAAATCCACTGTCTAAAACAGGGAAGCAATCACAGTCACATGAGTCTTCAGCCTTTTGAGAGGTGGCTTCAATATTTCATGCCAACATTTCAAGGAGGGAGCTGCAACCCAAGGTAGGAAAAGAGGTGGTAAAGGAACACCTAGCTACTTTAAATGAATTCAAATCTCCAGGGCCTGGTGAGCTGTACCCAAGGGGACCAAAGAAGCTTGCAGATGTAGTGTCAGAGCCTCTGTCTATCATCTTTGAGAATTCTTGGAGAACAGGTGAGGTCCCTGCAGACTGCAGGCAGGCAAATGTTCCCTTTCTTCAAAACAAAAATGGGGGGAAGAAGACCCAGGTAACTACCAACCAGTCAACTTGACACTAATACCAGGAAAGATCCTAGAACAGATAATTGAATGGTCTGTCTGTAAGCCCTTGGGAAAGGATGCTGTGATTACTAAGACTCAGCATGGGTTTCTCAAAAACAAGTCATGCCAGATGAATCTCTCTCTCTCGTTACAAGCTTGGTGGATCAGGGGAAAGATGTGGACAGAGTGTATCTTGATTTCAGTAAGATAGTCTTGTAGATAAAGGAACTGTTAGATGGATTTGTAACTGGCTGGCTGTCTGAACCCAAAGAGTGCCCAAAGGAACTAATAGTACTTCATCATTCTGGAAAAAAGTCTCAAGTGGGGTGCTGCCAGATTCTATCCTGGGCTCATTGTTGTTCTACGCCTTTATAAACCACTTGGATAATAGACTTGAGGAGGTGCTCATCAAATTTGCTGATGACACCAAACTGGGAGGGGTAGCTGATGCTACAGAAGACAAAACTGGGATTCAACATGACCTTAACAGTTTGGAGAACTGGGCCCAAACTAACAAAATGAATTTCATTAGGGATATATAGGCAGGAATAGCCAGATAGGGGGACACCTGAATTAGGCAGTAGTACATGCGAAAAGGCTCTAGGGTCTTAGTAGACCACAAACCTAACATGAGTCAACAGTGTGATGCAGCAGCAAAAAAATAATGCTATTCTAGGCTGCATCAACCGAAGTACAGTACAGTGGTACCTCGGGTTAAGTACTTAATTCGTTCCAGAAGTCCGTTCTTAACCTGAAGCACCACTTTAGCTAATGGGGCCTCCCGCTGCCGCTGCGCCGCCAGAGCACGATTTCTGTTCTCATCCTGAAGCAAAGTTCTTAACCTGAGGTACTATTTCTGGGTTAGTGGAGTCTGTAACCTGAAGTGTTGTAATCCGAGGTACCACTAACCAAGAGAAGTAATAGTCTCACTATATTGTGCCTTTGTCAGACCACATCTGGAGTACTGAGTCCAGTTCTGAGTGCCACAGTTTAAGAAGGATATTGATATGCTGGAATGTGTGCACAGGAGGGTGACCAAGATGACCAGGAACAGTTGAGGAAATTGGCTATGTTTAGCCTGGATAAGAGAACACTGATAGGAGATATGATAGCTACCTTCAAATAGCTAAAGGGCTGTCACATGGAGGATGGAGCAAGCTTGCTTTCTCCTGCTCCAGAGGGTAGGACCCAAACAAATGGACTCTAGTTATAAGGAAGGAGATTCCGACTAAACACTAGGAAGAACTTTGTGAGGGTAAGAGTTGTTTGACAGTGGAAAGGATTCCCTAAAAAGGTGGTGGACTCTCCTTCCTTGAAGGTTTCTTTTAAGCAGAGGTTGGATGGCTGCCTGTCAGGGATGCTTTAGTTGAGATTTCTGTATTGCAGTGGGTTGGACCCTCGGGATCCCTTCCAACTCTACAATTCCATGATTCTATGCTCCAAATATGCCAATTCAGACAATCACAGTAAATGCAACATGGAACAAAACTCTATAAAATTTCATTACATGAAAACATGAGATAACCTTTCTCCCTCTCTCTGCCCTCCCCAAAAGCAAACTCCTTTTTCTTCTTTTTTTTAAAAAAACCAAGTTCACCAATGCGCAACATGACGGAGAAAGGAAGGGCTTAAACTTTCCCAGTCCAAATCATTCAAGATGGTTCCTTTATCCACCTCATGATCCAGATGTGGGTGCTCAATCAAACATGTGTTTAGGATCCAACAAGTGGAGCACAAGCAGGTTTACAAGAACGATTTGGAATGGGGCAATAATCTGCAGCGTGCACGCCCCTCCCCAGCCAGCAATCTGCTTTTGTTCAGACAACCCCAGAAAAGAAAACCACACACAGAGCTTGCAGGGCAGCAGCTGAAGAAGGAGCAAAAAGGGTTTTCTTGTGTGTGTGTGTTTCTTTGTGGCTGATTAGCTGCTCTTCCTGTGCAAAGGTCAGAGGGGGCAGGGTTTCTGTTGAGGCAGGTGATTAGCTGTGGGAGGAGCTTATCAGAGCTTGCAGGGCAGCGGTTTGATCCATCTTTTAGATTTAGGGGAGCTAGTCTCAAACGTTTGTTGGGGGAGACCTATGTTTTTTTGGGGGGGAGAGTTATTTGTCCTGTCTTCACGCTTTTTATGATGGAGGACCGCTGTAGCCACCCCCAACAACACGTTCTCAAGATGGAGGGGGAGGGAACAGCTGCAGTCACCTGTGGTTCCTGCGCAATGTTTGCCATCTTGCCAAAGGTTGCAGGCAGCTTTACCTGCAGCAATTGCATGCTGATTGCCCTCTTAGAAGACAAAGTCCAGCAACTGGAGGAATGTGTAGCTACGCTCCAAAGAATTAGAGAGCTGGAGCTCTTCTTGGAAGCAACAGAGCACACCGTCTCCACCAAGGAAGAGACAGGGGACTCCCCTGAGAAGGAGGCTAGTTCACCAACACAGGAGCCAGATATATGGAGAAACGTGACTCAAAGAAGTAGGAAGCCCAGGGTTCGCTCTGATTGTTTAGAAATACACAATCGCTTTGAGGTCCTCTCCCCTAGCATGGAAGACGAAGAGCAGACTCCATTTGAGGATCTCCCTCATTACAGTCAATCAGGTATATGAAGACGAGCAGCAAAGTCAGTCCTCAGGGAATGTGCAGGCGACCTTGGAACGGACAGCTCACGGAAGAACCCCGACCAAACCTAAGAGGCGGCGTGTAGTGGTGATAGGGGATTCCCTACTGAGGGGAACAGAAGCAGTGATCTGTGGGCCTGACAAGATGTCTCGGGAAGTGTTCTGTCTCCCCGGGGCTAAGATCCAAGATGTAACTGAACGACTGCAAGGAATCATAAAACCCACTGACAAATACCCCTTCCTCTTGGTTCATGTGGGAACCAATGACACTGCAAGCAATAGCCTCCAGAAGATCAAAAGAGACTACGAGGCTCTGGGCAGGAAATTGAAGCAATTAAAAGCACAAATTGTCATCTCATCTGTCCTCCCAGTTGAACGACGTGGCCCAGGGAGAGAGGGAAAATAGTGGAAGTGAACAGCTGGCTTCGCAAATGGTGTAAACAGGAACGGTTTGGATTCTTAGATCACGGACTGCAGTTTCTTGAAGATGGACTTCTGGCAAGTGATGGGCTGCACCTCACAACGGTTGGGAGGAATGTTTTTGCCAAAAATCTCAGAAACCTCATCAGGGGGGCTTTAAACTGACTAATGTGGGGGAGGGAGACAGTGCTCCTGAAGGTAGGAGTCTATCAATTGATGAAGATGATCATCCAAATGTCATAGACCAAATGGAGCAAAGAGCACGCAGACCTAGTGATGGGAGGAAAAAATCCTTAAATAAGAGACAAGGGGGAATGATTAATGGACTTCAATGTCTGTACACTAATGCACAAAGCATGGGAAATAAACAAGATGAGCTTGAGCTCTTGGTACAGCAAACTAAATATGACATAATAGGCATCACTGAAACCTGGTGGGATAAGTCCCACGATTGGAATGTAATAATGGAGGGATACAATCTATTTCAGAGAAACAGACCAGACAAGAAAGGAGGAGGAGTGGCGTTAGATGTCAGGGATGTGTATACCTGTGAAGAGATCCAAGATTTAGAACCTCAAAGCCAAAGTGAGAGCATTTGGGTCAAAATTAAGGGAGAGAAGAATAACAGTGACCTCATTGTGGGAGTTTACTATAGATCCCCAAGCCAAACGGAGGACATAGATGATGCCTTCCTGGAACAGATGGCCAAGCATGCAAAAGGAGGGAGATAGTAGTAATGGGGGACTTCAATTACCCGGATATTTGTTGGATGTCAAACTCAGCCAAGAGCATAAGGTCAAACAGATTCCTCACTGGCCTTGCAGACAACTTCATTGTCCAGAAAGTGGGAGAAGCAACAAGAGGAACAGCCATTTTAGATCTGGTCCTAACCAATGTTGATGACCTGGTTAGTGGGATAGAAGTGGAAGGATCATTAGGCGCGAGTGATCATGCTCTTCTGAAGCTTACTATACAGCGGAAAGGAGCAGCCAAGCATACTAGGACTCAATTTCTTGACTTTAAGAAAGCCGACTTCATAAAACTTAGGGAAGTGCTGGGTGAGATCCCATGGACAGTAATACTAAAAGGAAAGGGAGTTCATGATGGCTGGGAGTTTGTTAAGAGGGAGATAGTAAAAGCACAACTTCAGGCAATACCAATGAGACAGAAACATGGAAGGTGCCTAAAGAAGCCAGGGTGGCTATCTAAAGAACTTTTAACTGAGTTAAGATTAAAAAAGGAGGTGTACCAAAAATGGAAAAGGGAAACCACCAGAGAGGAATTCAAACAAATAGCCAGCACGTGTAGACACAAAGTCAGAAAAGCTAAAGCACAGAATGAAAGGCTTGCTAGAGAGGTTAAAAGCAACAAAAAAGGCTTTTATGGGTATGTTCGTAGCAAAAGGAAGAACAAAGAAACAGTGGGGTCACTCAGAGGAGAAGATGGTGAAATGCAAACAGGGGCTGAACTCCTCAATGCCTTCTTTGCCTCAGTCTTCTCCGATAAAGAAAACAATGCCCGACCTGAAGAATTTGGAGCAAATGATTCAGCAAAGGAAACACAGCCCAGAATAACTAAGGAGATAGTACAAGAATACTTGGCTAGTTTAGATGTATTCAAGTCTCCAGGGCCAGATGAACTTCATCCAAGAGTATTAAAAGAACTGGCAGATGTGATCTCAGAACCACTGGCAGTCATCTTTGAGAATTCCTGGAGAACAGGTGAAGTCCCGGCAGACTGGAGGAGGGCAAATGTTGTCCCTATTTTCAAAAAGGGGGAAAGAGAGGACCCAAATAATTACCGCCCAGTCAGTCTGACATCAATACCAGGGAAGATTCTGGAGCAGATCATTAAGCAAACAGTCTGCGAGCACCTAGAAAGGAATGCTGTGATCACCAATAGTCAGCATGGATTTCTGAAAAATAAGTCATGTCAGACTAACCTGATCTCGTTTTTTGACAGAATTACAAGCCTGGTAGATGAAGGGAACGCAGTGGATGTAGCCTACCTTGATTTCAGCAAGGCATTTGACAAGGTGCCCCATGATATTCTTGTAAAGAAGCTGGTAAAATGCGGTCTTGACTATGCTACCACTCAGTGGATTTGTAACTGGCTGACTGACTGAATCCAAAGGGTGCTCATCAATGGTTCCTCTTCATCCTGGAGAAGAGTGACTAGTGGGGTGCCACAGGGTTCTGTCTTGGGCCCGGTCTTATTCAACATCTTTATCAACGACTTGGATGATGGACTCAAGGGCATCCTGATCAAATTTGCAGATGACACCAAACTGGGAGGGGTGGCTAACACCCCAGAGGACAGGATCACACTTCAAAACGACCTTGACAGATTAGAGAACTGGGCCAAAACAAACAAGATGAATTTTAACAGGGAGAAATGTAAAGTATTGCACTTGGGCAAAAAAATGAGAGGCACAAATACAAGATGGGTGACACCTGGCTTGAGAGCAGTACATGTGAAAAGGATCTAGGAGTCTTGGTTGACCACAAACTTGACATGAGCCAACAGTGTGACGCGGCAGCTAAAAAAGCCAATGCAATTCTGGGCCTGCATCAATAGGAGTATAGCATCTAGATCAAGGGAAGTAATAGTGCCACTGTATTCTGCTCTGGTCAGACCTCACCTGGAGTACTGTGTCCAGTTCTGGGCACCACAGTTCAAGAAGGACACTGACAAACTGGAACGTGTCCAGAGGAGGGCAACCAAAATGGTCAAAGGCCTGGAAACGATGCCTTATGAGGAACGGCTAAGGGAGCTGGGCATGTTTAGCCTGGAGAAGAGGAGGTTAAGGGGTGATATGATAGCTATGTTCAAATATATAAAAGGATGTCACATAGAGGAGGGAGAAAGGTTGTTTTCTGCTGCTCCAGAGAAGCGGACACGGAGCAATGGATCCAAACTACAAGAAAGAAGATTCCACCTAAACATTAGGAAGAACTTCCTGACAGTAAGAGCTGTTTGACAGTGGAATTTGCTGCCAAGGAGTGTGGTGGAGTCTCCTTCTTTGGAGGTCTTTAAGCAGAGGTTTGACAACCATATGTCAGGAGTGCTCTGATGGTGTTTCCTGCTTGGCAGGGGGTTGGACTCGATGGCCCTTGTGGTCTCTTCCAACTCTATGATTCTATGATTCTATTCTATGATTCTACATGTATTACTGTAACATATGGTGCCAAAGAGGGCAGAGGGCTGGAGCCCTTTCCCTATGACAAAAGGCTAAAATGTCTAAGGCTTTTAGTCCGGGGGTGGGAGTGGGAGGAGCTCTGAACCAGCATGTTCTTAAGAAAGAAATCAGGCTACAGTTAAAAGGAGTTGTATGAAAAATGTAAAGCCTGCATTAGACATTCATTTTTACATGTGGCATAGATAGCAAGAGAGGGCCAAACCAGCTTTTTAGTTTCATACATGACAAAGCAGCAAAACATCAGCGCAGGTGCAACACTTAAAGGGAAAGTCAATACTGAGCAACACAGAATCAATTTAAAAAATCTTAAGAGGCTGGAGAACAGCTTCAGTAGGGGCTGCTAGGTTATATTGCTAGGCACTGAAAGATGCACAGTTGCCCTCGAAAACAAAATAGCTGAGGAAACAAGGCACACCCATCCCCTTTTATAGAATTAACTGTTTGTCACTGATCTATAGTAACTAAATTTGGCACTCTACTATAAAGGAAGAAGTTGTTTGTTGATGGCTCAAGATAACTTTGAATGACTTGCAGCATTGTATCTTCCAACAGGGCTTACTCTCAGAGAAAAGTTCATAGCCTTAATCATGTACAAGGAATCTTCCTGCTTATTGCTTAATTGATGCCTTTCAATCGTATCTTGTAAAACTGGTTACAGTATTACACAGAAAACAATTTCATATTTGATACAACAAAAAGGTCATACAATTCAGTGATTACTGGTCACCAGCACAAACTTTGATTTAAACCAATCTATTTTTCCTGCCGGGGTAACTGGTTTAACAGATGAGTGGAGGAAATACCCAAAGACTTGCTACCCTAGTCATAATGAGCCAGATGCCCTACATCATAAAGAATCAAGTGTCCTGAAAACTGAAAAACAACCACCACCACCATAATGGACACATTGGATTCAAGCTGAACCAAGATGGCAGGTTAAACAAATGAAAATTTGGTGGCTGTATACCAAAAAATAAATTAAAAAAATAGGAATTCATAAAGAATTAAAGGCCTCTGTATGAAGGATTTTTATGTTTAAAAAAACCTGAAAACAAATACCTGAGAGCAAAGCTCTTGAGAGTTGTAGAAATGATAATTCATGTATTCAAGTTAGTCAACAAGTCCATTATAGAATCAAGATGGAAGAGTACGGTCCTTTTAAAGTAGTACCTTAGACATTTTATCAATAGTTTAGTGTTGATGTACATACCGGTCTTCTCTTATATAGCAAGTATATAAAATGCAAAAGGTTGATAACAAGGAATGTTGTATTCCAGATCATTATATCCACAGCACAACGGAATAGCGTTGCCCAGATGATGAATAGTGTACATCCTGCCAAAAACAAAGTGTGTCAAATGACTATGTATACACACACACACACGTCCAAAGAACTATGATTCCAACAGAATACTGTGACTGGTTTTTCCCAGCCTCCTCAGTTAGGTATTCCAAGCATAAAAATATTCTGTTTTGTTTACTTCCAAATAATATTATTATTAATAATAATGCTCCTCCTTAGGCCAATTAAGCTGCAAGTCATACACTGGCCCTTTGTAGGCAATGAATGCAAATGCATTCCACTGCAACTACAATATAATGTGTGCCACAGTCATAAGCATGTATGGACAATAAGCAAAGCTCTTCACACTAAAAAAAATCCCAGAAAACAATGGCTGGCAGAAGGTCACTGTGCATGCCATTTACATGTATGTGTGTCACTAAGTACACTGGAGGTGTACTGGGACCATACAGCTGTTTGTATGTACAGGCCACCTTTCTATTAAAATAATATCTAAACTAGTTTACAAAAAATACTACAATATCAGAGACAACTAAAAACATTAATTTAAGACAGAGAATTAAAAAAAGATGCATTAATACAATCAGTATAGCAGTATTAGGAATTCAGTTAAGTCACATACACAAAAACACGTAATTACTAAAAGCTATGTAAAATGACAATAGTGTCAGTGGTTCCTGAACCTGTCAGAGAGCATTCTACAAGCTGGGTGCCACCACTGATGAGGCCCAGTGTAACCTTACTAGTGGGGACATCCAACAGATCAGATACACTCTAAATCAATGCTCCCTCACTATGACAACAGAGCAGTCGTGTATGAGCCAGAGTTACCTCTTCTGGCTTTAACCCTTCCATGCCATACTAAACTGTAGAATCCTGTTCTGCACCGCAAATTACTTTTGTATTTCAAAAGCAGTTTGTGTTGTGGTATGGAAGAAGGTGGGCGGGTACTAGTATGCAATAAGAAGAAAATCTATTTGGCATATAATAACTTTTGCGTATTCCTAAATATTCGTTTGTCCTACCTATTATTACCATGGCTCGTAGGACAATCATATGAAGATGAAAAGTGGTTGGAATAACCAATCCAACAGCAAAACAAATATTGGCCAAATGAAACACGAGATGGTGAATCTCTCTCCAGTTTTCACAAAGAGTTTCATTCAAAGGCATAGAGATGGGATTGTTGACATCTGGGTTGAAACTCAAAGGGGTCACCATGATTGAATTTGCTTCTGTAGGATTCATCTTGAAGTTGCCTGTTAAAATGTTTTTTTAAAACAACAACAACAACAAAACGTTAAAATAAGAATTGGAAAATACAACACATAGTTTCACACTTGCAGCTTGAATCAGTCTTTTTCAACAGATACAAAAGTACTGGAGACCATATTCACAGATGTTAAAAACTCTTATATTTAACATTCCGAAAAGTTTGTGTGTGTGTGTGTGTGTGTGTGTGTGTGTCACTATAACTCTATTTTTAAATAAGAACAAAAGACAACATATGTATCCAAGCTGCTCCAAACTGTTTTGCTATCCACGGCAAAGTATCAGCTTTCTGCATGCATGAAGTGTATGCCAAAGGTGGCTTCTATGCTTTAGATCAGTATTGGCCTGGGATGCTTAAAAATAAAGTGAGTCTCCCTTATCTATCCCACACCTATCAAACTGTCATGTGGCAGCGACATTAAATAGTTCTACTAAATATAGCACTTTACAACGCTTGAGAGGCAAAAGGCTGCACAATTTTTCTGACAGCCAATTTTAAGTGCAGCAGAAACAGGTTTACTTTATCTCCAAACACGACAGAAGGGCAGATAATGCATCTGACCACGGAGCAGAACTGTCCATGCATGGGCATCAGCAAGGGGCACTTCTTAATTAGATACACAACCAGCCCCTAGTATTGAAGTTGAAAACTTCTTAACAGGGGCATAACTGTTTGCTTCTCTGCACTATTTAGTTTTAACAGTGGCTTTCTTGGCAGTTCCTATTCAGTTTTAATTATTTTTTCTGGTTTGTATTCATGCTTTTCAACTTGAGCCAAGTACTTTTTATTGCCTGGTAATAATAATGTCAAAATACAACCAACACATATAAGACAGTGAAGGAAAAGAACACAAATGTAACAACTTACAGGGTGGAATATTTTTTACCTTAAGTCATATTTCCTTTTTTAAATAATTTGAATTGAGTTTTCATTTTCCTACATTTCAAATTAAACATTCTACAAACTTTAAAATATCCAATGACTTCCCTTCTTCTCCTTCCATGGTTCATATTACATATCATACTTTCTTGCATATTTTACAATAACCATTCAAATCAATTTTCCACTTTCGCATCAATCAAATATTGTTTACTCTGTTGAATTTATCTTAATGCTGCCAGTGTTTTCAGCTGTGTACAATTATTTTCCATATATTCAATAAATATTCTTCACTCTTCTTTAAATATACGTTCTTCTTGCACTCTTATTCTGGGGGTTAAACCTGAAAGTTCTGCATATTC